TCCCAATTTTGTATCCTGAATTGTTTTGTTCATCTTTCTGTCCTACTTTTGTATCCTGAGTTGTTTTGTTCATCCTTCTGTCCCACTTTTGTATCCTGAGTTGTTTTGTTCATCCTTCTGTCCCACTTTTGAATCCTGAGTTGTTTTTGTTCAGCTTTCTGTCCCACTTTTGAATCCTGAGTTGTTTTTGTTCAACTTTCTGTCCCACTTTTGTATCCTGAGTTGTTTTGTTAATCCTTCTGTCCCACTTTTGTATCCTGAGTTGTTTTGCTCATCCTTCTGTCCCACTTTTGTATCCAGAGTTGTTTTGCTCATCCTTCTGTCCCACTTTTGTATCCTGAGTTGTTTTGTTCATTCTTCTGTCTCACTTTTGTATCCTGAGTTGTTTTGCTCATCCTTCTGTCCCACTTTTGTATCCTGAGTTGTTTTGCTCATCCTTCTGTCCCATTTTTGTATCATGAATTACCCAAGAACCACTTGACAGAAATGTGTGAAACTTTCACAGAATTTTACTGGCATGATATACTTTTGCTCCTCCTGTTTTTTTTTTTATTTGAATTATTTGCTCACTATTGTACACATTTGTATCCCCTTCTTCTAAACTCAGAATTATAATTAAGTGAAACTTTCTCAGAATATTTACCATATAATGACATTTCAGTTTGTGAAACCTTACAAATGGAATATTTATTTCTCTTTACCAGGTAGCAGAAGTATAAGTTTAAGTCAGGTAGCAGAGAGTAATTCAGAAATACTTACATCACCTGTCCATGATAGATCATCAGAGAGTGTTCTGATTGGAGAGAATGTTTCTGATAATGTCCAGTCTTGGTGGAATGTACAGATGCAGAGTCAGGGTCCTGAACAAGATAGTGAATGACATAACAAACTTATCAAACAAATAGTTCTGATCATGTCTAGTCCATTCATAATCTGAGTGTTATTCCCAAAAGAAGCAGAAAAATCAAAAACATGATATATTGAGACTGTGCCAGAAATACATTTAGTTATTTGGAGGGGAGTGAAAGAAGGCACTAAAGTCAATAGTTCATAGGCATATAAGCTGAATGATATATGTTAGGAGGTAATTCAAAAGACTTTTCAGAAAGATTTCTTATTATGGTAGATTGTGGATGTAAGTAAAATGTGCCTCCTAAACCCCAACCTCCTCCCTTTAACATTTCTATCTGGTATAACCCTTTAACAAACATTTACAGACGGGTATATAATGATTATTGTTTTATTTGATGAAAGAGATATTTTATAGGAGAAATGTGATATATAGAACAGAATGATAAGTCTGATTTGAATATTTGGTTTGGTTTAATAGGTTACAAGCCAACCATGGTCATTGCATAAGCAATAAACAAAAAAAATGCAACAAGGAGCAGAAAAAGGTTAAATCTATTATTCTAGAATATTCAAACCATTTAAAAGTAGTCTTATATCATCTAGGGAACTAATGAAAATATTGTTTGTCAACAGCTGGAATTTGAAAATGTATGTATAAATCAGAATCAACTTCAATGGGGTATCTAAATATAGGGTATTTTTACACTTTACATAAAATATCCAACTAACATCTATACTGCTGGCTTTATCTGTGATGGTAATGATACATTTTTATTTTTGCATACATTGTCTTTTTGTTAATCATGTACACAAAGTTAAAATGAGTATTACACAGATATTTAGTGTTCAGAATGATATTAAAATTTTTACTGTATAATCATTTATATGTGTCATGCTTGTGTTGTGCTTGTGTCATGATCTCATTGCATAGAAATCTATGAATCATTTGTAAAACCAAGTGCAATAAAATGTTGTTAATTGTTTGTATGATTTATTTCTAATCCTATAACTTGTAGCAAAATGATAACTTAAGTATCTGTCTATATAGCAATTATGCTAATTTCCAAAGAAAGTGATTTACAGGAATGAAGCCTTTAATTTTGTTATTTGACTAACTGTTGACTAACACATCTGAAAAGGGTAAAGGTTCTGCATTTGCTGCCTGTTCATGTAAGAAAATTACCTCAAGTTACAAAGAAATGCACTGCAGATTATGGATTTATCTCCCCTTTCCAGAATTACTATACTGTATTCCATATAATTTATACAGGGTTAAATAGATAATTTAGATAGCTTTTGATATAACTGCATTCTGAACAAAATACCAAAAATTATTATTTTTAGGCTTTCCCTTCATGTATCACCTTATGCATGATTTTAAGTTGGAGTGGTACGCAAGTCTACCACCTGCAAACATTCCTCTTTCTGTGTTAGTTTAGGAATAATGGTAAACCTTGAAAGAGACTCACCTGTTGTTGGTTTGATGCATTTTTCTTACATTTTAATGTCATCCAACATTATTGCTAGAGGAAAGTGAGGTGTATGGGGGAAAAACCACTGTTTTGGGGGCAAAATCTACCACATACCACTTTGGATCAATTTGACATTTTGTGAATGATAAGTGCAAAACAAGAACCTATACTGTAGGATGATTAGCTGAAGTGATCTGTATAATGGATGATATTAACCAACTAGACCAGGTCACTAAGATCTTCAACATGTATGTATCTACACCTCGCACAACACAATATAACTACAAAAATAATTAACATAACAAACCTTTAAAAAATATTTCTTTTAAATCAAGTAAAAATTCAGCCTTATGCAGTTGAGTGAAGGAACATAGTGTTAGCATTGTAGGTGTCCCTCTCAAAAACTTGGGAAACCTTCTATTCAAAAGAAGTACATAAATCAAAAATAATGAATTCACAAGACTGACAAAACTTTGACAACCAATTAATATTGTCCCAGTTTTAACAGGCACAAAAATATGTACTCTTAGGTACGGCTCACTTGTGATATCCAAGCTTATTATTTTCTGTTAACAGGAAGTTAATTAGTGACAGATATGAAAATTTCAGGAAGCTGTGATTTGTAATCTCCGTGAAAAATGTGAGGAAAATTTCATACATGTCTATTTATGTGTAAGAATATGTAGGTATTTGGTAAAGAAGAAGTTGATTAGCAATAGGTGTGTGAATGCATCACACAATGTAGCAAGTTTAAATGAAGATTGATTCTAATTTTAAGGATACTCTATTTGTTGAAAAATATGACAAAAATTTCATGGGATGGATGGACAGACGTAAAGCAGTATATATCCCTCCTTTGGAGCAGGGTTATAATTAAATGTGGTTTAAAAGCACTACAATCAGTGGTCGGTTATCAAAAATGGCTTAACATCTGAAATTTCTACTGTCTGTTAGTTTTGAAATTGAAAATGGTTGAAAGAAAAGATTTATTTTTATGCTGGTTTGTGTGTCTGACCTGTATATTAGTTTTCATTAATCCATCCAGTATCAGGTTAAAGGTTTTGGTTTAATAATGTAGTTTACCATGAAGTATAGACACATCAACTTGAAACGTAGAACACATGTTAATTGTGAGGTGAACTGTTTAAATTATATGCCAAATTACGGTTTTGACTGATTTCAGGGTTCACTAAACATGGACATAGCAAGGCATGGTGTCCTGTGTACACACATTCTTGTTCTATTGTGATTCATAACATAAAGTGAAGTTGTGAAGAAAAGATGCAAACTACTGGTTTTATTCGGTTTTTGGATTCCATATGATGTAGCATTTGGTTTGATTAAGGGTTAATTTATTAAATTCATGTGCAGGGGTATGCCATGCACTCTGGACTCATGAGAACTCTCTTACCACAATTATTGAAGGGCATACTTTTTATGTATGTAGGATGCATTAATGCACAACCATGTCCGATGGGAGACATTAACTCTTTACAGTAATCTAAAACTGGAATGAAAGTGGGAGAATTGATTGCTGTATAACATGTTTCGACTCACCACTTGAATTCAAAAATTGCTCTACCCAGTGAATTGCCAATTGTTTCTATAAGGATTTTCTGAAAAGATTGATAGTAAATGTAGACTGCTATTTTTTACCTGCGTCGCAAAAGGCGGAAGCAGGTCTAATAACTGCTCAACAGCTTCCATCCATCCGAAAGAAATCTTTTGTCAACGTTTCTAGGCTTCTATGAAAGGGAATGATTTAATATTTTGTCTGCAGCTTTATAATGTTGAGTTGTAGCAAGTATTTAATTTTTATATCTTTGATGTATCCACTTTCTGCTTGCCAATAGTTTGAAATTTTACAACACTCATTGAACAATGAAAATTTTCGTGAAAGTTTTCTAGGCTCCTATAAAAGGGAATAACTTAATATTTCGTCTGCAGCTTGATAATGTTGAGTTGTAGCGAGTAAGCAATTTTTACATCTCCTATGTATCCATTTCCTGTTTGCCAATAGTTTGAAATTTTACAACACTCATTGTTCAAGGAAAATTTTTGTGAAAGTTTTCTTAGCTTCAGTGAAAAGGAATGATCATTAATGATCATTTATGCTCCAGTATACATGTTACCTCAATCAATGAAAAGCAGCGAGGCAGGTTCAGATCCAGTATTGGTCTTGTTCAAATATACTTTGAAGTTATAAAATCATTTGATATGATCTAGTTTCACGAAGAATAAATTTTATAATCTTTAAAAAAAATGAACAATATGAAAATATTAACCCACATAAAAGAAGATATGAGACCTACATGATTGAAGGCCATATGGTGACCTATAGTTGCTTACATCCATGTCATTTGGTCTCTGATGGATAGTTGTCTCATTGGAAATTATACCACATCTCCTTATTTTTGTATGAAAGGGATTTTGTAAATATTAGGATATTTAAGATTTGTCAAAGAGACCCCTGCTTGTCATTTCTTGTCATTTTTGTTGCAGGTGAAACTTACTTCTGGTAAATAAAGCATTATGTGCCATTAATAGAATGAAGATGATGACTTGAGAATACAAAGTTTTAACATCTTAGTGCATTAATATAAACACACAATATGAATATGATCACTTGGAATTTTAAAATAATTTCTGGCAGGTAATGATGAAAAAAATATAATCTAAAATGACTAGCACCTTTATTAATAAAACTAAAATAAACCTTCATCAGCTTGTTATTTTAGTAAGAGGATGTATAGTCCAGTTTGAAGTAGCTGTTTCAATGTCATCTATATGTTTTATGTTACTAAAGTCTTTATCACTGATACATGGAAACCCTTTACTCTTCATGCTGTCTATGTCTTTATATCCTAATTCAGCTGTTGTCCTTCTTGTCTGGTCTGTGTGGCCTAAGACCTTTTAAAGAAAAAAAATACATGATACATGTTTCTTCTAATAAGTGATATTTTAGTAACTCTATCCAATTGAGGCATTAGGTTAGGGATTCTTTCCAGTACCAATATTGTCCTGATTATGCATGAAATATTTGCCACTTGATGATAAGCAATCAACAATCTATCTATCAATCCTATACCAATAAAAGAGCCTCCCATGCAAGTATTAACTGTCAACAAAGCATCTGATTCATTTGACATAATGCAGATCTAACAAATTCGAGAAAACTATCCACTTAACAACTTGCAAAGTAAAAATTTTGACAGGTAATTATAAGATGTTAGATCCTAGAAAGTTAAAGCATGCATGTGTTCACAGAATATGCTTTATTTTTAATGTCTCACCTGGAAACTAATCCTTCTGTCTTCTTGTGGTAAGTATTGTTTGTACCATGATTTAAAGCTGTCCAAGGAAATGGTCCTAAGTACTGATATCTGGAATAACAAAAATTTAATGGCTCTTATATATTTTACTTTCTAAAACTATGAGAAACTAGACAGGAGACATAACTTTTATAGCCTAAAACTTAGTAACTAAAACATTTTTCTATTTTTTAGTTGTAAGGCTAAAAAAGAATTCTTAAATAAAGATCTATACTTATTAACAGTTGGACTCCCATATGGTTTTTTTTATCATCGCATTTTATCATACAAATTGCAACTGACACTTAATTTATTGCCACAAAAATGTACCGTAATTTAATACCAGCATTTTTTATAAAGGAGAACATGGTTCAAGATCAGAAAAAGAGCTATGAATTTAGAAATAGATTTTGACTTTCAATAGATCAGATTATCTTCTTAGTTTAAATTTAACTGCTGTTGAAATAAATTTGATATACTGCAATGAAAATTGTAAGAATGGGAGAGTTTTTGTTCATTTACAGTAGAATAACAATACCTTATCAAATGAGTTCATCAAATCAAATTATCAATTTTGGTGCACTGCCATTCATTCTTGCCAAAAACCTTATAGACAATAAATTTGTTTACAAATAATACTTTGATAATCTGTATAATTCATAGAAAGACTCGTTTCCCGAAGTAAAAATCTTCAGAAAAGAAAAGCTGGCATCCATGTTATGATTTAAAGTTATCACAAAGGGGATCATCTAATCACAATATAGTATTGTAACTTTGGAACTTTTAGGGGGGTAATTCACATGATAATAATAGTACAAAGAGTGATGTAATAATTGGATTTAAGAATGAACATGTTGAAAACCAGGAATATCTTTCACCCCAAAAAGTATATTTTAAAGAAAAGACGAAAGAAGTATGGTTAACATATCCAATGAAGATAGCCAAAGCTTCAATTTTGATAGAAAGAATGGTACGTCTGTAAAATTATATTTATATTGATATTCTACATCAGGAATTGAAATGAAAATCTTTATAGAGATTCATTGATAATGTCAAATATGTCATAAAAAATGAAAACAACACTTTATAAATTTCATGCTTCCTAAGCGCTTTTCTGGATTTACCTCCATCAGGAACGTTCAATTCCGAATATTTAAAAGCCAAGGATGTGTAAGAACAGAAACAGTTGAAGAGCTATATGACCAAAAACGACCTAAAAATAATAGCCAAATCCATCACAGGTCAACTTTGCCTTAGGGAGTTGAAACCTTAGTTTCTTTATAATTCCTTGATTTATAAACAGACAATTTAAGAAAAGTTTGTTATAAATCATGTCACCACCGAAGTATTGACTACTGAGCTGATGATACCCTCAGGGACTGATAGTCCATCGACAGCGGTATCGTCCATTATGTTTATTACGGTGATAACTTTGGTGGCTAACAGTGTGTCTTATTGTTTGTAATGAATTTTACCTCTTTTTCAAGTATATCAAATACATATAGCTGTTCTAATATTTCTTTCCAAGATCTGGATGCTTCCTCTCCCAAATTTGAATCTTCTGTCTGCTTAACAACTATCAATGAAGCAACCTACAAAAGATAATGTAGATTCATCAGCACAGCCATATATACAAACTCAAATTGATGAAGATAAATTCATCTTTAAATTATGTAGTAGAACCTTATTCTATGTAAAAATGTGCTTAAATGACAAATAACATGTCGCAACATTGGTGGTAATAATGACTAAGTTTGAAAATGTCTGAAAAATGTTTAAATTGAGCAAAAAAACAACCAGTTCAATTTACCGTAATAAATCTACAATAGTGTAGCCTCAAGTCATAAACAAAATATGTTGACCAATACATAAAAAGATTTGCAATAAAATTTATTTTTACAATGTTTAAACTTAAAATGATTTACCAAACTACTGAACTCAGTCTCTGTCATATCATCAATGGTGGTGCTGAAATCTTCTAAGAACTGTGTAATGTGATTGTCTACTTCCAACATACTAAAAATAAAACATATCAAAATAAAATGTATACCATGTTAATACCAGAGGGAAATATTGTCTTCAATGCTGTGAAATGCTAAGTGTTGCAATGAATACTTCTCAGAATACTTTTTCTTTCAATTGACTCCAAGTTTCACTAAAGTTCACTTGAGTTTTGAATCAGACACTGCCCCTGGGTCATGTGTTTTACAATATTTACTGAACCAATGTCAGTGTGTCTCATTATGTTTTTTGTATTTATTTTCTGATAAAGTGTTTCACACCTTGTCATTTACAAGTGCTATTTCAATAAGGCACTAGCACTTGATCATTCATTTAAAAGTCCATATAATAAAAAAAATAAATGTTTATTTTTGGGAAATCTTTTAGTGTCTGGTTGGCTAAAGATGACATGTAAATGTTTCACTTTTGGGATGTATTTCAATGTTAATTTGCTGTTCTAGATATATACCTCATTTCTCTTTGTATTAATGATTCATGATATTTGATCTCTTAAAAACATATATATATATATAACAAGTTTTTGAATCATGGTTGTAATTACTGTTTGATTGACACACTGCAAGATAACAGTTAAATTAAGAATTAGCCTAAGTTATTTGTTTTGAAATATTTACTATGCTGTGTGTTACCATTTCAATAAACTTTGGTAGGTTAACATGTCTACCTTAAAACTTAAAAAATGTAATTGATTTGGTCCTTGTTGTTTTTTAAACTGTTTGTTTGTATTTCAATAACAATAATTGTTATTTATTTTCCATGGTTTCAGGACTGTCTAATTTTAAGTAAAACTAGGATGTTCATGTTTTAGTAAAATTATCAGTTCATTCAAGGTAAATTGTAATATGAAAATGACAGATAACTAATATAAGATTGATTGATTTTTGGTGTTTAACACCACTTTCAGCACTGTTGGCTATATCGTGGCCAGTTTTAACTGACAAATGGAAGCTGGAGTCTACAGAGAGAACCACTACCTTTGGCAAGAAAACTGACAACCCTAGTCAATTAAGATAGTAGTCAACTGTGCCTGCCACATGTGGGAAAACTGATAACCCTAGTCAATTAAGATAGGAGTCAACTGTGCCTGCCACATGTGGGAAAACTGATAACCCTAGTCAATTAAGATAGGAGTCAACTGTGCCTGCCACATGTGGGAAAACTGATAACCCTAGTCAATTAAGATAGAAGTCAACTGTGCCTGCCACATGTGGGTTTGAAATCACAACCTCCGTGTTGACAGGCTAGAGATACAATAGATGAACTTAGACCACTCTGCCACTGAACTGCCCCTGTTTATTTAAGTTAATATCAGTAATTACAATACAATCAATTTTATTTCTCTTCATAATTTTTATGCTCTATACCTATCATATCGAGATTTACCTGAATTTATGAGCTTGGAATTCTACAACAATTGACATTCCCAGTATACCGTTGGTGACAAGGTTCTGACTATACACCTCATAGCCAAGCTGATGTTTTGTTCTTAATGTGTCAAAACAGGGTTCCTTTATTCTTGCCTGTTGTTTGGAATGAAGAGAAACATAGTTTTATACTGATTCACCCAGTTTATAACATACACAGTAAGAGGATACATCAGTTAAAACTTATTGTTGGTAGTTTTATTACTAGTAATGTCCAATAGTTGGTATTACATTGAAAACAAAACATATGTAAATTCTACAATACTCCACCATAAACCAAAGATGTGTTCATCAACCTCTTTAACAAAGTGGTTAATTCTATTCTAATGTTATCAAGAGCTAGGTAAAGTTAGTTTATGAAATAAAACCCACTCAAGCAAAATATGAGTTAAGCTGTATCAGTGAAAAACATCAATTTCTTTCCCCCTTAAAGTTTCTAGTTATTTTTAAAGATTATACACACTTTCATCATCTGTCTAGTCTTTCATGGTCAAAGACCATATACAGGCTTTTTTGTGTCGAGTTTCCCATGATTTGGGATTAAACACAGTATCAAACATTCTTGCACTTGTTTTTAAACAATAGTTAACTTGCCAGTGTTAAAAAATTAAACAATAAGTATTTATTTTTCAACAAACCTGGTGGAAATTAATGTTGAGTTGGTATTTATTACAAGGTTCATAATTACCTGTAATAAGTGGTTTAAACAATATGTGTGTTCAGACTGAAGGTACTAAGTAAATGTAGAGTTGGCATTTGATAGAAGGTACATAATTACCTGTAACAATTGGTTTAAACAATTTGTGTGAAATGTGCCTGGTTCAGACTGTAGGTATACAGTTAATGTAGAGTTGGCATCAGATAGGTTGTGACTGTACTGTTGACAGTAGTAAGATGACTTTGGTACTTCTCTAAGTAACAGCTACAATTGCAAAACACAAATGTATCTCTATCAGTGTTTTCCTATTAAATTATGAGAATACATTACAAAATGTTAATTAGATACAGTAATTTTTTTCAAACATTTTTTTTCATTTTTTACCCAGCAAGTTTCACTGGTAAAACAATAATAAAGGAACTTGACATTCCTCATTTTGATATCAATATACATTTTGTGGTCAAAGACAATATTTTTTTATATATCACTAATTACCAAAAATTCAAGGGCAGTAACTCATGAATAGTAATCACAAACTCAAAAATCATGGTACACAGGAATTAAATTGTTTAAGCGTGAACAGTTTTGGAAAATGACATTCTCTTAAAACATACCTTGAAGAAATGGAGAATGTGTCCATGGAACACAGATGATGCCCCCGCATGCATATAGCTTTATAAAGGGACATAACTAGAGAACTGTACAAATTAAAACTTGGTCTGTGTTTTATGGTAATAAGCATTGTGTACAAGTTTGATAACATTTGGAACGGAAACTAATTTTGGGACGTACATATGTACGGACAAAGGTCACACTAAATGCCCCCTCCGCCTCAGCAGGGGCATAAAAATGCTGTACTTCAAATAATCAAAGGCTAACTCCAGATTAAGTAAATAAATATTTGAATAATTTCAACTTGAATTCATAATCTGTGGTTCATTACACAGTTAATCTTTGGCAACATTTTAATAGTGGTATTACAATTTCATATGGAATTTAAAACTGTGTATGATGACCTATAGAGGCCACATCATTTGGTCTCTGGTGGATAGTTGTCTCATTGGCAATCACATCACATCTCTCTATTTTCAACTTAATATTTTTTTGAGAATCACTATATTCTCCAGACCTCTATATGATGATGTTATTGTGGACATATACAGTAAGAGTCTGTTATAGGAAATAGAACTTAACTATTATTGTGCATTTTTCAAGCATAAATTGTTTTATACATATATAATTCTTAAAGGAAATTTAATTGATTACTAATTGGTTCTCTAGTTAGTTTCTTTGTCATTTTTTTCTGTAAAAAAGAACTGAGATATGAATACATTAACAGTAAACACCACATACCTTGAACTGCTGGTCATGAGGTACAACTTCACCAGACATATGACTCTTCATTATGTCAGCATAACTCACAGCTTCCTGAAGAAAAAATCCATCATTCAATATAAAAGTCTCAAAAACTTGTTGATTGATTAATAGTTGTTTGCTTATTACCCAGTGGCAAATATTTCAAGCATATTCAGCAGAAGAAACAAATAAACAATTAATACAATAGGTAAGTTCTTCAAGGTAGGTTGGCCAGGATTAATGCTGAAATAAGGCAAATGAGGGTATGATGGATTGGGGCACAAATTTGGCCTTGCAACAGTACAACTTCTTGAATCTTATCTACCCACTTAAAGATATACTCAAACAAATCTGTTTTACGGATTTTGCATACTAAGAGGAAGATAGTAATCAGAATGACAGAATTTAACCACCAAATAAACCATTTTTAGATAAAGTAATATATTGAAATAAAACATAATCTGATAAGAAAAGGTTAAGACATATATGGTAATAAAACATAATTTACATAAACTAGCCTTGCAGAATGAACTTAAAAAAATGTTAACACTCTTCACCTTTATAAACCCTAGTGTCTTCTCAACCTGACAAATGAGTTCATAGAAGTTTATTTTACAGTACACATTCCTTCAATGTTATATATTCTTACCTCTGGTGTGAAATTTCCAGTGACAAAGGATTCTACAAACAGTTTAGACTGAAATTCTTTGACAAAATTCATGAATTTGACAAAGTCTTCAGACAGACTATCTACAACAAGATATTTTTCTGCATAAGTCCATTGAACTGGTTCTAGTACAGCAAATCTTACATTTCTGAAGGATATAAATATGTATCAAATGTTACAGGGTTAAAAAATATTAAATTACACTAGAAATAGTCATAGCCCTTTCCAACCGATTTTTACAATTTGTTTGTATGTTGTGCTGTTACACCAGGCAAGGGAAGGGTGGGTAAAGTGCTCTCAAACATGTTTAACCCCACCACATTCTGTATGTACATGTCTGAAGTCAGGAACCTGTAGTTCAGTGGTTGTTATTGGTTGCTGTCTGACATAATTGTTTTTGTATTAAAATAAAATCAGGTAGTTGGTTTTCTCATTTGAATTGTTTTACATTTTATCTTGTCTGGCCTTTTATAGCTTACTATATAAAATAGGTTTTGCTTACTGTTGAAGGTCGTATGATGACCTAGTGTTGCTCACACTCACATCAATTGGTCTCTGGTTGATAGTTGTCTCATTGGCTATCATACCACCTCTCCTTTACTTATATAAGAGTAAAAAAAAATTATTTGTCATAAAGTTTGACTAGGAAAATGGTTATTTAAGAATATTAAATTTCATGATTTATCCAAAATCCATAGACCATCGGTTCTGTAATTTAGAGTTCTATGCTTCTAAGGATACAAAAACAGATAAACAGTGTATGTTCATTTTGTAGTTTATTGCATCAAAAAAACCCAAATAAACTGATCCTCAAGAATAATCACATATTCACTGAAAGCCATCTTTTCCCAAAAACTGGAATCCATGAATAATTTAACTTATTATATAAACATCATCTAGTAATTCATTATACTTTAAAGAAGTTTTAACAACTTTTAAAAATACTTCACATACCTGCATAATTCATCTGTTTTTAACATAGTATTGTGATAAGACTTCTTAAGCTCAGTACAGATAGCCTGATAAAACTTTTCTGTAGTTGTTAAATTAAACACCTCCTTCATCACTGCTTTTAACAGTTCCTATAATAAACACAATTTCTTTTCATATATTACAATGTTAAAATGATTATACATTTTAGCTAGTCTACCAGGAAAGCTTTCACAGCCAACTGGGACAGCCCTAAAAGACTTTTTATTAGCATATATTGATGCAAAAAGACCTGGTATGACATGGTTCTCAGTAATGCACCTAAATGAGATTCACCATTTTTGCTGGGACTCACCAAAAAATTGAACTTTTGACATGAGATTCACCCATTGTAAATTCCCACCCAGAACTATAATGATAAAATTGTAAAGTACAATAAAATGCACCTGGGCGCAGCTTGATACCACCGCAGAGGTCGAACCCTGAACAGTTGGGGCAAGTATGGACACAACATTCAAGCTTGATACAGCTCTGAATTTGGATTGTGATTACATATTTGACACAGCATAGGTTTCTGACACAGAATGAATGTGGTCTAAGAACTTAAAATTTTTTAATTTACCTATTCAAATCATATCATTATTATTTGCTTTTGTATATAAATCAGAAATAACCAATTTAAAATGCAAAATTTAAAAAAAAAAAAAAAAAGGAAAAAAGGAAACCCCCCCCCCCCAATTTTTTGAACCCCCTTATGATTCATCACCCTAAACTCAATCCCAGCCTCCCCTTTGTGGTATGGTACCTTGCAGTACAATTTTAGAGAGATCCATACACTTAAACACAAGTTATTGTCTGGAAACTAGAAAACTGCTTGTTTTTTGGCCCCTTTTTGGCCCCAAATTCCTAAACGTTTAGGGCAATTACCCCCAAACTCAAACCCAGCTTTCCCTTTGTGACATGGAACCTTGTAGTACAATTTCAGAAAGATCCATACACTAACACACAAGTTATTGTCATGAAACTAGAAAAATGCTTGTTTTTTGCCCCTTTTTTGGCCCCTAATTCCTAAAATTTTAAGGCAATTACCCCCAAAATCAATCCCAGCATTCCCTTTGTGATATGGAACCTTGTGGTACAATGTCAGAGAGATCCATACACTAACACACAAGTTATGTCTGGAAGTTACAAAAATGCTTATTTTTGGCCCCTTTTTGGCCCCTCATTCCTTAACTGTTGGTACCATAACCCCCAAAATCAACCTTTCTTTTGTGGTATTGAACCTTATGGTAAAATTTCATAGAGATCCATTCACTTAAACTAAAGTTAGAGTGCTAGAAACCAATGTGTCTACAGATGACGACGACGCCAACCTCATACCAATATTAGCCAATCAATGAATTATATGAACCATACAATATTTCCTGGACTTGAGATAGTGGACAGCCGGTTATGGATAATTTCCTATCTCATAATACAACTTATGCATTGTATTTTTAAACAGAAGTTACTATTTATAAGAATGTAGATTCAGAACCTTATTAATGACAAATTTTAAGAAAAGACAACAAAAAAATTAAATGTGTAAAAAAAAACTGAATTTTCTTCTTGTAAATCCTTTCTTCTGTAAATTATGAAACACTTTTTCAAAAGATTGACTGATATTTCAAACTAAATTCTATCTTACGCAAATAACAAATATCAACATTAATATTAACTTACAGGAAGTTTGTGAGAAAAGCCGTCCATTATAATCTCCATTCCTGTCTTATGGCCATCTATTGAAAAACTAAAAATAAAAAAAAAAAACATTGATTTGCATAGACTGAGTATTCTCTGAAGTTTCTCTAAAATACAGAAAGTTTAATTTAATTAAAAAATTTGGTCATTACTTAAAGTTTAACAGTTTTATCCAATTATACTTAAACCCCTTTTTATATGACATTGATGTTAGTTTTAAGGAAATTTAAAAATCTAATAAAATCAACTTAAAGGGTTTTAAATAAATCTTCATACTTACTCAAGGTCAGCCATTACTGCTGAATATGTTACTTCATTCAGTATCTGTGTTAACAGGTTGATGTATATGTCAAACATAGTAGCACTACAAATATATAAAATAACCATGCCTAGTTCTCTGCAAAACAAAACTGATTTCAAATACATCATGTGTTTGTTCTAAAAAAATAATTAACTGAGGTGTGCAAACAATTGCTTCCTTCAAATAACAAAAAAAAATTGCAAGTCAGGCATTTTTTAATCTTGTCATTTAAAAAAAAATTAAACTAAAATTTAGATCAATTTCTGTACTTAATAGATTTGACAAACTAAAATATATTTTGCTAATATTATTTACTGAAGGATGAAAAACAACTTATTACTGATTGCTACTGATTTTTGCAGTTTGATCTTATGTTGTGTAATTACACCACTGTACAAGGCTAAGGGGAGGGTTGAGCGCTCATAAACATGTTTAACCCTCACCACATTCTTTATTTGGCTGTCCCAAGGGAGAAGCCCGTAGTTCAGTGGTTGTTGTTGGTTCATGTCTGTCATATTTATGAGGCCATTGGTTTTCTTGTTTAAATTGTTTCACAATTTTCATGTCAGCCTTTTATAGCCAACATACTGTATGGGATTTCTCATTGTTGAAGGCAGTACAGTGTACAGTTACCTATAATTGCTTACATCCAATTCATTTGATTTCTGGTGGATAGTTGTCTCATTGGCAATCATACTACATCTCCTTACTCTTATATTAAAAAGGATTGAACCACAAGGGTTCAAATTAACATTTGGTACTGGAAGGTCCAGGACCTTTGACACTCCAAACTGAAAGGTCCACAACCTAAATCCCAGGTCCTACCGGGTACTTTTACATAAAATATTTCATAACTCAAAAAGATACAAAATTAATGTGCTTTTGGAGTAAGGTTAGTTTGTTTCATCATATTTGAACTGCATGTGATGTTTCGTTTCTCATATAATGAGCTATCCAGCGAATAAACAGTTTACAACCTTCAATATTGAAGTACTGCTTACACATCAACACCATTTTTGCACTGGATTTCAAGAATAAATTCATAGTCACTGAAGGGTTTCCCTTTTTTGCAATACTGTATGCAGTGTTGAAAAGAACCTTATATTTATTTAACTGATCAGGCTTACATTGCTGCTTGAGAATACATTGTCCAAGTTACGTGTCTGACAATTAATCTTTAGACTAAAAATTTGGGTCACTTTCATGGATCCACTGCTTTAAACAAGATAAAAGCTGGGGTGTCACTTTCAAGGTTGGCAAAAAAGCGGTCAATACTAGTATTGACCAGGCCAGCGGTAAATACCGGGAAATACTGGCAAATACTGGTCAATTGAAATTTTGATAAGATATTACTATTAAATACAGTCCCTACCTGGTCAACTACAGGGTAAATATTTATCATGCAGTTGAATAGTCAGGAATAAAATAATTGTTTTAAACAGTCTTCAAAAATAACTTTTATGACTTTTTTCCTGTTATGTCAACATTTATTAGGGGACAGTTGTAATATTGAATAAACTTTTGACACCTGCTTGCCATTTAATAGGTAATGCCCTGATAATCTAGTCACCTGTAATTCTATTTACCTGTTAAAATCAAACCTTTTCAAGAAAAAAATATACATATTTTATACATGTTGAAATAACTGATATAGCAATTTTATATTCATACCTAAACTATGTTATATCATTACCCATAAGAACTGAATAAGTCATTATTCATGCTAATAATTGATAAAACATACCAATATCAATCCTTTTTATAAACTGAATCATGCCATATGAATAAAGTTAAAATAATTTCCCCTATCAACTAAGATTTAACTAACATTGATAGTAAAATCTGTCAAAAGAACCATGAAAATTTCAATTGTCCAGTATTTGCCAGTATTGACCACTTGAGGAGTATTGACCAGGGTGGTAAATACCGGTAAATACCACTGGTAAATGCACGTTGTATATTTTTATTGGGTCTATTTTAAGATTTTGTGTTCCCCTTACAAGTGCACTTTCTTTTTCTGAATGGGTGGGGAACTTCTGGCAGTATGTGCATGACATTAGACCAGTTGATTCATCAAAATATAGCCACGGTTCGATCGTTTTTCCAGTGGGGCTTAAATGTCAGTTCCTGTTTTTCAGAAAGCATTTTTGGTCTTTAGTGAGATCTTCATTTGATTTCTTTTGAAGACACAGGCACTTGTTTCTATTCATGGGAAGGTTGAATATCCTTCTATATTTATGGATAGTTGACCTTCCCATGAATAGAAACAAGTGCCTGTGTTTGAAGACCATTCATAATCTTCAGGCTTTCTCTTGGAAGACATGACACCAAAGTGAAACGGACTCATTTTGTTCGAAAATGTCTAAATGATTTGTCACATGACTTCTCGCAACTATTTATAACGTTGTGTTTCCAAGAAATACAAGGTCAAAATTAACTTTTATCACTCGTCGGCAAGGTCAGGGATGAAACATTTTTTTATCTCAATTTCAAAAATAATATGGCTTAAAAATGACGATACAGATGGTTAAAAAGGTCAGCAAAGATCATTTTTATTTCCTTTAAAATCGAAGGTCCGTGGGGCGTAGCTAGTAACCAAAACGAAAGTCTGATTGCAACAGTGGAAGGTCACAGACCTCGGACCACCGCTAATTTGAACCCCTGAACCATGTTTCCTCTCCAGAAAAAAGCAATACTCTAATGACATAACATCTAATTGCAGTTCTTGTCTATACTTTTCCCAATTTTGTACATTATCAAGAACACTCATTATATGTACGTTAATATCAATTAAATTATACTGGGAAATTGTCATAAAAATGACACAAGTTTAGAAGGAAAAAGTTTTCAAAATATCCTAAATATGAATATTAGTTAACTTACTTCTCCAAGGTTTTGTATGTGACAGGACTCATAAGGTGAATATGTATGTACCCTGAAATTGATTGAAAAAATAAAATTGATATATCAATAATATCTCAAATGTACATTTTATAACATCATGGTGTTGTCAATTTATTTTTGACATATGAATTTTAATGTCACTTTGGTATTCTTCGCCTCTCTTGTGTCATTTGTTGAAATAATAAACAGGGATAGGAAAAATAACTTGCTTTTAAAAATGGTTATCAACTTAAATTATGCTTGGCCAGTGTTACTTCAAATTATGTGATTCAATTAAAATGCTTTAAGTCTAGTTTAAATAAACTGACTTCTCATAACAACACATTGATGGTTTTTGTTAACATTTATGACTCTTTCATAATGTCTTCTTGCTATGATCGAAAACTCTTCCCTATATTAGATAATTTAAAAAGTTTACTGTACCTTTAGGGACACAAAATTTATTGTCCTTTTTGTACCACATTTTTATGAAGCTGTCTTCTTTCAGCAAAACTGGGTACTGAAAATATAAGGTTATTGTCACTTAAAAACTATGTTTTTATATTCAGTCTAAAAGCTCCTTAGAGCTTGTGTTGTATACTTGACTTATGCCTAATCAAAATAAATTTTTCTTATCTTATCTTATCGATTTGTTCCAAATGATGTTTAATATAAACTTGCGAGAAAAGGAAGAAACCTGGTATTATTAAATCACATAATTTTAACCCTGGTAAATATGAAGTAAAGAAAGATTACTTTTTATAGGAGAAAAGTGATGATAAAATAAATTACTGTCAAGTCAGTAGTTTTTCCATTGTTTTTTTTTAAAGATGCTTTACCAACTCATGAGGAATAATCTATATATAGCTTGAATATTAGGCCACCTTTTCACATAAATCAGATTTTACAACAAAAATAGTGATCTTAACACCATAAATATTTTTCTTTGAGAAAGCTGCCAAAATTAAAATGGACATTGACAATTAAAATACTTAGAGCAGATATATTTTTATAGCTGATTAGGCTCATCACTGCAGATGTTATGATTCTAAAGTAACCAAATTATTACTAAATTACTAAACATTTAAAAAATATTCCTCAACTCTCATCTTATCCCTAAATTTAACATTTGTCCTAATTTTTAAAAAGTTGTAACCCTAAAAAATGTTAATCTTAACATGGAGGCAATTCATTTCTATAAAAAAATGCAGATTAATTAAAATTCAAAAACCCCAACCTTCAAATCTCTTTAAAAAATTAGATGAGTATCTAGAAATATTTATTTCATTGTCTAATACATACTTACTTACTTTAGTACAAGACTCTTCCTTTACAATTTTAAGATCAAAATCAGTGGCTACAAAAGAATCATTTAATGTGTGAATAAAAATATTATTATTTTCATGCATACGGTATCCATGGTATCTAAGGAAGTAGGAAATACCTTATTACTATTTTTTTAACTTTTAATGAAAACTCAGAAAAGTAAATTAAAACACATAAATCAGTCCCCTGCTTAAAATCCTAGGCAATGAAACATAAAATTTTGATGCTCATAAATGATGTTTTAGGGCATTTCATTAGTTGTCCCAATTTGAGGAAGTGAAAAACTAAAGAATGCTCAATTTTTTTCTTTCAAAGATAACACATTAATAATGCTTTTTAATTTAAAGATGCTGCCTACAAATTCTTTACCTATCAATTCACATTATATATTATTATAAGACCGCAAAAAAATTTTGCGGTCGTATATTGGTATGACGTTGGCGTCGTCATCGTCGTCATCGTCCGAAGACACATTGGTTTTTGCACTCTAACTTTAGTTTAAGTGAATGGATTTCTATGAAATTTTACCATAAGGTTCAATACCACAAAAGGAAGGTTGGGATTGATTTTGGGGGTTATGGTACCAACAGTTAAGGAATTAGGGGCCAAAAAGGGGCCAAAAATAAGCATTTTTGTAACTTCCAGACATAACTTGTGTGTTAGTGTATGGATCTCTCTGACATTGTACCACAAGGTTCCATATCATAAAGGGAATGCTGGGATTGATTTTGGGGGTAATTGCCTCAAAATTTTAGGAATTAGGGGCCAAAAAAATGTAAAAAAACAAGCATTTTTCTAGTTTCATGACAATAACTTGTGTGTAAGTGTATGGATCTTTCTGAAATTGTACTAAAAGGTTCCATATCACAAAGGGAAAGCTTGAATTGAGTTTGGGGATAATTGCCCAAAATCTTTAGGAAAAAGGGGCTAAAAAGGGGCCAAAAATAAGCATTTTTCTAGTTTCCAGACAATAACTTGTGTTCAAGTCTATGGATCTCTCTGAAATTGTACTGCAAGGTACCATACCACAAAGGGAATGCTGGGATTGATTTTGGGGGTAATTGCCTCAAAATTTGAGGAATTAGGAGCCAAAAAGGGGCAAAAAACAAGCATTTTTCTAGTTTCAGGACAATAACTTGTGTGTAAGTGTATGGATCTTTATGAAATTGTACTACAAGGTTCCAAATCACAAAGGGAAAGCTGGGTTTGAGTTTGGGGGTAATTGCCCTACATTTTTACAGTTTCCAGACAATAACTTGTGTTTAAGTGTATGGATCTCTCTGAAATTGTACTGCAAGGTACCATACCACAAAGGGAAGGCTGGGATTGAGTTTGGGGGTGATGAATCATAAGGGGGTTCAAAAAATTGGGAGGGGGGGATTTTTTTCCTTTTTTTCCTTTTTTTTTTCTTTTAAATTTTCCATTTTAAGTTGGTTATTTAAGAAATAATTCATGGCAGCCGTAGATTTGTTTTCATTAAACCATGGGTTGGGCATTTATATTCGATTATTTAACCCTGAGCGTTAGCCCTTTACATACGATACTGTTTTGGCTGTTCCGTTTTACCCAATTTTGATAATATTAATAATATTATATAATTCAATGATTATTTTTTTTTAATCGCATTTTTCACTTATATATTTTCTTCCAATGTAATTTTATTCGTTCTGAGACGTACAAGAAGCTTTAAAAAGCCCGGTATTTACATTTGATTTTTTGTTTACGTAAACATATTTGTGACGTCACCTTGTTTCGTTGCCATGTCAAGACAAAAACATCAAATTCGCAGAATTTTCGTTTTATGAAATTTTACCATGAAAAATTAATTGAAATGGACTGATTTGTTTATTTTGCTGTAGAATAGAGATAAATATATTGTATCTGAAGCTTGGCCTTCGTAAACTGGGGATTTTGATGTCGAAAATTGAGAATATCTGGCAGTATAAATAAGTTGGTCGTAACGCGGAACAGCCGTTTATGTGTATTACTGTGTTTGCGCTAAAGGTAGATATATTGTGATTATACTGGTTGACGATAATAGGTCGTCATATTAGAATTTTGATTTATATATAAAAGCAAATAATAATGATATGGTTTGATTTCATCAAAAATTGAATTCTTGGGGTTCTTTGGTATGCTGAATCTAACCGTGTATGTATTTAGATTTTTGATATTGGACCATAATAGGTAAATTAAAAAATTTTAAGTTCTTAGACCACATTCATTCTGTGTCAGAAACCTATGCTGTGTCAAATATTTAATCACAATCCAAATTCAGAGCTGTATCAAGCTTGAATGTTGTGTCCATACTTGCCCCAACTGTTCAGGGTTCGACCTCTGCGGTCGTATCAAGCTGCGCCTAGCAGAGCATTTTATTAATAATAGTAAAAGGCTGTCAAGTTACTTTGAGGTAAAGGGTGATTAGTTTTGATTGTTAATTAGCTTTATTAAATGATGTTTACATTGGGAACAAAAATTCTGTTTTGAAGATATATTAATGCCTTACCAATGTACTGATTTGGCTCAGGGAAGTGAAGTTCTGGATTGTTCTGTACACCTGAAATTGAAACCAGAAATATTAAAGAAAAAAAAATATTAAACATTATAAAAGCCACTATTTCTAAAATATGAAAGACACTATAAAACATTTAAAGTAATTACTCATTGTTTACAGATCTATTAATGATCACAAATACCAAGAAATACCTACTTACATGCATACCTTTTGCATTCATCCCTCAAAAGGGATGCATTTTTATAAAATTTCAATAAATAAGGTACAAAAGCCTTATATGTAGAATTTTGTACAATGTATGTTTGAATGCTCTTGGATAAAACCTGTTCAAGGAATTGATAAAACAGTGCGTATCCTCCTTTAGGTGTAACACCACTAATTCGGCCCGGCCAGAAAGCACATACCAGAAAGTAGTACATATTTAACACAAAATAGTTCCTACGCATGAGTGTAACTTTCAAAATATGTAGAATATTTAGGTATTGTTGGTATCAAATGAAAGCTGGATGACTGGTGATCATTGTAGAACACTTTTTGACTTATAATTTTGAATATTAAAAAACTGCACCAAATTTTATAAAGAGGGTACTTTTTGCCTGTATGTCAGATCTGAAGTACCTGTTTTGGTACATCCGAAGTTCCGGGAACCAGTTCTTTCTTATATGCCATTAAAGGTATGTTGATTTTTCCAGTACAAGACACCATAAAGTGTTGCTTTGACATGCAATGATTGTCACTTTATTTGAACTTGAAACAAAAGAGCTGTGTCTACTTGAAATTGAGGAATTTAACATAGAAAGCAATGGGGCCATGAATTAGTGGTGTACTTCCTATTACAGAGAATCATCAGAAATTCAATTTTTAGAAGTTGTACCTATTCCAATAAAATAAGTCATATTTGATGTAAGTAAACATGTTTAATCATCTTTTTTGGATGAACAATTCTGTTTATGGGAAATTTCAGCTCTTAAATTGACATAATCAGGTATTGTAGCCTTTTATGGTCACACAACATGCATGCAGTTAAGACTTGACTCCAAATTCTTATTTTTGCATTATTTGGGATTGCAATCAATAAAACATGTATACAATGACTTGTTTATGGTAAAAAAATAGCTCTTGGTCAAATAATCCTATTATTTTTCAAGTTTTATTGGTTTTCTTATGATAGCCTTTTACAATCTAGGCAATTGGTATATACTCATATAAGAATTCCAAAATCTCACTGCACATGCAATTTTGAACCAGTTTAGCAAGTTATCCAGCTGAAAATTTATAAATTGCTCTTTATAATCTATGTTGTACCACAGAAGTATGGTTTATACCAAAAATGTCCCTTTTCCAATTTGAAGAAAAAAGGGGGGACAATTTTCTCAATTATGTCTTAGGTTTGGTCTAATATATTTTTATTAAATGAACAAACTCTGGTGAAATATGACTATTGGTAAGCACATTGTTTTCCTAACAGAAATTATTAAATACAACAATGCTATTGAGAATAAAATAAGTATATTGGCCATTTATAATATCCATATGCAGTTTTCTTTGAAAAACCTATATGTTACTACCAGTCCAATTTGAGCTTAAAATTAGAAAAATAGTATTTGGACTTAAGCTTTATGTGTTTTTTATTACTTGAAATAGATCATAGAATGAAATTAAGTGATGCTGAAGTCAGTATAGCAAGTTTGGTTCTGTTATAGGTGTAACACCACTAATTCGGCCCGGCCAGAAAGCACATACCAGAAAGTAGTACATATTTAACACAAAATAGTTCCTACGCATGAGTGTAACTTTCAAAATATGTAGAATATTTAGGTATTGTTGGTATCAAATGAAAGCTGAATGACTGGTGATCATTGTAGAACACTTTTTGACTTATAATTTTGAATATTAAAAAAACTGCACCAAATTTTATAAAGAGGGTACTTTTTGCCTGTATGTCAGATCTGAAGTACCTGTTTTGGTACATCCGAAGTTCCGGGAACCAGTTCTTTCTTATATGCCATTAAAGGTATGTTGATTTTTCCAGTACAAGACACCATAAAGTGTTGCTTTGACATGCAATGATTGTCACTTTATTTGAACTTGAAACAAAAGAGCTGTGTCTGCTTGAAATTGAGGAATTTAACATAGAAAGCAATGGGGCCATGAATTAGTTGGTGTACTTCCTTTAAAAATTTTGCTGAAAATTAAGCTTCACCATTTGGACAATCTACAACACTTCCCCAATTTGCATAGAAAATTGAAGATTCTGCATAAAAAACTGTACAAGAAGTTGATTTCTTTAAATTTGTACCTGCTAATTTAATAAAATGAGTACTCTTTTTTTTTCTGATTGTCTACCTTTCCTCTAAACAAACATTCACATTACTATAAGCAAATCTGCTCATTGTCTAACTAGGTGAATTATGCAGCTTATCTAGAGCAGTGGATGTGTCAAACAAGGTCAAATACCGGTATGCAGATTATCTACAGTAGTGGATATGTCTAACAAGGTCAAATATGCAGCTTATCTGCAGCTGTGAATGTGTCAAACAAGGTCAAATATGCAGCTTATCTACAGCAGTTGAAGTGTCTACCAAGGTCAAACATGCAGCTTATCTACAGCAGTGGATGTGTCTACCAAGGTCAAATATGCAACTTTACAGCAGTAAATGGTTTTTGAATTTTGACTATCATATCATGGTAAACATTTTTCCAGCAACATTGTAGAATTATTTAAATGAATCCATTTTTTTCAATTTCAATATTGATTTTTGGTAGTAAGGGGTGATTTTTAAAATCCTTACCTGTGTTGTAACAATATTTTAAACTAAGAAATATTGCTGCTTCTCATACTTACTTTGTAAGTTCAACATTAATTTCTCATCAAATTCTTCCATGCAGTATTTAACTTTGTAGTATTTTTCTTCCAATGTACATAGTTCTTCAAGTTCTTTTGCCATTAATGTAACATTACAATGCTCTGGTGTCATGAAATCTAAAAATGATTTCACCATCTGGAAAAAATATTAATCGTCAAAAATAAATAAAAAATTCTTACTCTGCTGCCTAGGTAAAACAAACACATAAGCTTTTATCAGACCACAAATGAATAGGAAAACATAATTTTTAGAACAGCAGCTGGTTCTTGTTTTGTAATTCTGTTGATTTGTATCTGTGGAATAACACATTCCATGGATTTTACAGAAAGGAGCAAATGACCAATTTTATACTCAACAAATAATAAGACAAATAAAACAATAACATGCTTTATACAAACAAACCAAGTTTGTATTCTGTTGTCTCGTATAGTAATATTTTTCTGTAGTCTCGTATTTTTAATTTTTTCTCCAGTCTAATGTTGTATATTTATTGAGTCTCATAAAGTGAAATATTGTTTCTGTACTTTTTGTGTGAGGTTGTCTAATTCTTGTATAGTTGTTAGAGTGGTCTGCAAAACTCCTTGTTTATGCCTCTAGTGTCAGTGATCAAAACATTCCAGGTCACCAGTGGAAGGCTTACTAAATTTCTAGAGACATTTTTATTTACCTTTTCCAAAGATCAAGGTAGGTATATGCAAGCCTTCCATTGATAAGATGAAATGTTTAATGGTCACATCAATCTATATTTAACTGATGTAACTTTTCAGGTAAAATTATGTTCTGTTTGTATTGATGGGCAAGTCCTGACATCCCACAATTATTTACAGTAAAACTCTCCTAATAGAGCAAATCTCAATTAAAGTCCCGATCTCATCCTTGTAAATGAACAAATACCAACCCCGAAAAACTATACCAAATGTCACAAAAGGGGTATCTGTGTGTAAAACAAAAACATAGTCTCAGCAAAATCATACTGGCTTAAAGCAGAAAAATATTTTAGAATGAATAATAATTTTATTATAAAAAACAATTAATCAATCTGGTTTTGGCCCTAGGGAAACACTCAGCATACAAGACAATTTTTTGAGTTCCTGCCTGAGCAAGTCAGCTTGCAACCTCCAGTGTGAGGAAGAACCTGCCTGCCCGACAATACGCCAGTGTGCCTCCTAGTGAGATTCCAGTTGTAACTTCAAGTGTCAAATGCCAGGGAAATTAACCTCAAGATATAACAAGTGGTCTGTGTATGTTAATTAAATGTATCCAGAAAGTCAGCATCTTTATTATCACATTAATTATTAAGTGTAAGCTGGAATGGTTGTTTGTATAAACAGTACTTATATTACATATAAGTACAATATTTATACAAACAAACCAAGTTTGTATTCTGTTGTCTCGTATAATAATATTTTTCTGTAGTCTCGTATTTTTAATTTTTTCTCCAGTCTAATGTTGTATATTTATTGAGTCTCATAAAGTGAAATATTGTTTCTGTACTTTTTGTGTGAGGTTGTCTAATTCTTGTATAGTTGTTAGAGTGGTCTGCAAAACTCCTTGTTTATGCCTCTAGTGTCAGTGATCAAAACATTCCAGGTCACCAGTGGAAGGCTTACTAAATTTCTAGAGACATTTTTATTTACCTTTTCCAAAGATCAAGGTAGGTATATGCTTTAAATGTATCCAGAAAGTCAGCATCTTTATTATCACATTAATTATTAAGTGTAAGCTGGAATGGCTGTTTGTATAAACAGTACTTATATTACATATAAGTACAATATTAATAATTGAGTTGTTAATTACTAAAAGTGTTCTTTGCAATTTTCATTTTTTCTGATGACAATATTTTTCAACAGACCCAAATTTTGTCTAAAAATTTTGTTTTCCTAAAATATATTTAACATGTTACCGTAGATACTCGCCTAATAGTCGATCCTACTATAAGTCGGGGTCCCTTTTCAGCTCCAAATTCTAAGGATTTAGTCTTGACCCTCGTATAAGTCGGACAAAATTTGGGCATTTTTTTTTCAGCTGACAGTAACTGAACGCCAGTAAAACCAATACAAATCCAGGAATAATATTCATTTCTGCATTAATGTTTGTTTGGTTTGAATTTAGTTGATGCTCATCATGATAATTTATATTGCTGTTAATAATAAAGATGTATTCATTTCTCTTGTTTTGTTCACTGTTCAAATGTTAGATTAGCCATGTGTTGTTTACGTAATGCATCAATGATTTTGTAGGGTATGACTAACAACCTATTGTTTGAGAAAAGCGAATATAAACCAATATGAACCTGAAAAATTTAAAGTCAATCAACACTTGATGAAAATATTTTTCACAGCATACATAACTCGGTGTTAAATGAGCATGTACACTTCATAATTCTTATTATATTGTGATGATTAAAGGATTAAAAAAATTAAGTGAAGCTAATCAATATATTAAAATAACTAACTCCAACTCATTAGTGTCATCTGTTTACCTATCACTGATAGTTTTCACACCTTTAGTGAATACAACTCTTTGTCTCTTAATTGGGGTTATCAATGGATTATATTGGCTTGTCAATCAATTTTGTAATTTTTGTTTACCTGAGACACTATAATGAATAATATTTTGATTTTGGGGATGAATCTTAAAATTATTTTTTGATTATTATATGATTTATAAGCATTGAATTGATATCATGATATCACAATAATGACACAATAACTCCGCTGAAAACATCCTTTCACATATTTGGTACATTGTTATCTCCTTTTCATTTTTGGTTCTTGGCTCTTCTTTTGGGTTTATAGGAAAACCATGTGACCATGAAAATCAATACACAAACCGGAAACAGTAGAATTTCAACACGAATTTGCAGAAAATGTTTACCAAAGAACAAATAAAACACAAAGACAGTATTGAAGTCATTTATTTTCAACAAAAACTTTTTATTTATTGATTTATGTAGGTTTGGCAATCAAAAACGTAGTTTTGACCAGGAAATTCACTCCTGACCACTTTTCTCAAGCTTGGATTTTTCCTCTGGTCGCTAGATCTCGTCTATTAGTCGCCCCCCCTCTCTGGATTATGAATTTTACTCCCAATTTTCCGACTAATAAGCGAGTAGGAACGGTACCTTCTCATCATACTGATAAAACTGTGATCTTCCAGTTAATACATCCTCTTCTGAAAAAAACTGCATGTTTTCTGCTACTTTCTCTACATATTCTAAGGGGTCAATCTAAAAATAGAAAGAGCATTTTTAAATATTGAGAGATAAAAATAAGCATACATCTTTATTTAGTAAAAAATATTTAGTCTATCAGAAATAAGTAAAATATGATTAGATGATCAATTTAAAAAGGGAGAAAAAAAAGTGTTTAGCAAAAAAATTGAGATAACCATTTTGTTTGAACCAGTACGTATGCAGGTGTGAGATTTAATTATGCATCCAAAATCTTTCAAAATATTTAAAATATTAATGATACCCTTCTCTTACTTTCATTTCAAATATTTTCTTGAAAAAATAATGTTGAAAGAACTACTCAAACTCAATTGTGCTTGATAGACGTACACAGGTACACAGATCTATGTATCTATCTCTGGTTTGTGTTTAACCATAATGATGCACTCTCAATATAACAGTTTACGTCAGAACATCAATTGTATTTCAAAAGTCTAAAATCTACATCACTGTTATGATGCCCTAATCATTACTTTGATTGCCTTTTGTAACTTAGGTTTCAAGGGTTTAAATAGGGGATAAGAAAAAGATGTCAGGTTGGCTCAAATATTTTTTGGAAACCCTGGTTTACTCTATGTTAAATTTATTGTGATAGTGACCATGTTAGTAGCTGAGTAGAAACATCAGTTATAATTTTGATACAAGACACCTTAAACTTGGCTTAAAGCTGATTGTTGTCTGGTTTAAAATTTTCTAAATGGTGGCAGATAAAAAGTGTTTTTAATAAGGTTTATAATGCAGGATGGATGCAAAATGCAAAGTGAAAAGTATAAAAGTTTTTTGCAATGGAAAAAAAAAACACTATTTAATACCTTTTCTCTCCACCTGAAGTTTGTTTTAGCAATCAGTTTTTGTTCTTCATAAAATGCTGTCAAGCTTTCAAATTTTTTTCTCAGCATATGAAGGTATTCAAATACTATCACCAAAACCTGTAAAAAAATGATAACTTCATGTATATTAACAAGTAAATTTATGTTTCCTTTTGACAATATATAACTCATTATATAAGTACAATCAAACTCTGGATTATCTTAATTATATTTTTTTTCTCAAATTTTTGTCTGCCTTATCTTAATTATGACTTGTAAGAAAATATTTTTAAGATAAATGTTCATAAATTATATAGAAAAAATCGTCTTAAAATGTTTCAAGTGATTTATCAGTTGCAAGTTTGAGGTTTTACAATGTGGTATATACCTCTCTGTAATGGCTGAATCCTTCAGGTGTCAGCTTGATGGAAAATAAAAACCAGCTCCATGTTGAGTTAAAATCAAAACCATCATATGACATATTTCCTTCCAATCCTACTGCCCAAGTTCTGCAACAAAAATAATCATTTAAAAAAAACATTAGCACCTATGACAGTTCCTTGATAGGTACATTAATTACTGAAGTATAATCTTTAATAAAAAAATAAAACCTAAACTCAAAGAACTCAGCATATTGAATTATTCTACACATCATTACTGGAAATAGAACATAAATTTAAAAGTCCCTTCAATATAAGGTCATTTGACATATGCCCAAAATTTCCTTTTGGACTCCTCAACTACTTATATCCTAACAACCTCACAATCATCACCACCACTTTCTTTACACTTGAGAACAGATCTGTTGTGTCATAGATTTTATTTCCTTGTATGGCTTGGTATATGTTTCCAATTATTAAAATCGATTCTATTTCATACATTCACCTCCACGAAACTCATATGAAAATGACATTGCGTAAACTGCATTAAGATGTTTTACAAAATTTAAAACTTACTTCTTCTTTAGTAGTGATAAAATACTGCCTTTTCCTTCGTGTGTAATTAAGGCATCTAGGATATCAAGTGGTTTAGTCCTATACAGATCACCAACAGGTGGACAGGCCCATGAAACCCACATCTTATGTACATTGTTCACAGGTAAAACTAAAACATAAGACAACATATCAAAGTCTTTCAAGGAAAGTCCAAAAATAGAGAAAATTAATCATTTCAAACTTACAGATTTTCAGTTTTGTAGGACTTATGGCTATAAGTTTCCTCAATTTTGTTTTGTTGTGCAAATCTATTTCAGAACCAAGCTTACAACTTTTAAATCAGTGGTCATATAAATAACTGGTCAAAGACATTGATGATATAAACCTATGATTTAAGTTTCATAAAAATCTGGCAAGAATTGTACACGTCAGAGCGCTACAAGATATGACGGAAGGAAGCCCGTTATTTCTATGTCCTCAGCAACATGTTGCGCGGGGAACAATTAGCAGATGTTTCCAGTATGTAGTGACCTTAACCATGACACCTTTCATTAGAAATCCAGCAATCGTACAGTGCAAGGTTGGGGGAAAAACATGGAGAAGAAAAAAATAACAAAGGTGGAAGGAATATAGTACTAACCAATTGAAGAAATCACCTAATCACTTAACAACTGTTGTGACAAAGTTAAAAAACAAATGGGAAATAGAAATTATAAAAATAAACTGTTGACAAAGAGATATGTCTCGCCTTTTTGTAATTTTGATAGTATTATGCCAATGTTGAAATTAAAATGGCAATAACTATGCAAAACATTCAAAGTCAATGAACCATGATGAAGGCGCAGGGCCAATAATCTCCATGGAAATGAGAAATGTAAATGCTAATACAACTGCATACCAAATACCATTGACTTATCTTAAGTGGTTTCCTTTAAACTAACTTAAACACAAACTTTAATTTGTAAACTACGCAAAAGATCAAGGGTCAATGAACCATGATGAAGGCACAGAGCCAATAATCTCCATGGAAATGAGAAATGCAAATGCTAATACAACTGCATACCAAATACCATTGACTTATCATAAGTGGTTTCCTTTAAACTAACTTAAATACAAACTTTAACTTGTAAACTACGCAAAAGATCAAGGGTCAATGAACCATGATGAGGAGGCAGGGCCATTTGATCTCCATGGAAATGAGACAAGCAAATGCTAATACAACTGCATATCAAATATCATTGACTTAACTTAAGTGGTTCCTCTTAAACTGACCTAATCACAAACTAATACATTGTTGACTTCTAATGAAAGGTGACATGGTTGATGTTGAAACAGCATACCTAAGTCTCGCTTTTTGACTCCGTCAAGGCGAGACAAAAAACCAACTCAACATCACTCTATCATCTCCCTTATTTTTTACATGCTTCATGCTCCTGTGTTGATTGTTTATCAAGGTCACAACTTGGTAAACTTTGGCTGCAAAACCTGAGAATTAATTAGCTGCCAAAGTTTTGCATCATCAATCACTGAATTAAATATTTTTGTTGTTTATATGTATGTATGGATTCAGATTAATATAAAATAAAGTGCACAGAGAACTTAGTTTTAAAGTATATTTGCATGCATAGGTTCAATAATTACCTTAACATTATAATCACTAGAAACTTGATTCATTTGACTTTAAAAACATATTCAATGTTAAATCAGCTATAAGTATTTTAATTTTTACAGAGCTTTTAATTCAATTTGTATATCTCTTACCTTTAATAATTTTGTGAAAAGAAACATCAGGGAAAGGTTCCTGGTAAGAAGATAAAAGTTAGAATGTAAACATATCAAAATGTTACTCATATGTTACATTGTTATTATTTTGCATTAAAAACAAAATCAAAATGGCACACAAATTTAGTATAATAAAAAAGATGAATGTGACATAATGGAATTGCAATGTAATGAGTATACAGTATCATCTTTTTCTTTTATGTATCACAATCCTGTACGCAAATATATTTTTGCAATTTTTGCACAAATTCACTTTATCTGCACTGTTCCAGCTATATAAAATCTACTAAGAAGTAAAAAAGCTGATATTACAAAGTAAGAAACCATAATTTCTACATAAGCAGAACAAGTACTTTGGGCTTGCTTTAGTAACTGCAAGTAATCTTTCATATATTATTGTCTAGTATTGTTCTAATTGAAAATATGCTTTTGTTGTCTAATATACCATTGTTATAGTTTATCACATACTTAGCATTAATATGATAGTTTTTGCATATGATAAGATAAGATAAGATAAGATATTTTATTTCCAATTATGGGCCCCAAAGGGCATAAACATTACAACATCAATAATTTTTCATAATACAATACAAACACTGAGATAAAAAAAAAAGAAAAGTTAAACGAGAACTATTTAAGTTCTTAAAGAATACGTAGATAAAGAATCTATAGTATGTGTTTTTTTTTTTTTAATACTAATGCATTTTATTGCAAGTGTGGTTGATATAGATAACAAACAAGCAGCCCAAAAAGAAAAAAAGAAAAATAGATATCCACATATGTGTAACGAGTGGAAGTATACTAGGCATACATTCATCAGCCTGTGTGCGTTTGTACATCGGTAGTATATGATAAAAAGATTAATATTGGCCCGGGTATGGAAAAGGCCATGAATTAATCTGTAAGTAAATATTTAACTGTATCTTAGAATTTTTTGTTCTAAAAGAATCTGGTGTTAATGGCAGGTCTTTGGAAGTTGATCAACTTGTCTGGATTAAGTGTAAAAAACAATGCAATTTAGAGCATAACATATAGGTTAGACACATGTCAATTGTTGACTTCTAGATATCTTTTCTAGTTTTTAAATGTTGTTTGGTTGCTGTATCATAACCATTTACCCCAAAATCTCATTTTATCTATAAAACATTAAAAGTTTGAAGTCTTGCAAATCAGTTCCAAGTATCTTTGTTAATTTCTGTATTGGAAGCATTGTATACTCAACCTGAATGTGTAATTTGATTTTAAAAAGAACAATTGTGACTTAAGTTTTGACTGTATTGACTTACCTTATGACTGTCAAATACTGGCCTTGGAAGATTACTGTAAATACAACAAACAAATAAAGATTTCTTTCTATTTGAAAATAAGTGAGGAAACACTAAAATTACTTGCCTGATCCAAAATTTGAATTATTTTAAAGGGCAAATAACACATAAAAGTACAAAATCTGGTTTAATGGAATGTCACAAAGAACAAACCTCATCTTGAAAATTTAACCCGACTGCTGAAGCACAAACATGAGGTTACAGTTAGGTGACAATGACGGGTGAACCTCTGCTATACAAATTATATTTCAAAGTGTGGATAGTAAGGAGAAGCTAACAAGGTGTTTGCAAATTGAAAACACCATAGTTGCTGCCACTGTTAGAAAAGTAATACTTTTAAGTTTCACCTACTGCAAATTTCATTGCAGGCTAGAGAAAAAATCAAAAACTGTGATATTCTTCATATTTTTCTAACAAATTAAATAAAAGAAGAATGTGTCTGAGGACATGAATGCTCACGCTCTCACGCTTTGTAACTTTTGATGTTAAAAGGAGGCATTACTCTTGAACCATTAATGAAATACTGCCAAAACTTAAACTATGTTTGCATGTTATGGTTCTTAGCATTGTGTATGAGCTTTATAAAATTTGAATGAGGAAAACTTAAGTGTGTGGAAACCAAAAAATTTGAAATTTTCCATGCTATAAAGGGGCATAACTCTAGAAGGTAAGTGACTCACTTCCCAAATTTGAACTCTGTCTGCGGTTTAGGTTCTTAGCATTGTGTTTGAGTTTCATAAAATTTAGATGAAGAAAACTAAAGTTAGTGTGCAGAAAAGAAAATTGGACGAACAGAAAGACAGACTGACAGTAAGACGGACGGAAGGACGGTCAAGGGGTAACACTTAATGCCCCTGTTGCCTAAAGGGGGCATAGAATCTAACAAGTGAATCAATTTCTTCAATATTTTCAGAATAATCAGTTTGATTCCTCTTATTCAATTGCTATTGATTTTTTCTAATATCTTTCTCCATATATTGTCATACTACAACTTACTTGTTAGGAATTGATGAGAATATATCCTTCACATGTGTTTCCATTCTGTCTAAGGTATCTGTAAAGATCATATCGAACTGTTGTTTATACAATGACTTAAAACTAGAGGGGTATACAACAAAAGTTGTAAGATTTAAAGAAAATTTGCCAAGATTAATAAGGCAAATTTGGGGATTTGTTTTCCTCAGTAATGTAAAGAAAACAAAAGTTTTTGTTTATATATATTTTTCTCATTCTAAGGAGCTTATGTCATCTCCACAATAATTCCACTCCTGCAAGGTGGAGAATGAAGGGACTCTAAATTTTATAACATTAAGAAACAAGTCCTTATTTAAAAACTTTAAAAAAAAAATTTAAACACCATCAGGCTTAGTTGGTTTGTATTATCAATCTTATAAGTTCATATTAATAGATATTTTCAAAAAAAAATTTTAAGGTAAAAAATATATACATAATAGATAGTATAATACCTTTTGAGTAAACAGCTAATGTCATGTACTGTGCAGAGTATAACCTCAGGTAGAAATCTTTAAGTTTACTGTAAATGTTCAGTCCTTGTTTCTCTGGAGTTTCACGTAATGTTTCAGCATTACCTAAGAAAAAACAGACTATGTAAGTATGCTATATTTAAATTACTAAACTAAACTATATGAGACTAAATTACTTTCATCAATTGATTATGAATATGCAAGACAATAAAGGTCATCAGTGTCAATAGTCTTCTACAAACTGTTCCTTTGCCTAGAATTTTGTCAAGCAATTGTTATTCCTTTCTTTTGTGTGTCAGGAAAATAGAGAAATTTCCTTTTATAGACTAAAAATTGATTTAGGGCATCAAATGGCTTTTAAAGTGAAATTTTTTTTCACAGAGAAGGAACTTACTGGATAATTGCATACTTAGAATTGTCTCAAGACTGTTAAAAGTAGATATGAATAAAAGGGATATATGTACTATATAAGTATTATGTAGGGTATATGCCCATAAGACAAACAGCCCTCAGACATAAATGTCAAATGAGATCTACATACTTATCCAATTCAGTTTTGTGTATGTTATTATAGTAATAAATGTCATTTTTAAGGAATTATAGATATAAAACCTCTACAGACTCACTCTTTAATGGAATAGTCTGAATTACTTTATATTGAGTTTTTGAGTGAAAGACTAAGTTCACACATAAACAAGAAGCTGTCAGATTGACAGCAAACCAGATTTTCCTACATGAAAATGACATTTGCAAATCTGGACCCCCAAACAGGATCAATTAAAAAAAATAAATGAATTTTTGTAGAGTTCAGAAATGGAAAGGCCAAAATCAATCTTGACCTATTTATCCTAAAGTGACATAATATTGGAATTTAAGAGAGTATATAAGTACACACACACATATATTCAGCAGGGGTAGGTAGGTAGAAACCATGAAGTCAATAATGAAGAAATATGTTTATGAGATTATAACCTTATTCAATATGAAACCATAGAATCTTGTGGCATGAGGTCACTCCAATAACATTCCAGAAACCCACATTCAAACCGTTGTTGTCTTGTTTCTTCAAAGTATCACAAGATTTTCATCTAAGCCTTTTCAAGTTATCACATGGACAACACTCTAAGTAGAACTTTACGCTTCTTAAAGGTCTACAACTCATCAACAATAAATGCTAAAATCGTAAAATTCAACTTGACCTTCTTTTAGTCACAGGAAACAACATATCTAAATTTGAAAGATTTCGGCAAAGCGTTTTCAAGTAATTGCACGGATAACGCATTAAGTATCACTTTTCACTACTTAAAAGTCTACAACTCGACAACGACAAAAGCTAAAATCGTGAAAATCGAACTTGACCTTCATTTTGTCACAGGAACGACATATTTAAATTTGAAAAGATTTTCGTCAAAGCCAACACTGTTTGGCAGGCGCTCGCCCAGCAGCCTGCCTGACTGGGCAACCACCTGCTGTACATCACCAAATTAATTAGAACTTCACCTAATGAAAACTTTAACCCCATGTCAGATTTGCTCTAAATGCTTTAGTTTTTGAGATATAAGCCAAAAACTGCATTTTACCCCTATGTTCTATTTTTAGCCATGGCAGCCCTGTTATTTGACGAAACAGTAAATAAAACACGAACTTTATTCTAGATACATCATTCAGCTTAAGTTTGGTTGGAATTGGTTCAGTAGTTTCAGAGGAGAAGATGTTTGAAATAGTTTACACCAGACGGGCAACGACGGACGCCAAGTGATGGCAAAAGCTCACTGTTCCTTGGGAACGGTGAGCTTAAAAGTAATTATAAGTATTGAATGCTTCTTTAAGTAATTTTATAGGGTTGTAAAAGCATTGACTGTGCGCACATTTTTAGAATGAAGCGCGCTTCTGCGCTTCATACAAAATGTACAAAAAGAAGCAATCAATTCTTAAATGAATTCTTTACCTATCATAAACATTCTCATGACATGATTCTCTCTGGCTAAAAGAGAAAACAGCTGACTTGCTCTGGAATTATCATCTGTCAAGTTCATCTGAAACTCTAAAACATAAATATTGCTTTTACTAAATAAAAAATTCTGTAAAACTACCAAAAATAAAAGCTTTAAGTAAATTACAAAAGAAAACTTATATAATATAATTATGATAAAAGGAAAAGTTAAAATTATTTAGGCCGTTTTCAATAATTTATGCCATGGACACAAATTTTTGTCATTAAACAAGTTACTTAGTTCCTTTTGAAAAAAGTAGTGCAAGTTTGTTGCAATGTAAAGTTTGATGTGAGGTAAGCGATTATACTTTTTAATCATTTCAAGCTTTCTACTTTAGTTGGATTATTAATAAGGAATAAGGAACATCATTCATAGACTTCTAAAACAGATTACTAGTGATACTATTCTGAAAAGAAAATAACTCATTTTCAGTTGAAATCTTCGAGATTTAGACAATGACTAAATGAAACAATCTACACAAATAACGTTGAATGAATATTAATGGATAAAATGTGTTTCTCCAAAGCAATTATATTCAGGGCAAAAAACCTTTCAACCTAACAAACACAATTTTACATTATAAATCTGACCTAATTCCCATCATCTTCTAAATATTTTTAGGGAAAAATTTAATGTAAACTTTGAACTACAAAAAGTTTATATCTTACAGTACATTTTTCAACCAGTTCATGTAAAAATTGTAATTCTGAAGAATGCTTCTACATACCACTGTCAACAGCTTCGATTTCTCTATCAACTGCATCTTCCTTAAACAGTGGGCTGATAAAAAAATTAGCAAATCTGTCTAATGCTCTGTAAAAGTACTTTTGTTCTACTCCAAAATAAAAACAGGTCTAAAATAAAAGTAGGTACCAGTAAGAATATAGAATCTATTCTTTAAAAAAAATCAAAAAAGTAGAAAACATTAATTACTTTCATTCAATATTATTTCTTTCAATTTTAGTAGGACTATTAGTTTTTCGCATCATTAGCACAAGTTTTTACAAGCATCAAATACTTCAATAAAAATCTTCTCTGAATTCACTGAGTTAATTGAATTTGAAAAGCCATAATCATCCTTATGATATACCTATCATAAACATTCTCATGACATGATTCTCTCTGGCTAAAAGAGAAAACAGCTGACTTGCTCTGGATTTTTACTTATTGCATTGCATTAGCTTAGAAAATTTTCACATCTATTGTCTGTCCTTCTTGCAGATAAAATGATAAAGAACTAATATATGGTATTCAAGTGTAGAATGGAAAGTTGCAGATAACATATGAGTTTCATTTAGCATTACTAAATCATAATTTACATACATGTAATTACATGCATTAGACCTTGGAAATTTCATGATATTTTCAATATTCACATTGTTGTCAGCTATCCTTGGAAATATTGAGCATAAATTTGGTTAAAAAAACCCAAGTCTATAGTATACTTTAACATTATTTATACTGAAAATAATATTACCTTTTCTGTATCTGTCCATGCATTTGTGTCTCCACCACGTGTACTGATATAGTCATCCAGTTCATTTTCTCCTGGATATTTACTACTTCCCATGAATACCACTGAAATATAACAATAGTTGACACACTTAAATGTCTCCTCTGCTGCAATATTTGAATTATTCCAATGATCACATAGGTGACTCTGAAAATAAACTCAAGGTCAAATGATACCTGTCAGATCCTTAAAAAGGGTTTGAATATAACATAATAGTTGCGTTCATTTAATTTAGCATGAAATCATTTTGCATTTTACGATTTAGTGTCTCATCTCCTGATGAAGACAATTCATGCATGCGTATAACTTGGTAAATAAAGCACACGTTTGACTCGTGAAAAAATACTTTTTTCTTCGTAAAATAAGTCAAGTTTTAATTTTTTAGATCAGAATTGACGATTGTCTTTACTGAAAAGTAATTAAATAATGAAATAAGTCGTCACTGATGGAATTTCAATTTCTTAAATAGTATTATTTCTGAGCTTGTGATCACTGTCAGGTGTGAATTAAAAACACAGGTTAAAAATGATTAGCGATAACAAGCCAATATTTCCTGGAGGCATTAACATGGTTATTAAGAGGGCCCTCAGGATTATCATACTAAACTGGAGTGGCAGTTTTATGACAGGAAAAGTATTACAAAAAAAGAAAACCAGTGCAAAATGGTGATTAAGAAACCCGATCTCAATAAAATGACTGAAATTATTTCTGTTAAAAAAATAATTTTGTCCTAAATCCCAATCTGCTGTTTAGGATAAATAGCTTTCAGTTTAGGACATGACGCAAATATGACTGTTTCCGGACCCTTGATCTGTAAGCAGCTTTTCAGAAATGGCAATAATAAATCTTGCATTTTGTCCTTTCTTAAAAAATTGCAATAATAAATGCACGCATTAATTTCTGAATTTACAGTAATTCTGATACTTAAACTACCGACTAATTTTGATTGATTAACTGTCAGACAAGATTACAAAAAAATATCTGAAAAATCCAAATCAACAACAATTTGAAATACAGTTTACATATTCCAAAGAAGAAACTCAATGAAACTATCATGATATACCAAAACTGATGGTAATCCTTTCTCACTATCAAAGTTACAAAATAAATTTGTGCTATTATGTAAATTAAAGTTGAATTAATTTTTATTCACACCTCCTTGTTTTGCTTCTTGGACAAACTTACTATGTTCAAGAAAATGAGCAAATCCTGGAATGTTGTCTGGGTTACAGAAACTTCCAACTCCAATACACAAAGCTGCTGCTGACTATAAATACAATAAAATTCATAAGTAATGTAAACTACAGTACGGGTAGAGACTTATTACTACAAATAACGGACTGGGACATGTCGGAAATGAATAATCCGACTTTTTTATGGTAGGTAGTATGGTCATTAATCAACAGATCCAGGTGTGAACGGTAATATAATTGTCCTTTCATCTCAATCCGTGCTACTAGATTATTACGCTTCACTGATTTCAGAATCAGGTTACCTGTGATTTAAACCTCTCAGTCACTTTATTGATTAATTCTACATCGTATTTGACATAAAATATTTTTACAGGCGAAGTACTGGAGACAACTTTGTTTTAATAAAAATAGCCTATTTTTTTAATAATGGCTTTTTATATTTCAAATGCTGTTTATATTCCTCAAAATATTATTTTCTATGTTCCCTTGTTTTTTTTTTTGTTATGTATCTTTTTCGTATTTGTTGGCATACAGTTTTTAAAATATTTTCTTTTTTATTTCTGGAAGGTTATATTTGTTTTACTCATTTATTTTCCACATAAACCCATTGATTAGCAGAATGATGTGCAAAGTGCTGCTGCATACGTTTTAGTTTGACAACACTACATTTGTATTTAATTTTCAGTCTGCGTTGGGTCAGTTCTGAAATAAAAATAATTACAGTGAGCAATACTTGTATACATGTAGTTTGGTGATTCTTTATAATTGTGAAATTATTTTTTACTGTAAACAAATATTGTCCGAAAGTTGGTGATATATAACTAAAGTAGTACGCAAATAAAATCACTAGAAGAAGATAAAAATTCTTCTCGGGAATTAGGTTTATTTTGATATTTCTGTGTTTGTTAAATATGCATGAAGTAATTGCCACTGACATGAATGGACATTAAAACTAGAAGCATTCAATCGTTTGATGACCAGTTAATTAAATATTTACTATGATTTGTAATCTAAAGAAATTCAATTACTCCTATCTAAATAATTTTATGGTGCTGCATTGACTCTTAATTGCATAATATTAATTTCCGCACAATGCATGTTAACTTGTATGTTGTATTTTTGACACCAATCTAAAAAAAAATATTTGCCGTGAAAAGACAATTCCATGATACACATATCAGTGATCAACAGCATGTGGTTGAACTTTGAACTTGACTTCACTCACAATACAATGTTGAATGTTAAAAATAGCTGGGATTAATTTTGTCAAATGCATGTGATTTTCATATGGCGGGAAATATGGTAACAGTTAACACAGGTGACCTTACTGACCGACCATCGGTAAAAATCTATTCATGATTTAATTTGATACGTAATGATTGGCAGAATGGTGCGTTAGTTTTTGAGGCTCTTGATCGAGATCCATTAATAATTGATTTACCAGAATAGAAAATTTAATCCTTGTAATTATAAACAAAACTAGCTTTAGTCTTCTTTAACTATTTTATTTATTATATTTATCAGTCAACACCCAGATTCATTGGCGTAGCTTTTGTTGAGGCAACCGAGGCAGTTGCCTCGGAAGTTGCTCGGTAAAAAAAAACAAAAAAACTTTTCCTTTATAATCTTTTAAACGATTTCCACCTAATGCAGCAGACTAGTTACTAAACACTAATATACCGAATTGCTTCCTCTTGTTGCCGCTATTGATTCATACCGTTTGCTGTAGGCTAAGCTTAAATACCTTTCTCTCCATCTGCTGTGAATTGGCAATATTTTCATCCACCTCTTCATCTGACTGGTCATCCATTTCCATTCCATGGTCTTCCACCTCTTCCTCTTCTGATTCCTCGTCAGATTCTACATCCTCATCAACCACACTCTCCCCTTCTTTCAGATCAGATATCAATAATGCCCTTAATCCATTATCAAGAGAAATGTATCTAAAATAAACACCAAACTTTTTAACACTAAATTATCATAAAAACAATATATATTAATAAAAGAACAGAGTTCCAATGTCCCCCACATTGCAATATTTTATCTATCCAAGGTACAAGGGCAATAACTAAAAAATACACTTTTTTTTTGTTTCTTAAAATTGTTCATAAATATCTTAGAGAAATGAATGCTTTAGTGCAAATTTAATGTGATTTCTGATATAATAAATATTTCCAAGGGCATAACTCGTTAAAAATATTTGATCAGTAATTATTTTCGAAAGTGTGAAAGACATTGCTGATATAAATTTCATAAAATTCTGGCAAGAATTGTACACATGAGACTGAATGAGCTAACGATGCAATTTTCCATGTAATTAATATTTCTAAGGGGCATAACTCTTAAAAAAAATAATTGATCAGCACAGATTTTCAAACTCATCCAAGACATTGATAATATAAACCTATAATATAAATTTCATAAAAATCTGGCAAGAATTGTACACATGAGAGCACTCACAAGGCAAATTTCCATATAATTAATATTTCCAAGGGCATAACTCTTTAAAAAATAATTGACTGGCACAGATTTTCAAACTCTACCAAGACATCGCTGATATAAACCTACAATTTAAGTTTCATCAAAATCTGGCAAGAATTGTACACATGAGAGTGCTAACGATGCAATTTTGCACATAATTAATGTTTCCAAGGAGCACAACTCTTTTAAAAATAATTCATCAGCACTCATTTTTGAACTCGTCTGAGACATTGCTGAAATAAACCTATGATATAAGTTTGATAAAAATCTGGCAAGAATTGTACGCATGAAAGCACTAAAGATGCAATTTTGCACTTAATTAATGTTTCCAAGGGGCATAACTCTTTAAAAATAATTGATCAGCACTGATTTTTGAACTCGTCTGAGACGTTGCTGATATAAACCGATGATATAAGTTTGATAAAAATCTGGCAAGAATTGTACACTTGAAAGCAATAACGATGCAATTTTCCATCTTATTAATATTTCCAAGGGGCATAACTCTTTTAAAAAATAATTGATTGGCACAGATTTTTGAACTCATCCAAGACATAATTTGATGATATAAACCTATAATATAAATTTCATAAACTGTTATCACAGAGATATGTCTCGCCTTTTTTTAATTTCGATAATGCAAATGTTGAAATCAAAATAGCAATACTTTACCATGTACATCATACTACATGTAAGTTATGCAAATATTCAAAGTCAATGAACCATGGCTCAGTTTAATGTCATTGTGCTCATCAATTAGCGCCTGCCTCATATTTTTCATATCCCATTAACATGTTCTCGTCCTGAATATGCATGTTATTTGCCAAATTAAACGGACATCCATCATGATAATCTTCTACATATTGAAGTAAAGAAGTATTATGTAGATGTAGATGTAAAAATGTTAAAAGTTCGGTATTTACCTATACTTTCTGTCATCATTTTCTGATTGTGTTATGACATTTGACATTTTTATTCTTTTATTATCTGTAGTCATTTCATCAGTAACTTAAAACATTTCTTCAAATCTTTGTCGAACACGTCGAACATTTCGTTTATTTTTTTTTTTCTTCGATGTACTTTTCATGCTGAAGTTGCAACGCGTAAATGTCCGTATATTAAACGTTTAAAGTGAGTAGATTTTGGAGAAATTAACGTGTTCATTTTCTTTTTCAATAATTACTTTTTTGTTACTTAACATTTGTTCAATTACAGATAACTTATTTTAATCTTGTACCATTTTATATTGTTATTATATAACACTTCTTTTTAAAAGAACTTATTGATTATTCATTGTTCATTTAAACGGTAAAATTTCCTCCACTAATGTTATCAATTGAGTACAGAAAATCATTCCTTCATTTAAAAAAAAAAGCAATAGTTTTGAATTCTACAGCAAAAGATCTTTACACTAACAGTTCACCAATAATTAATTGATGGACAGAAACAGGATTTCTTCTGTGGTATTTTCATTTACTTTCACAGATAAAGGAATCTTTTCATGTCTTTCCTATTTTTTTTAATTTTGAACTGTTGAAACTTTGTGACATTTTTTAAAAACTCTTTCATTGTAAAATAAGATGTATATTTCCAAGTGATTAAGATGACCTCCTGTCCCTGAAACCTTCCATTTTGAGAGTCACCATTTCCTCTATTATTTGTTGTCAATGATGGTATTTCCACTAATTTTAGTGTAAAAAAATTCTCTTACGGTTGTGGCCTGTTTATACACCTTATCGCTATTTGTCCGCCATTACTGGACATCACACAAGTTCCCGTAAAATTTTGACGTCATAATAGAAAATGTCTGACGCCACAATGGAAAAGTGATTGTTGTATGACGTCAAAAGTTCGAGCGGGACAGATTCTCGGGTCAAGCGGGAATAGCGATAAGGTGTATTAGTCCCCAACCGCAGTCAGGGGACTTATTGAAATAAGTGATTTTTAAATCACTTATTTAAGTAGCAAATTCGAAGTTTTGTCACAAATTGTGATTTTGTAGTTTTACCAAAATTTTAAACACATAAGGTTTAGATAATATCTTTTCATTAGTAAAATTGAAAAAAATGAACTTTTTGCTTCTTTTAAGCAGCAAGGTTTATGCCTTTGATGCAATCATTTAGCTGCAAATTCTATTTTAGTTGAAAAAATGCTTTAAAAATGGCTTTACATAATGAACTGATACTTTCTTAACAGATTTTTAGCAGTGGGAGTATTTTTCCTGTAAAATTCAAGGTTTCATCTTATAGATTATGTAATAAAATTCTACTGTTCGCGATCAAAATTTCACTGTTCGGGGGTGTTGAAATTAGTGGGGGTTATTAAAATAATGATACTTAAAGAAGTGATTTTTTGGAAGGAAATTGAGGTATGATACTTAAACAAGTGATTTTTATGTCATTATCCTAGATTTAGTACAAGGTCATCACCTGACATGACCCAGTCATCCTATCAACACAGATGTTGGTTCTGATAATTTTAGCAACATAATTAGTCCCTGGATCATTAGCATTCTATATTTAAAGCTACAATAAAATTAAATCACTTAGTCTAGTGATTAATTTGTACTACTTAAATAGGTGATTATTAAAGAAAGACAACTCTTACTTCCAACCTTTATGGACATAATATTACTTGAATCAGTGATTTAGAAAATCACTCATTTAAGTAAGTCCCCTGACTGTACCGACAAGTCGAAGAGTCCATCCGTCAGTCCGGAAAATCAGCTTTCTATAGATCAAGTTTGAATTTTGTTCTGGTCTGATGATTTAGTCCAGAGTTATGGACCATCATAACTCTGGGCCATATCTAATGTTAGAGTACTATGTTGAACCATATTTTCTGTACAAAGGGAGATAACTCATTTTTTAAAAGACATTCTTTGTTAAATTATTTGAAGAATTTTTTGGCAGGTTTGTTTGTTATTTAGTATAAACTAATTTTCTGAATGCTATATATATAAAAAAAAAAATTATGAAGAGAAATCCTTTAATTAGATAATAATATATTTTTATTAATGTATATATTTCAATACATTACATTGTGTAGATAAAAGTTTTTGACATTTTATAGATAAGTTACAAATCTACATTTTGTATATTAGTTTGTGACAAATGAAAGAAAAATTATTTTGAACTATTAATTATATTTGATTATAATTTGAAAATAGATGTACACTGTATTACATCATATCTCATATTAGAGAACTATTAATCATATCTAATGTTTTTTTCACTCATATAATCAGTTTTCCACACTGTTTTTAGTCATGCTTGAAGATATTGACATGATATTTATTTTTTTTTACACCATGACAAGTTATAGAACAAGTTAGCATTTTGTTCCAGTAAAATGAATTTTTACCCGTTAGGGGACTATGTATTGTCATGCAATACTCTCAGAATGCTTGATATCTGTAAATGTCTATTTACGCTTGTGGTATTTTGCTGAATTTTGTCTCCCAATGACCTCAGATCTGTCTCAGAATAACCATCTGAGGTCAAGCAACAATCACTTTTAAATGGTGACGTCCATTTTTTTGTATGTTTCTTCCATGAAGAGATATTTCTGGAATCACGCTACACAGAGTGTGAGACGAAAACTTTATTAATTTGGTTTGCTTATCCAGCATCATGAGATGATGTAACGACATTTGTATTGGCAATTCGTTAGGAAATTGATAACTTTCAAAGGTTGAGATAATGCACATTTCGTCAATGGCAAGAGTTTTATGTGATTTCTTCAATGATATACATGTAAAAAACACTCACACTTTTCACCTGGAAATCTTCTTTTTGACAAATTTAATTTCGGCATTCTAAAGTGTACTAAAAGTTTTTAAATGACTGATGTTAAAGTTTGACACCTGAACAGGACATATAACGTCATGCTGATATGAGCAAAAGATTAACGATTCGTGTAATTTTTTATTTAACACAATGAGAGTGTTGACCATAAGAGAAATAGGTTTAACAACTCGTGAGAACTGGATATCGATTGATATCAACTCTCGTTGTTTAATTTGAATAGTATTAATAAACTTGCCACAGGCTCGTTTATTATTACATTGAAATTAAATAACTCGAGTTGATATCAAGCTATATCTAATTCTCACTCATTATGAAACCTATAAGAATGTCTTCTTTCAATTTCCTTGATGATAAACTTTGATATCAGTGCTCAGATACATGTAACTGATTATACTCAATTTTAGAGTCAAACATTGTTAAATAACATTTATTTCTTGAAACCTTTGAAATCATACTTCTGACACTTTAACTGATGACGTCCAAATACTTCTCAACCAAAACACTGCACAAGGGATATTCAGCCTTTCATGTTATGTATGATTACATTCCTTTGAACATCTTTATGTGGATTTCCCAATATGTTGTAGACCAAGGAAACCTTAAATATTACACTTTAAAACCTTGACATTATTTACATAAATTTGTAAGCTTAGGAGGGAAAATACATATGAAATAAGCTGTACCTTATTTATTAGTTAAATATGAAAAATGTCCAAGCTAATACTGTCCAACACATTCAGTTCACATGGCTATTTAGACTGACTTGTACGAAGCTATATCAAATAAAACATGCTTAAATTTAGCATCAGTGGTAAAATAAGTCAACTTCATATTCTGTGTTTACATCTTAATAGTCTAATTTGTTGGAGTATGTGGGATTATCTCCTTAAGAAATGTTTCTAATAAAATTTCCATTTTTAGCTCACCTGGCCCAAATTTATGTAAATAATGTCAAGGTTTTAAAGTGTAATATATAAGGTTTCCTTGGTCTACAACAAGTAATATTACATTGAACTAATTGACTGTAAATTAACTATGTGTAAATATCTGTTTTTGAGTGTATTGTAATTTGTATGTGAGGGCCTCAGGGAAGATTAGTTTATTGTAACTAACTGAGTTTACCCTCTTTAAATAAAGAATTTATTATTATTATATTATTATAAAGGGCCAAGTGAGCTTTTCTCATCACTTGGCGTCAGTCGTCCGGTGTCCGTAAACTTTTACAAAAATCTTCTCCTCTGAAACCACTGGGCCAAATTTGACCAAACTTAGCCACAATCATTATTAGGGTATCTAGTTTAAATGTGTCTGGCCATTCCGCCAACCAACCAAGATGGCCACCATGGCTAGTAATAGAACATAGGGTAAAAATGTAGATTTTGGCTTATAACTCTAAAACCAAAGCATTTACAGCAAATACGACATGGGGGTAAAATTGTTAATCAGGTCAAGATCTATCTGCCCTGAAATTTTCAGATGAATCGGATAATCCGTTGTTAGGTTGCTGCCCCTGAATAGGTAATTTTAAGGAAATTTTGTTGTTTTTGGTTATTATCTTGAATATTATTATAGATAGAGATAAACTGTAAACAGCAATAATGTACAGCAAAGTAAGATCTACAAGTAAGTCAAATTGACCAAAATTGTCAGTAGACCCCTTAAGGAGTTATTGCCCTTTATAGTCAATTTTTAACAATTTTTCGTAAATTTTTGTAATCTTCTACAAAAATCTTCTTCTCTGAAACTACTGAGACAAATTTAACCATACTTGGCCATAATCATTATTAGGGTATCTAGTTTAAAAAATTTGTCCGATGACCCCGCCTTCCAACCATCATGGCCGACTTGGTTAAAAATAGAACATGGGGGTAAAATGCAGTTTTTGGTTTATATCTCTGAAACTAAAGCATTTAGAGCAAATCTGACTGGTGTCAAAAATGTTCACCAGATTTAGATTTATCTGCCCTGAAATTTTCAGACAAATCCGACAACCAGTTGTTGGGTTGCTGCCCCTGAGTTAGTAATTTTACAGAAATTTTGCAGTTTTTTGTTATTATCTTAGATATCATTATAATATCTAATATCTAATACTATTAATTATGATTTTAACCTTATTTTACATGATTTCCAAAGCATCAGTAAATACAGGTGAGCGACACAGGCTCTTGAGAGCCTCTAGTGTTAATACTAGGAAGTGCAGTCTAAAATTTTACATGCATAATGAAGAAAAAGAGTGAAACCTCTATTAAGCAGTCACTGATAGGAAATACCAAGACTGACTTCTCAATCTTAAGAGATTACCTTCTTAAACATGTTAAAGGAGGTTCCAAATTCAAACACAGTACAACTAAAGTATACTGAAAGGGATTAAATTTTGAATTTGAATTATCACAATGGTTAATAATCAGTTAAAATGCAATCTATGAAAATGTACAAATACAAGTGGATTAGTTTTTTTAGAGGAATATATTGAGAAATGACTTTTAATTGTTTCAAGTTTAACTATGTTATCATCATTTCTGCAATGTTAAAACACTTCTTAAAGGTTTAACGAAGTCTCCTGATAAAACTAAAAAAAATCCACATTGTAATTTGTATATGCATGATATGAGAGGCCACACAAATTAGTCAGACCATTGGTAGAAAGAATCATTTAAACTGAAAAAATAAATAGTAAATAATATATCATGTGTGCTGAAAGATGGAAGAACAATTCCAAGTTTAAATATATTATTTTTGTTTTCTATTTATGACATAACAATAGCAGGTATGGTAAGAGATTATGCAAAATATTCAGAAGTTTTTGGCAAGTGAAACCCTCTATATTGTTTACAAAGATTACATAGTGTATTTTAGTTACCTGACATGTTGTTTTTCAATAATTTTTATAAAATTTTAAGATTGGACAAAAATGCTGTAAATATTGTTAAATTCTATTATGCTTTGAGATTTCAGGTGCTAAAAAAAGATAATGAACTTTTATTAAGAAAAACAATGTGAATTAAGTTCTTTGACAAATCTTCTTTTAAAAATTTCAGTTTAACTTAGATTTGTTCTTTTATTTATTTTCAGGAAGCATCTCCACTGAGGACAGGGTTGCTAGGTTCAATAGATGCAGTCTTTGAGCAGAATAGACAAGAGGATGAAAGAAGGGTAAACTCAAATTTTATATGATTTGTAAGAATAAGAGTTAAAAATTTATCCGTAAACAAATAATAAAAAAGATCTCCTGCTGTATACCTAAAATAAAATATGATTTTAGATGACATTATCTCAACCTTTTTTATTGCCTGATATGCATCCCCATATGAGAATTATTAGACAAGTCTGTGTTGAAAATGTTTGATGCAATTTAAAGAAGTTTGCATACTAGTAATTAGGTTTGTCATAAAATTTTGTGAAAGTCAAACTAGAACATCCTTTTATATCCTTAATAATATTTACAGGTAAACCATAAATTTAGCAGCACCAAAAAGGGCTGATTTCTTGCTATGCACTAAAATTTTAATTTAGTATCTTTTCTAGCCTAAGTGAGTTAGAAGCAATTTAGTCAACAAAACAGTGTATCTTAACTAACGGGTTTAAATGGTTTGTAATAACTTAGTATAAATAATTTTGAGGTATTATTCCTAATATTGACAATTCTTTCAATATAGTTATAATTTGTATGTGTAACACATCAATTTTCATTTTTAGAAAAGCATTTTATCTGTACCACACCTTGTGATAAGCAGGCCTAGATTGTCTCAATAGCTCTCATACTTTGAAAAAAAAACCTTTTCCATTAAGTTTATGGATTAGATTGATATCAAGTAACTGTAAACAAAGAACCCTTAACCTCAGTTATGTTTCCTTTAATCAACTCAGAAACGACTTTGGTCAATTGTTCCATAACTTTTAGTCCAGTTTTCTCTATAAGTTGACTGCTAACTTGAACGATCACTTTTCTTTGATGAAATATCTACATGTCCTTAACTCTAGAAATGACTGCAAATTCACACATCTCTCATTGCTTCTAATCTTTCTCAATCATTTTACTCATGGTATTTTTACATAAAAGTAATAAAGAAATCCTGATTATTGTTTACATTCAGGCAGCATGAAGGTTAATTTTGTGTACCTCCATATGTGAAGTATGGGGTCCAGATAGAACTATTATATATCATGTTTTAATTAAGTTTTTCTCCAATTTTAAATTTACACAATTTATTTTGTCACCAGTTGTATATAACTACTTTCTCATTCCAGAAGCTACCCGGGTAATTGCTTTTATCGAAATAAATAAGTACATTTTTGTCGAGCCTGCGACTTTTGTCGCAGAAAGCTCGACATAGGGATAGTGATCCGGCGGCGGCTACGGCGGCGGCGGCGTTAGCTAACTTCTTAAAAGCTTTATATTTTAGAAGCTAGAAGACCTGGATGCTTCATACTTTGTATATAGATGCCTTATGTTACGAAGTTTCCGTCTGTCATATGTCCAATGTCCTTGACCTCATTTTCATGGTTCAGTGACTACTTGAAAAAAAAGTCAACATTTTTTGTAATGTTAATTTCTTTCTTATTATGAGTAATAGGATAACTATATTTAGTATGTGCGTACCTTGCAAGGTCCTCATGCCCGTCAGACAATTTTCATTTGACCTCGACCTCATTTCATGGATCAGTGAACCAGGTTAAGTTTTCGTGGTCAAGTCCATATATCAGATACTATAAGCAGTAGGTCTACTATATTTGGTATATGGAATGATTGTAAGGTGTACATGTCCAACTGGTAGGTGTCATCTGACCTTGACCTCATTTTCATGGTTCAGTGGTCAAAGTTAAGTTTTTGAGTTTTGGTCTTTTTTTCTATTACTGTATGCAATAGGTCAACTGTAAATGGTGTATGGAATGATTGTAAGGTGTACATGTCTAGCTGGCAGGTGTCATCTGACCTTGACCTCATTTTCATGGTTCAGTAGTCAAAGTTAAGTTTTTGAGTTTTGGTCTTTTTTTCTAATACTATATGTAATAGTTCAACTATATTTGGTGTATGGAAATATTTTATGATCTATATGTCAGTCACGCAGGTTTTATTTGACCTTGACCTCATTTTCAAGGTTCATTGCTCAGTGTTAAGTTTTTGTGTTTTGGTCTGTTTTTCTTATACTGTATGCAATAGGTCTACTATATTTGGTGTATGGAATGATTGTAAGGTGTACATGTCTAGCTGGCAGGTGTCATCTAACCTTGACCTCATTTTCATGGATTTGTGGTCAAAGTTAAGTTTTTGAGTTTTGGTCTTTTTTTCTAATACTATATGCAATAGTTCAACTATATTTGGTGTATGGAAATATTTTATGATCTATATGTCAGTCAGGCAGGTTTTATTTGACCTTGACCTCATTTTCAAGGTTCATTGCTCAGTGTTAAGATTTTGTGTTTTGGTCTGTTTTTCTTAAACTATAAACAATAGGTCAACTATATTTGTTGTATGGAAGAATTGTTAGCTGTACATGCCTGCCTAGCATGGTTCATCTGACCTTGACCTCATTTTCATGGTTCATTGGTCAATGTTTAGTTTACTTGGTTAATGTTAAGTTTATGTGACAGTTGTAATAAAGCTTTATATTTAGGACTATCAACATAATATAAATGATTAGTAAAGAAGGCGAGACATTTCAGCGTGTGCACTCTTGTTCAAATTAAGACAGTCATCTAAAATTAATGAAATGTTAATTTATTAGTTACAGAAAATGCATTTTTCTTTATTTAGAAAAGTAAGATGAGAGACCAAAGAGAAGCAGAGTTGGCCCACTCTAGCTATTTGAAGTATAATGCTTCATCAGTACAAGAATTACAAGATGCTAAATGTGTAGTGCAACAATGGGCAAATAAACATTGTAAGTCTTCTTAGTGGAATGTATTTTAATAGCTTCTTAAAAGAGGCAGTAGCACAATTAAGATTTTATATTAAAAGAAAACATCAAAAACCGTCAGTTCCTATCATTTTGAGATTTCCCCATCTATATTAAGACATAGGCTGCAGTATTACCCCAAAAGATATATTAGCCATGTTAACTGCAAGATGTATCCAAAATAATGATTTGAGTCAAATATCTTTTAGAGATAGATGGTTACACGTAATTGATTTTTCCAAAGACGATAGATAAAATGTCAAATTTGGTCATTTTATAACTCATTAATAATTAAATGACATCACAAATGACATTTCTGCACTGCATTCAGTTGCTGTAGCATACATTCAGTCCTTCCATTATTCCAAAATTAACAGGTTTACTCATAAATGATAACACTTCTATGTAAGTGGAATTATAGCCCTTTGATAGAAAATTTCATCAAATTTGCACTTGTCTGGATTGTTTTTAATATGCCTGTAAATATTGTGCCAATTTTTGGTTCATAAATATTTAATGATCAGTTCCTGATCCAATTTGTGTTACCAAAGGACTTACAAATACATTGAATTACAGAACCATTCTGTCATTCATAACGAACTTGCCATTACTGTCATCCCAACACTTCTTAAACTGAATATGATTAAAATATGATTGCCATAAAATCAATTGTATATTAGTTGATAGCAAGAAATTTCAGATATTTTAAACATTCAGCAACGGTTATGTTGTAGCATATAAAGATAATTTTCCACTTGATGGGATTCCATGTCAAAAACTATGTATGTTTGCAGAGGACGCACTGAAGGCAAATACTTGTACGTATTTTTTCTTTTAAAAAAAATTCTTTATTTAACAGAAATTGACAAAAGATTTAATGTCAAAGTATAAGTTAATATCAGCTGTATTTCTATGTTTAAAATAGTTCACCTCATTCATTTCATAATGTTGTGAGATAATTAATATAGGTCTTTTCAGCTAGTAAAAGATTGAACAATCTGAGCAAGGTGGTTGCTGATAAAAGAAGTCCACAAAACAGACCAATTATAACATCAACAAATTCAAGATTTGGAACTATTTTGTATTCAACTGACAACAGTGGCACCAATTCAATGACAAAGCAAAACAAACAGGATACAAGATCACCATTAAGGAGGAAGAAAGACTTCATACCAGAATTTTCTGATGAGGATGATGACATTTTGAACCTTAGTGATTCAGGTTTCCCTTGTGTTGACCTCCAAACACCAGACAAGATGGATAGTAGTCCTGTTAGAAAAGGTATCTGCTTCTTTGCAGGGATGACATATCTATTTCAACAGTCTCATTATATTTGTTTGAAACTATAAAATCAAATGTTTCAGGCCTTTTGAATGATAAAAATGATGTATGCTGTGTTATTAGCAGCATTTGATAAACAGGGAGTTTTTGGAAGTCAATACTAGAGAAATTCAATTTGAACAGGATCATTGTTGGTACCCTAGAATTAAAAGTTAAAACTTAAAAGAGAGAATACTGGTAAAAGTGAGAAAAACCAGCTCATATTGTTGAAATAGGAAAAACTAACCCATAAATTCTTTAAAATACTCGAGAGCTATTTTCTTGGATATTATGTGTAGGAAGAATGAAACCTAAAGTTACAATTTATTCTACTGTAAAATTGTCATAATGACTATATCTGGTACGGTGGTTTATAGAGGCAAAGAAAGACCTGTTTCAGAAGTAATAAGACTATGGGAAATTACCTTTTTTGCACACTTAATAAATGATATAGTATGCCATTGGTAGGATATCTATTATTTCATGTATTGTTAACCAACATTATATTTAATGATTTTAATAATAAAAAATTCAAATTGCTTAGGATTCTGAAATAAGGATTTATAGAAATGAAGTGAAGAATTTTATTTTGGATTACCTGTTTCTTCTTCTTGCTTAACCATTTATAACAAAAATATATTATAATTGAATACTAGGTATGAAAATAAACACATTTACGTCACAGTCAGAAACAAAGAGGAGATGTTTTGAATCTTGTATTAATGTTGACCAGCAGTCTAAGAATTTCAAACCATATACAGTGACATCTAGAACAGCAGATTTTATTTCGCTCAACTGCAATAACTCTGCATTGGGAGCAGAAGGACAAAATGTTAACTCTGGGATTAATTCTGATGAAAAGGAAAATGATTTGAGGAGTATTCAACCAAAAAGACCAGATGTGTCTGTAGTTGAGATTTCAGATGAAGAAAACAGTGTTCTAAATATAAGTGACCATGATTTGTCTTCAGCTGACAATTCAAATGAAGCATCACATACCATTTTTCAATCAGTAAGACCAAAAGATAGAAGTCTTGTCAGGTGTCCTGTACTGAATTGTAATGGTATATTTGATTCTAGGGCGTTGTTTGATAGACACATGAATAACTTTGAACATTCTCCAACTGATCCATGGGGTGAATACAGTGAAAATAAGGATGTCTTGAGTGACATTGTAATGTGTCCTGAATGTGGCAAAGTATTTAAGGTAAATAATTAACGTTAGGCAATGAGATATGTTTCAAACATTTGAAGAAAAAAAGTTTTAGGGGTAAAATAAGGACTTTTCTCATACCTCTTCCTTTTCATTAAGTTGTTTCCATATAAAAAAGTATAAAGCTGCTAAATAACAAAAAAAACAGAGTCACTGAAGTATCTAAAGGCCATACGTTGACCTGTTGTTGATAACTAACTTCTACGGGCTCTGGTGGAGAGTTGTCTCATTGGCAATCATACCACATCTTGTTATTTTAACAGATGAATAATGTTTGACATTCTCACAAATGATCAAAGACGGCCACCTTTGATAAAGTTTATACAGGGCCAAAACATTATTGGTAAAAACTGTACTGTTGTTATAAACAAACATTTTAAAAATTATCAGAGCTTACAGTCATAAAACTTTTGTTAATCATACTCAGACTCGGGAATCAACCAATCAAAATACTGGATTTAATGTTTTGAACACAAATTTTGTACTCCTAGTACTGAGTAAAGTTTCTGACTTGCAGGGCAGTGAAGTAAGTTATGCATTTCATTTCAGCAAAGAGAAGCCTGTGTACAGCATATAAAAGATAAAAAGCATGTTTATCCACTTACTCCTCTACCAGTCCAAGGATACCTCTGTTATTCATGTCTCATGTTATTTCCTACAGACGAGGAATGTGCATCTCACATAACAACACTCAAACATAACTCTACAGCTTTTCCATTTTCTGGTAAATATTTAATGTTTTCTTCAGTTTATAGTCTTGATTTGCATTGTATACAATAGTCAAATTTACGAACCAAAAAAATGAATTGCAGACTAAATAATGTTTATACCTTTTAACCTGTTAGGTTCGATCCCGTCACCACTTTGTTTTTGCTAGGATATATACTCAAGCATAGATATTCAACTGTTTGTACTTTTTCACAATCAGCTGATTATTGATTTTCTGCGTGACAAGTTCAAGGTAAAAAGCCGAGTGTTGACTGATACAGGAAATAAAGTCTGAGAACACCCCCCCCCCCCCCCCAAAAAAAAAAAAAACCAAACAAGATGGATAATCTCCAAACAGTTTTATAATTCTTTCGCCAAATGTTTTTGCAAATGATGATTATTTTTTTTCGCCACAACTTTTTGTTCTTCACAAAAGGTGAAAATGTCGACTGCCAGCAGAATCCTCGAATGGGAGTACAAATAACACATCGTGTATTCTTTTGACATACTCTTTTCATAACTGTATGTACATGTAATGACTCCCAAATGATTTAATTCATTATTTAATGACTTTTTAGCAAAGCCAATCCCTAATTTTGATGTACAAAATAAATGTATAATATATGTTTGTGCACATGTTCTCCTTTTTGTCGAGCCTGCGACTTTTGTCGCAGAAAGCTCGACATAGGGATAGTGATCCGGCGGCGGCTACGGTGGTGACGGCGTTAGCTAACTTCTTAAAAGCTTTATATTTTAGAAGGTGGAAGACTTTGTTTATAGATGCCTTATGTTACGAAGTTTCAATCTGTCACATGTCCATTGTCCTTGACCTCATTTTAATGGTTCAGTGACTACTTGAAAAAAAAGTTCAGATTTTTTGTAATGTTAATTTCTCTCTTATTATGAGTAATAGGATAACTATATTTGGTATGTGCGTACCTTGCAAGGTCCTCATGCTCGTCAGACAGTTTTCACTTGATCTCGACCTTGTTTCATGGATCAGTGAACAAGGTTAAGTTTTGGTGGTCAAGTCCATATCTCAGATACTAGAAGCAATAGGTCTAGCATATTTGGTGTATGGAAGGACTGTAATGTGTACATGTCCAAATGGCAGGTGTCATCTGACCTTGACCTCAATTTCATGGTTCAGTGGTTATAGTTAAGTTTTTGTGTTTTGGTCTGTTTTTCTTATACTGTATGCAACAGGTCTACTATATTTGGTGTATGGAATGATTGTAAGGTGTACATGTCTAGCTGGCAGGTGTCTTCTGACCTTGACCTCATTTTCATGGTTCAGTGGTCAAGGTTAAGTTTTTGAGTTTTGGTCTTTTTTTCTAATACTACATGCAATAGGTCAACTATATTTGGTGTATGGAAATATTTTATGATGTACATGTCAGTCTTGCAGGTTTTATTTGACCTTGACCTCATTTTCACGGTTCATTGCTCAGTGTTAAGTTTTTGTGTTTTGGTCTGTTTTTCTAATACTATAAGCAATAGGTCAACTATATTTGTTGTATGGAAGGATTGCAAGCTGTACATGTCTGTTTTCATGGTTCATCTGACCTTGATCTCATTTTCATGGTTCATTGGTCAATGTTTAGTTTTCTTGGTTAAGTCTGTTTCTTGTATACTATAAGCAATAAGTCAACTATATTTGGTGTATGGAATGATTGTAAGGTGTACATGTATATCTGGCTTGATTTATCTGACCTTGACCTCATTTTCTTGGATCATGTTAAGTTTATGTGATAGTAAAACTTTATATTTAGGACTATCAATTGCAACATAATATCAATGATTAGTAAAGAAGGCGAGACATTTCAGCCTGTGCACTCTTGTTTAAACTAGTACAAGATTAGATTGTAAAACAGGAATTAAATTCATGCGTAATTACACAAGTTAAACAATCATCAGTCTTAAAAGTATCAAATTAATTCTATGATTAAATTCCTCTTTAGGTAGTCAGGAAAATACCATAATAGAATATCCAGATTCGTTCTTAATTTATAATTGAGTTAAAACGTAGTCAGTTTTATTGTTTCAGAATAAAAAAAGTGTGGATTATTCCTGGCAAATTTGCAATTTGTGGTCATAAAAATCCATGAAATATTTTAAACTGTTGTCTTCCTCAAATCTTTTGACATCTATCTGTAAGTCTGTCTGTCCTGTATCCAGTTAAGATCAACTTGGAAATGAGTCCACTGTTTCATAATGAAGTTAACATTTACACCTATGCTTAGGAACTAATTTGTTTTATACTACTTTCCAGTATTTTCTTTTTTGACCGGCCCCAATTTGATGGTGTTACATCTTACAAAGTCTGTCCAAATTATTTTTGCAAAGAATTTCGCTCAAACCGGTGCTAGGGGCTGTCTTAAACTTGCAGTGAGGTGAGAGTTTTTTTGCTTTGTGTTGAAGGCCTCACTGTGACTTTCAGATGAAGAACAGCTATAAAAGTGCATGTTCCTTTGCTTTTTGTGTGCTTTTTTGCAGTGCATTTACTGATTTTGTGTCATGGATGGATATCCCATATCCTTTGTTTTTCTGTTTACTATATTTCCAAAATGTAAGTTTTGACCCAGATTTTACGGTTCACTGAACGTGGAAATTAGATTTGTTGAAGTTTTGTTTTTAAGGTAGTTTCAGGTCACTTTAACTTGATAGTTAGAACACTTGTTCGTAATTAAGTCTTAAGGTGATCTGTAAAATATGTATGCCAAATTAGGGTTTTGACCAAGATTTCATGATTGAAAGAAAACGGAGATGTGATAATGTGAGCTGAGCATGGTGTTCCTATATACACATATTCTTGTTTGAAACTATAATGGCTGCATGATAACAGATAAAAATTTCTGAAAAAGAAGTATTAAATATTTATTGAAAAATTAGAACCAGTTCTCTTTTAAAGTCATATCTGTTATTCCTGCTCAATATTCCATCTGACTAAAACAAGCATAATATGACTTATTGCATAAACATGATAAAGGTCTTTTTTAAAGGAAATTGAAAAGCAGTACTCAAATGCTGATGAGTGCAAAATTGAAATTGCCTCTTCCTTTATGATGAGGGGCCTCGATGGCCGAGTGGTCTAAGTAGTTCTACTACTGTAATCACTAGCCAGTCAACACTGAGGTTGTGAGTTCAAACCCCGCTCGTGCAGGTGCACTCGACTCCAATCTTAATTGACTAGGATTGTCAGTTTTCCTATCGAAGGTCAGTGGTTTTCTCCGGGGACTTTGGCTTCCACCACTAATAAAAACTGGCCGCCACGAAATAGCCCAAAAGCGGTGCTTAAAAGTGGTGTTAAAACACCAAAAATCAAATCAAATCAAATCCTTTATGATGTTTACAAGATAGGTTATTCATGTTACACAATGTGGTGGGTTGGTTGTTGTTGTTCTTGCCCTGTTGTATATGATTTAAAATCCACTGCATGACCTTGTATTCCATCAAATATAGGTGCCCCAGTGAAATGGCTTGTATATAATTGATCATATTGAAAGCTATTATAGCATTCAAGACTTAGATTTGTGAGGCAAATGAGAACTTTTGAAACAAAAAATATAACAATCCTTTTTTCAAATGCCCCCTATCTATTAAAATGGATTTATGACATTTGATTTACCAAAACTGATTCCCACTTTACAATTAAAATAATTTTCTTTTTCCTTTAGATGACATGAAAGGTTTGTTTACCAAATTTAAAGGAATACCAGTTTCGAAGAAATTTGTAGAAGATTATTATAAAAAGTGTATGTCGGCAGATTTCAGTATTGTTTGTTGTGATTGTGAACTACCTATAAATGGACATAGAGAACTTCAACAGCACTTGGATGAAACAAGACTTAGTCACAGTTTAATGGCACTAACTGAAATAACACTGGTAAATTACCCCAAAAATAATTCTCAAAACTTAGTTAAAAAAGGAAAATTAGGTGGGAGGTTTTCCATTGAGCTATGGTGTGTTGTTTTCTTATCTTACTATTTGTTATGAAATATTAATGTTTAAATATTCTTTCAGTCTTTCAATGGGTAGGCAAATTAACAGTCTGTTTACTATATAGAAAGATTTGATTTGACAATGCATATTATCATATTGTTTCCAGTCAGGCACTTGAGAGATAAAGATGTTCATTGTCCAATCAAATCTTTGTATATTGTAAACAGACTGTTACCCCACCTTTTCATTGAATGTAAGTGTCAATCTTAATAACAATGCTTGAGCAAACAACCAAAGTTAGCAAGCAAGGTATTTAAACTTTTGATCAACATGGAATATTATAATAGCTGTAAATGGCTTCCACCTATGGCTTCCACCTTTGTCTATAGTGTTGCACTATTATTTAACAATATTCATACATAATTCATGTTTGCTAAAACCTATATTTTATGAGAGTTCTGCTTCATATAAGGTTCATTTCACAGAATCTGAGTGTTATATTAATTACCCTTATCCATAATGTTTGATGAGGCCGCAATTAAAAATATCTTTGTTTCCCCTTACCCTACCCACCATTTTGGAAGTGGGTAGGTAGGTAGGCTTTTTTTTTTTTTTTTTTTTTAGAGAAAATCCCTTAAATATATCTAACATACAGGAAAACACAGAAAAACAACAAATTGAACTTTATTGATACTAAAACAACATACTGTATAACGTATAATGCATGACTAGAAGACCTTACAATTTCAGACTAGAAAATGTTTGTAAATATCAATGTCTTTGTGACTTAGAGTAGACCACATATAAATTGAGACACGGTTCTATATCTTTCTTATAGTTTTATTAATTCAATTGAAAATATAAAACCCCAACGAGACTGCTACCTAGTAACATTCGATGCAAAAAATATGTACACTTGTTTTTCATTTAAGGAAATACTAGAAGCCACAAACCGTGATCCAAGCGAGTATGACTACGCCTATTAAGGCTTATTCTAGAAAACTATGAATTTATTTTTAACAATAAACTTTACCATGAAACCTTGGGCGTGCCTATGTGCGGATCAGCATTCGCTGAGTTAGCAGACCTTACAATGTTTGTTAATTCTTGAACACATTTTACAACGCTTTCAACACAGAGAAACAAAATGATAATGATAGTTGAAGTTCACCTACGAATTTTCCTGTAATGAAACAATATTCTTAGACACTGTCATAATTATACAAAGGAGAAAGATTCTTTAATGAAGGCATAGTATGATACAAGACATTAAAACCAATATCAAACCAACTGAAACATATCAATATCTGCACAGACACTGCTCACACCCAAAAAGTGTTTCCATTGAAAGGATTTATCAAGGGTGAAGTATTGAGGTATCTCAGAAACACAAGCAGCAAAACTGATCTTAAAAAAACAGTAAGAAGCTCAAACGAGGATATCAAATATCTGAAATCAACGATTTTTTTTATCAAACACAAAATACAGAAAGGGAAACCTTGCTAACACATCGCCCAGCGAAACGGGAGCAACCGCTAGTAATGTTAACAAAATTCAACCCATCTATACAGAAACTAAAAATATAATAATGAAAAACTGGCATCTTATTTCACAAAACCCTGAATGTGTGACCATATTTAATCATCAGCCCATTATAGCTTATAAAAGACATAAGAACTTACAAGAACTTTTATCAAAGCATTAGCTGGTATAGTCATCTCGACTTTTCACAACACAATATGATGCTGAGCTCGAAAAAAATCAACTACTATTTTATCCAAAGACAACTAGTGTATGGTCCAATATCACATACGAAATGAAACAAAATAGCATAAATAGCATGCCAATATACAACTTATTGGGTCAACCACTGATAAAGGCGAACTCAGGGATTAACCACAAACACGACAGAAACACCGGGCCTAACATTTAAGCTCAAGGGTGAGCTCGGATGCGCAATCGTAACTACTCGGCCATTCTCGCTACGCATTTTGTTATTGGAGGCGTAGCTAGAATGGAATAGTAGTTAAGATTGCTTGGATGCATTTATTTAAAACATTATTCCATTCCAATTTCAGTATCCTTGCATACGTTGTTTACCCTTTGCTGCAAACACACGGGCGACAATGATTTCGCGGAATGTTGAAAATACGGACCATTCAAGGAAACGAAATTAAAAAACGAACTTTTGAGCGAAACGAAAAAAAAAAAAACAACGTGATTTTCGAAAAAAAATATTTCAGTCGGCGGATTTTTAGAGGGTCGGTCGGGTAAGGGGAAACAAACTTAATTTTAATTTTGGCCTGACCTTGTTTTTTTTCTTTTCAGACAGATATTTTTACCAGTTATTTGTATACTCACAAATGTTCAACATGTCATGCAGCTGTGGAAAATCCCAAAATAAATGGTGGATTCCATAGCTGTAATAAAGAAATAGCTGGGAAAATAATGACTGATGGTTGTAACTCATTCAAAGCCTTGGTGCTGGGTCATTGTGTTAGGTTAGAACAGGATGATACCACTGAACTTAAAATTAAAATCAGCGAGGTATCAAACAAAGAAGGCAGAGAAGAACCAATGGAATTGGACCTGCAAACTGTTGGAAATAAGTTGCAGAAATGTGAAAAAATTTTGCCATCTAATCAACTGGCATATTCAAGTGTAAATCCTGGATCTTCTAATGATCTTTCTTATCTATGTGAAAAACCTGGACCATCCAATAATTCAAAGTCCTCTAAAAGAAAATCCGATGAGTTTAACAAGTTTTCAAATCGGTCCAAAAATAATGAAATGGAAGTTGAATCTGAATCAATTCAACCTTCAAAACGAAAAAGAATAAAGAAATATTCAGGTGAAACAAAGACATCAACAAGAATGGATGTTGCCCTAAGTAATTACAGCAGTGTTACTGATCCTGCCTACCTGAAAACAATGGTCAATATCATATTTTTAGATTTAGATAATTGGACTGGGTTTTTCCCAAAGTTACCGAACAGATTGCCTGAAAGGTTCTTTGTGTGGGCATTTTATGGAGGAAACACACATTGGAAGGAGCCATACCAGTAAGTCCTCACAGTTTTCATCTTTATGACCAAGCCAAGATAACAAGATACCAGAAAAAGTCACATTTTACAGTAGAAATGTTTTTTTCTTGACACTTAATAATTGTTTACTATATGTGGTTACCAGCACTTCTGGTTATTGATTTTTGTGACAGGCTATTTTTTATAGACCTTGCAATTGTTCACTGAACTACTTTCATTACAATATAAAAAAAACAGGCAGATTTTATTTGGTTTGATTCCTTTCAATGGAATATACTACACTACAATAGCGAACTTAGAATCTCATGGAATTTTTTCACAACAAAAAGTTCAAACAAAGCATTATTCAGGTTAAATGCATTTCCTCTATCTTCTTTTAATGTTGGATATTGAAAAAAATGTGTCAATCCTATGATCAATTTTGTGAATAATGTTTACGTGTAATACTATTTGGTTTGTAACTACTAGCCTTTTTTTTTACATAAATAGCTTTCTGTTGTTTTAATGAAATTGCAGGGAACAGGTGACTTTACCTTAAAGTACACAAGGAAATATATTTTGAAATTGGTGTTGTTCAAAAGAAATTGCTTATCATTATACATCATAATTCACAACCATGTGCTTAAGTAATTGAATGAATTAAAAGTAGGTTGATATTTACTGATTACTAATAGATAATTATAGCCTGTAATCATTTTAGAGACCTGCTTTAATAGTTCATTTTAAGAAAAGGCAAGGTGCTCTTGGTTACATTAGAGTTGTTTGCAACTAGCTAAAAGTTGATTGTTTTCTCCAGCTTCCTAGTTTTAGATAATTCTATCAGTTTTGAAACTAGAAAAAGTAATTCAAATAGGTTCGTCTAAACCAGTTATTGTTTTTGTTAAGCCTATTATGTCTAACTATCAAAGTATTTTTATAGATATAGTAATTTTGTTTTTTTATGCTGTTTCACCATTAAAGTGAATGATTCTGACAAGCATGTAACATGATTTACTTATCAGGTGTGGAGCATATGAATATCAAGTACGTGAAAACCGTTTCTATCTTCATGATCGTTGTGGAACAAGAAAAGATGCTGCAGACTTTGCCATATGTTTAACGGTAATTGATATATTTCATATATACTACTCAAAAAAAGTTTAGCCTCACAACTTCTAACTGAAAAGAAAGTAAAACAAAATCTCAATTTATCTTTCAAGTTTATGTTTTCTTCATCTTCAATCATTTGCGTATTCAAAAATACTACAGTTATGTTGACAAAATTTCAAAGACAGCTACACTGTGACTGTCACAATTTTAACATATTTTGTCACATGGTCTAGTTACAACACACAAAATTGATGAAGTGCTGAATCTGATGGCATAATTGATTTCATATGAACAGAAACTAACATTTCCTTTGTCAAATTTTGTTTGAATTGGGAGGGGCACTTTTTTATCCCCAAATTTTTATCATAATTTTTTAGTTTTCTTCTTTAATCAATTCAACATCCAGAAATGTTGTTACTTTCAGATCATTTTGAGCATATTGTTTTTTTAAAGATATGAGCCCTCAAAGTTTGACCCCCATTAGATCTAAATTCCATGGATGTCTTGCAAACCTTTCTTAGAGTAGTATTATTATTATTATCACTGAACTAGTATACATATTTGTTTAGGGGCCAGCTGAAGGTCGCCTCCGGCTGCGGGAGTTTCTCACTGCATTGAAGACCCATTGGTGGCCTTCGGCTGTTGTCTGCTCTATGGTCGGGTTGTTGTCTCTTTGACACATTCCCCATTTCCATTCTCAATTTTATGATAGAAGCAGTAAAGTATAATTCATGAAAATGAAATAGGTTTTTCTTGCTATTGGCAGTTTATAATTTGTTAGAATTAATACTCTGTTAAGTAATATCTTGCTTGACATTTTAAATTGGTGTTTGATCAGTGAAGATGCTACATATCATGTCCTGTATAGATTTTTGTTCATCAGACATTTCAGACCATCTGGAAAAAATAAAATTTCCACTGAGATGACCTTTTCTGAGAAGAAAATTTTTTTATTGAAAGTTTGAAACTTTAACTGTTATTCTAAGGAAGAAAAGACTCTTGGAATTGCTTTCTTTTAATTTTTTTTTACTTTCTAGGTTGGTCAAATGGACATGGTGTTACCACCGACTGTCCATTTCACAATACTTTCTGGGGATAAAGGATTTATGGAGATAGAAAGACAGATGAAAAGTTCAAAGCGTAAGGCAGTGGTCATAGATCCACATGAGGCAATGAAAATGTCAAACCATGTTCTATATACTATGCTAGTGAGTGTAGGGGAAACATGAAGAATGTGTTTAAAGCTACAATTGTTATCCAAGCAGTATTAAGCATGGTGGTAATGATAAGTGATGGCTAATTAAAGATGAACAAATTGTGAATACGCTTACTTGGAATTAAAAAAAAAGAACATGAGCCTTCAATGACAATATAAAGGTTATGAAAAATGTACCTTTATATCTGAAAAAGCAGCAGGTGGCAGTACACCAATTATACAGGCATTAAAATAAAATAAGCAGTTGTGTTTTATAAAAAACATAAATTTGCTTTTCTGATGTTAAAGCTGGCAATGCCTGTTTGAAAAAGCCTGAAGAATCAATAGAATATGGTCTTTTCAGGATTTAGTTTGGTAATAAAAACAGTGAGTTTGCATTTGAATATCATTCAAACAATGATAACGATAAATATCTTTCAAAGTTTAAAAAAGTTTTTTAAAAATTGTAAGTTTCTTCTTGCTTAAATTATACATACATAAACTTATTTTACATGTAGTATGGTTCACTTAGAAAATATAGAGTTTCATTTTGTAATTTTTATTATACTTAAGTTTTTTTCATTGGAGAAAATGGAAGTTTTGTGTCAAAAACTATTAGAAAAAGAAAGTTATTCAATAAATTGTATTTCTCAGTTGCTTATATTCTCAGCAGGTATAGTTGATTGAAAATTATGTTTTACAAGTGTGTTAGCTAAAACTGCAATACTTAACTCTCATTTCAGTATGAATTGGCCAAAGACATTTTAAAGGAAAAAGTCGGGACAATTTACCCCCAAAGTTTAACCCATATTAGCTCCAGATTTTTAACAAGTTTTAGCAAAAACTAAAATTATCAAATCTATTAGACAGAAAGAAAAATAATAATTTTCACCCATTTACAATATGAAATAGTTGAATGACAAATTTAAATGCCATATTCCTTAAAGGGGCATTAGCTGTCAAATTCTGTTCACTGATTTGACTCAGATTCTCATATTTGATTTATAACATACTAAAATGTATATCCAAATAATAAAAAGTCTAAAATAAACAATTTACAATGCTTGGACTAGATACTATGTATCAGCATTTCATGTGTATTAGTCTAGACGCCATCTTATTAACCATCAACGTGACCTCTGAAGGCTACCGACTGTCATATAACCCAATATAAACATAAACATAGATATAAATAGATAGCGAACTTGTGAAATTGGATTTTTCTAGGTCTGTTTGATTTCATATTATAGGTTTGAAAAATATGTTAATCATCGTTTTTACCTGTATAAGAATGAGTTTGTGTGGATCGAATCAGTCAATCAAATGATTTACCCTTGTTTCACTTTCAATGTTGACATTATTGTCCTTTTAATAGCTGAACACGCCTAGTTGATGCATAATCCATCTCTAGCTAAGGGGTTCAATTGAAGTTCACATGAATACGGATTTAATGAGGTCGAATTATTCACTTGCAAGTGAATAATTCATTAGCGTTGTTTCTTTGCTTATTTTGACAAAACTGAACCAAACTGGCTGCTCAAAGCGAATTATTATACAAAATGTATCACTATTTCACTTTCATTAATGATTGAACAAAAAAAAATCATATTTTATTTTTTTCTATATCTTGTAGCTAATGCCCCTTTAAGAAACAACACAAGAAGACTGATTACTTTACATAATGATTAATTAAAATGTCTTTTAAACTATCTTTTTCTGATCTCAATTATTACAAAACTATTCTTGTTCAAAATTTATATTCCAGTGATAGTACATAATGGGATCTTAATATATTCCCTCCTAAATATCAACCATAGAATTGCAGTAAGAACTGTCCTTTCTCTTACTTGATTTCTTAGTCTCTTAATATTTTGTTGTTCTGAACACGAAATCTGCCGCATATAGCACCTTCTTTTCTTTGATTGGTTATAACAACATTTATTTCTAAGTTAAACCAAACAAACATGAGTATTATTAATGAATATAACACTTTATAAATTTGGTACGCTCTAAGCTTCTTTCTGGATTTTCCTGCATCAGGAACACTAAAAACCAAAAATTGGAAAGTTAAGGATGTACAAGAACTTAAATATGTGCGGAGCAAAGGGGACTTTCAAAAAATAGACAAATCCATCTATAGTCAACTACCTATATGGTCAACTAAGTTCTTAATAATTTCTTTATTTATAAACAGAGAACATAAGAAAAGAATGTTATAAATCATGTCAGTACCAATGCATTGACTATTAGGCTGATGATACCTTGGTAAGATATCAATACAAGGCCATGGCTATCAGACATGCAGGTTAAAAGATTAATCTAGCTCTAAAATGGGCTATAGTGTTGGCTCGTAAATGTTCCCTTGAAGTTCTGAATTTTCCTGAAAAAATGTCATTCATACCTATGCATATTGATATTTGTGTGAGTTTTGTTTTTTCAAAATGTGCAATTATAGTGCTAATCTTATCATTTAAAACCAAATCAATAAAATTTTTTATGACAAAGTTTTCCTGGTCAAAACAATATATTTCTTTCAGCATTATGTTGTTGCTAACATATGTCTTTTTTCTGGACCTATACTTAGACATAATGAAATGATAATAAAACCAAAGAAACAGTGCTTTAGTTGTTGTTCTTCTGTACTTTTGATTTAATGAGTGTCAACATATACATGTATCCAGTTATATGGGAATCAGCCTATTTGTCTTTCCATCTATCGATGTCTATTATCTGTATGAAACTAAATTTTGTGTCTTTTATTAAATTTATACAAAACCTTTGCAATTACAGATTATGTATCACATAGGATTTTTATACCCCCATCTGAAGGAATACACGGAATAAGATTTATAATCAAAACTTGTCTGATTAGAAAAGAAAATTTTTTGCGATAATTTTGTATCTTTTAAATCCCTTATGATGGTCATGATAATGCTAATTTTGTTCTCATCAGTTCTTAATGTAAATATAAAAACAATTATAGAAAATTGCCAAAATATAATGAAAGAGACCAGATGAAAATTTATCCATTGAGATTCACTTTAAACCTGAAGTGTTTGGATGCATCATGGGTGATAAAATATATGAAATATATGAAGTAGAAAAAAGTGTATAGTTTATAATTTATCTACAGATCAAGAAGGAACATTTATCAACATGCATCAGATTTATATGGTTAATCCCTTATGATTCGCAACACTAATAAATTTAAAGCATGTTTCACAACTTGTTCTTTTAAGGTCAAATTCTAATTGGCAATGGTTTATGATAAAACTGTCCAGCTGAATTAGGTGTCCTAATGTTATTTCTTTCAATTGAAAATAAAGGTAAACCATATTCAGTTTTGATAATGTTTTATACCAGAAAGAAATTCAAACATATGAAAATGAAGTATGTAAAGAAATAAAGAAGTCTGTGTTGCCATGGCCACATGTTAATCTACAACTCTTTGAAAACAGCTTGACAGAACTACACTGGAGAACCTTTCTTGGATCATTTCTTTAGCCTTTCATTATTATGGTTGTTCATATCTCACTTTGATAATCTGCCACTCATTGAAATAGTAGACAGAATTCCACCAAATTTGCAGATTATTCTACAGGACACAAAATTGTGCACTGTCATTTCAATTTTTTCTCGCTCACGACGAAAGTCGTGGAAAGCGAGACATAGGGGTTGCTTTTCCGGCGATGATGGCATCAACAATTGTTAAGTTTTGAGCTCAAGTTAGTTTGATAGGAACTACTTGTGACAGATCAGTGATATTTAATATAAAGTTGCATTACTATCAATACATATCAATTTGACGACTATTTGAGGCCCTGCACCCTAGGACATGGTCCAGTGACTTTGAATTAATTAGCAATTTTCAAAGTTAAGTTTTCTGCTTAAGTCAGTTTGATAAGAACTACTTGTGATAGATCAATGATATTTTATAGGAAGTTGCATTACTACCAGTTCATATCAGTTTGTTGACTATTTTGAGGCTCTGTCCCCTAGGACATTGGATTATCTTTCTAGTCTGTGTCTGTCCGTATCACATTTCTATCACATTTTCTAATCAGCTGCTATTCAGTATATGGTGCAAGCTCCATATTGATACCTTTACCATATGCCACATTTTCAAATTCTTCACATGTCTACATTCTGTTTACTCCATACATGTATATTCTTAACATTGATGCATCTCTAAGAAAATTTGTTTAGTAAGAGTTTGTTTATTCTGTGCATTGATGCATACATTCAAAATTATAGAATTATTACGAGAAAACTTGCATAGCTTAGTATCAACAAGACACTTCAAAGTCAAATTTATATTAAGTCATCAAGAATGAGAAAACTGAGGGTCTTATCTCAACATCTTCAAAACCATCAATAATGAGAAAAATTTCTTATATCACCATCTTCAAAGTAGTCAATAATAAGAAAACTTTCATATTTCAGCATCTTCACAGCTGTCAATAATGAGAAAACTTTCTTAGATCATTATCTTCAAAGCCGTCAATAATGAGAAAACCTTCTTAATTCTGCATTGTCAAAGCCGTCAATACAGAGAACTCTTTCTTGTTTCAGCATCTTCAAAGTCTTCAATAATGAGAAACTTTCTTATCTCAGCATCTTCAAAGTCATCATTAATAAGAAAACTCTCTTATCTCAGCATCTTCAAAGCCATCAATAATAAGAAAACACTCTTATTTCAGCATCTTCAAAGTCGTCAATAATGAGAAAACTTTCTTATATCTGCATCAACAAAATTAAAGTCATCAATAATGAAAAAACTTTCTTATCTCAGCATCTTATAAGACTTCAGTAATGAGAATACCTTCTTATCTCAGCATTTTCAAAGTCGTGAATAATGAGAAAACTTTTTTTTTTTCGGATTCTTGAAAGTAGTCAATAATGAGTAAACTTTCTTATCTCAACATCTTCGAAGCCGTTAATAAGTAGAAAACTTTCTTATTTCGGATTCTTTAAATCGTCAATAATGAGAAAACTTTCGTATCTCATCATCTTTTAAGCCATCAATAATGAGAAAACGTTCTTATCTCAGCATCTTCAGAGCCGCCAATAATGAGAAAACGTTCTTATCTCAATATCTTCAAAGTTGTCAATAATGAGAAAATTTTCTTATCTTAGAATCTTTAAAGCCGTCAATACTGAGAAATCTTTCTGAATACAGTATTATCAAAACCGTCAATAATGAGAAAACTTTCTTATTTCGGATTCTTCAAAGCCGGCAATAATGAGAAAACTTTCGTATCTCAACATCTTCAAAGACGTAAATTATGAGAAAACATTCTTATCTCAGCATCTTCAAAGCCATTTATAATGAGAAAACTTTCTTATCTCAACGTGTTCAAAGCCGCCAATAATGAGAAATCTTTTTCTTATGATTCTTGAAAGTTGTAAAATATGAGAAAACTTTCTTATTTAACATCCTCAAAGACGTCAATAATGAGAAAACATTCTTATCTTAGAATCTTCAAAGTCATCAATAATGAGTAAACTTTCTTATCTCAACATCTTCAAAGCCGTCAATAATTAGAAAATTTTCTTATTGCGGATTCTTCAAATCGTCAATAATGAGAAAACTTTCGTATCTCATCATCTTTTAAGCCATCAATAATGAGAAAACGTTCTTATCTCAGCATCTTCAAAGCCGCCAATAATGAGAAAACTTTCTTATCTTAATATCTTGAAAGTAGTAAATAATTAGAAACTTTCATATTTCTGATTCTTGAAAGTCGTTAATAATGAGAAAACGTCCTTATCTCAATATCTTGAAAGTCGTCAGTAATGGGATTTTTTTTTTTATCTTAGAATCTTTAAAGCCGTCAATACTGAGAAATCTTTCTGAATACAGTATTATCAAAACCGTCAATAATGAGAAAACTTTCTTATTTCGGATTCTTCAAAGCCGTCAATAATGAGAAAACTTTCTTATTTCGGATTCTTCAAAGCCGTCAATAATGAGAAAACTTTCTTATATCAATATCTTCAAAGTCGTCAATAATGAGAAAACTTTCTTATCTAAGCATCTTCAAAGCCGTCAATAATGAGAAAACTTTCTTAAATTAATACTTCAAAGCCGTCAATAATGAGAAAACTTTCTTGTCTCAGCATCTTCAAAGCCATCAAAAATGAAAAAAAGTTTCTTATCTCAGCATCTTCAAAGCCGTCAAAAATGAGAAAAGTTTCTTATCTCAGTATCTTCAAAGCCGCCAATAATAAGAACACTTTCTTATCTTGATCTTCAAAGTTGTCAATAATGAAATATCTTTCTTATCGCCGAATCTCCAAAGCCGTCAATAGTGAGAAAACTTTCTTAATACAGTATCTTCAAAACCGTTATGATGAGAAAACTTTCTCGTCTCAGTATCTATTTTTTGTTGCTTAATAATTTTGTTTAAATCAATCTGATAGAAACCAGTAGCGTAGCTTCCATTGAATCAGTGATGCAACTTCCTCACTAAATTTTGACCAATAAAAATAGAAAGATAAAATGTACAATGTTATTCCGTGGTATAGGGTATAGATGGTTCTCAACATTTGACTTCTCTTCCCTTTACTCAGTATTCCTCATTCTGATTAGCATATTCGACAGATTGAAAGAAGATTTTAAATAGAAAGGGGCAAATAAACAAAAATCTTGATTTAGGCAGGAACAAATCAAACTTTGTAAAAAAAAACTACTCTGATTCTAACAAGAAGTTTGTGAATCTGACATCATGAGCCTGTAATTCCGTGGTTGTTTGTCATGTTTGTTTCTCGCCTATGTTTTGTCATAAATCATGTCGTTGGTTTTCTCGTTTGAAATGTTTCATTTTGTTTTATCGTTGAACTTTGCTAACATCCACGTCAATAAGACCACATCACATCTCCGTATTTGTTTAACCATGAAAATGCCCTATTATTTATTTACAACATGTTTGTTACTTTGATGGTTGTGTTTTTCAATAGACAGATCTAGAGTTGACCTTCCTATGAGGACCAATTGCTCTCCTTTTCTCACTGACCTTTTCCTTCCTTCATAATTCACCATCTCCCAGTGACGAATGGGACATATATATAATGTATCTGAATTTTTTTATAGAAATACAGCTTAATCTTGGAATGGTTTGTTTTTTTATGCGTTTTGATTCATTTGGGTTTTTTTTATGTTTTGGTTGTATTTAATGTTTGTGTGTGTGTTTTGATATAGCATTCTCTATTTTTACTTCATTTTAGTAATTATAAATATTTCGTGTATAGATTTTGGAGGAACAAACGAATATACTTTTATCACCAATGATACTCTATTTCACGTTTTGCCTTAACTAACAACTAGAAGAAGGAACTAGAACGTTATGGAAATTAAAATGTACGAAATGTATGTATGAAAATAAAACAATGACTATGAAAATCTCTCCCATGATGAACTGTAAACGAATGTTTAGAACTAATAGAATCTTATTTTTCCAAAACATAGAAGGAACTAGAATGTCTGTTTTCAATATTCATAAACTGATATGCAGTTGGATTACTTTTTTGGAATCAAGTTTCTATAAATGATCATATATTCGAGAAGGAAACTTGATTTTGCTATTGACTACGGAGAAATGGGTATCATGTAGTTGTTTTATTCTATACAAGAACATGGTCTTGGGGGTCTTGGAAATAAACGACGTCACAAAGTATATAAAAACATTATGAATCAGTTCGATACGATATCTTATCTTCAGTTTATTTATTTGTACATAAATATAACCCAATTATCTATAACAATAGCAGCCAATGAATGGTTAAACTTTTTTTTAACCACGTGACTGTTAACTTTTTATTACTTAAGGGTATTTAAAAGAACTTTAAATTGCGGATTTTGTTTATGCTTTCTATATTTAGTGGGATCTTTACGGGGCAAAGATATTTTGTGTTTCTTCTTGTGGACAAATCAAAATAAATACAAACTAATGTTGCTGGACATGAAAATGGAAAAGTCAAAGTCAGAGATTAACATTACAACTGATTCGGAATCTGAGAGTAGTGAAGATGATGCATATGAAGCAAATATAGAATTTTCTAATGCATGTAGACATTATTATTTATCGCGACTTGAAGCAACTGAAAGTTTTAAGAAGGACCTAAAGAAAGAAGACACGGTAAAGAAATCTATTTCACCGAGGCAACGACGAAGGTCGACAATAGACGATAAAATGGAAACACTCAGATCAGAAATGGTAAGATTTAAATATTGGATTGTTCCTCAAAATAATGTCTATACTATGACGGTTGGTCGATTCCTCTTAGCCAAAGCTCAAGGGCTTTTCTAATAATTCTGCTGTTCACTTTGCAAAATGAAAGTCACGAAAAAATATGACAGCGAAATAATTTATAAAATTATTTTACTAGCACGATTGGCCAGAGATAAAACGCTTCTCTAACAATTCTGCTGTTCACTTTGCAAACTGAAAGCCACGTAAAATTCTGACAGCGAAATGATTAATAAAAAAAGTGAATTTTTATAAAAGCTAATTGTATATTGAAAACCCCTGTCATTTGCTTTTATTACAAGTTTTTATTCAAAGGTTATCACAAACGAAACTTTCTAAAACGGATTATTAACAAATGAAATTAAATAAAACTAATAAATCAGATTCTGGGAGCATTTGTATTGACAAATGTTATTATCCTTATCAGGGTGCTTACTCAGCGGTATTGCTAATGAATTTTAATATTGAGTGAATTTCTGTTGCTTAATCAAATGCGTGTTATTTCCTTATTCATTGCTCCGTCATACCATGTATCGGAAAAGGAAGTTTCTGAGGCATATTTTAATTGTTGCTACATGTTATTTTATTTCTATATTTTTCTCATACTTCTACGATTTAAATCCGCTTCAAGTATTTGACAGATCAGATTGTCACACGTTACCGTGAAAAGGCTAGTAATTTTTCGTAATTCAAGGATAAGATTGAGTTAATGATCCGAAAGTTTCGTCATTTTACGCACATTATCCCAGACATTATCCTAATCCGATTGTTTAGGTTAATATACTATCAGAAGTTATTACCATGTAAACACTAAAATCGCATTAACTTAGTCCACCTCACATGTTTTAATTAACTTTTTTGTTAAGACAAAATTCCACCTGGATGATAAGTGAGAACGAATTTCTACAGATGTTTTATTTTCTACAGAAATTATATTTCACACCACCTGCGTCATATAATTGATCTCTAAACGATGACACGAGCTCGTTAAAATATCTATTTCTCGAAAACATCACTTGTAACAATAAAATAACTAAAAATAAAGTCAACATCCTTATGGTCATCACCTTTCGTGTGCTTGCTGATATTCTAATTCATTAAGTAAGTAAGAAAATTATTGGTTATGGTGGCATGTATAATAAACAACGTCTCATATGCAGATATGTTTTAAAAAAATATCATACACCCGACCGGTTAGATCTACAAGTCACTTTCAAAATCATTAAAAAAACGTATTTAATTTGCTCACGGATTTTTCGAAAAAATTAGCTAAATTTTAAATAACTTGTGCATGATAATAATAAAAGTAAAAACTAGATTTAAAAGTTGAATGTTATGCCCAATTAAATAAATTGTTTATAGTTTAATGAAAAGAGAAAAAATATAATTCAGAATCAGAAAATATTTCGGATTAATTATGCGGTAAACTTTTTGATTTAAAATTAAAAAAAAAAATTAAAAGTCTCTTCGTGTAAATATAAGGGTTCTAGACACTTTTCGGAGATACTCTGTGGGTGATAAAAAGCTTGAAGCTTATGCTTCAACCCCTTAAATTCCCAGATAATATATGTTTATCACGCAAAATAGATTTTATCATTTGAAAGGATTTTATTTAAGTATGAAAGTAAGTTACTAGTAAAAGTCGGTTTAGTACACGTATCAAAACCCTTTAGATAACGAGAATATTGGAATAAAACTGTTTTGCATGTGTTCCGCTTAAAAAAATAACGTGAACATAATACATGCAGCAAAAAAAACCCAGTAATTAAATCAGACCATGGGACGTAGAAATGTTTTTCAATCGTTGGCTTCAATCTTACTTGAAAAGGGAATTAACAGTATATTTCTAAAAACACAATGATGATCTTGTTAACCCTTTACCTGATTTATCACAAAGGACATAACTTTATTGTTCATACAATGCTTTTAAAATAAAATCCAGTACATTCTATCTAAAAACAAAGATTCGTCAACACGTTTGTGTCTTGTCATAACTGTCATCAAAATATGAATAAGAACACCGAAACTTTAAAAAGAGAGATAAAGCATGAACCGCAAATTTTAGTGATATGCACATTTGAAAAGAGTTCTGAAATTTAAAACCAGAAAATCGTACGAAATATCAATAATCATAAACAAAAATGTGAAACAAAATATATGTCTTTTGTTTTAGCGAAGACAATTAGTCTATGTCTGGTCAAACATTGTAAATAAATCACTGTATTTAAGTTTGCTACAATAGTATAATAATATAGCAGAAAGAACAAAGGCAAACGGCAAGACATGCATGTATCAAAAGCAAAAGATGAACTGTTTAGTCATTATCCCTGTTTTGACCAAATAAACGTCAGTTAGTGCACGTGTTTATTATTGCGCAGTATTTGTGGGAAAAGTAAACTAAAGTAACTGACTAACTGACTTACCGACTAACTAGTCCATAGTTACTAACTAACTTACCAACTAACAAAATAGATTAATAAAAGTTTGACATCTGTTGTCTTATTTATAATTTTGATCTTTTATTTCAGGCATCGCTAATGGACCAGGATGTGTCTTTGATGAAACAATTATTAACACTAAACGAGACAATTAACGAAATCAAACAAGGTCGTTTGTCGTCGTCAAGTAAAGGATCCGTAAGTTCCCGCGGCTTTGTTAGTGGAAGTGATTGGTCTGTTTCAGAAATGTCAATCTCACCAAATGACGAACCCACTTCATCTAAGTTAACAGGATATGTACCAACGCACCCGCATAATTCCAGTAATGCCAGTGTAGAAAGAACAAAGGATATGCCAATCTGTAAAGAAGACAAAAAACAAATAAGTTTGACAGATTTGTGGAAAATGCGAACACAGACATCTTTGACCTCTAACGATTCGGGTTATGTGGAAGACCCCAATAACCTGCTTCAGACCGAAGTTTAAATTTAGTCATGTAAACTCAATTTTAAGAGATGGTGCTAATTCAAAGTGCAATATTTAAAAAAAAAACTTTTTTTTTAAAGTTTTTTTTTACATAAAATATTTAAATAAGAAATGGATTTTATGTTTGCATACTCGAAGAGCTTGGGGGGAAAAGTGTTAAACCACTTCGGCTTGGACATTAGGGAAATCTATATAATCTCTTGATTTGTTGTCGTCAGTTTGCAGTCTCATTGACGTTCATGCAACAACTTTTTTTGCTCACCTGACTCGAACGTCAAGTGATATTTTCTCATCACTTAGCGTCCGTCGTCCGTCAACTTTTACAGAAATCTTCCCTGAAACTAGTAAGCCAATAGAAACCAAACTTTGCCACAATCATTATTGGGGTATCTAGTTTAAAAAAATATGTCTGATAATCCCGTCTGTCAACCAACATGGCCGACATTGCTAAAAATAGAACATGACGGTAAAATGCAAGTTTTGTCTATTATCTTGAAAACCGCTTTAGAGAAAATCTTGCAGAAATGTTCAAAATGTTAAGATCTTCCTACTGCCCATTTACATAAAACGTGTTGGACGACTTCATAAAGGATTTATTGTGCTTAAATGACGAGTTCTATATATACAAAAAAAATAATAATTTTTGGCTTCTACCTTGAAAGCTATCATAGATAGAGAGAAACTTAACTGGGCAAAAATGATCAACAAAGACAAATAAGTTTAATTCCCAAAATCGTCAGTTGACTCCGTATAGAGGTTGTTGCCCTTCAATGAGTATTGTTTACCTTCTTTTTTTTGTGTTATTGTCTATAATTTTAAAAACTATAAGAAAAACAGAGAAACTTTAAATGCCTGGAAAAATAAAAAATACAAGATATGCAATTAGTCAACATGGCCCAAATCGTCAGTTAACTTCTTATAAGAGTTATTTAACTTTAATGATGATTTTATCATATTTTGGCATTTTTTTTCCCGGAAACTTTGGTGAATAAAGAAAGATTGTAAACAGCAAACATGATCAGCAAGACAAGATCTACAAATAGGCATATATAGCCGAAATTGTCAGTCGACTCGTTATTGTCCTTAAATGGTGATGTTTACCTTTTTTCATTTTGGATTAAAACTTTAAAAGATTGTGAGAACAGTTAAAAAAAAAAAACCCGACCGTGCGAGTCCTTCATGGGTAGTCAATGTCGTTAAACACCCCCTAGTAGTAGTTAACAGTAAAAATGATCATCGAATACACAATCAATAAAAAAAAGATATTTTAGTCATTTATTATATTCTAGTCAACAATGTTAGAGAGTGGCCATTGCTTAAGATGCACATTGGTCCAGGTATGCGACACATGCTCCTTGGAGCCTCTTGTTATATGGTTTAGAGAAAGTCGAAGAGAGAAAGGAGCTATCCCAACGATCCAGTCCGTGCTATTGTAATCACTTTGCGTCCTTCGTCCCGCTTCGTAAATTAACTTTTACAAACATCTTCTCCCCTAGAACTACTTGACAATCGTAACAAAAGTTAGCCACAACCATTCTTAGAGTATCTAGTTTACGATTTTTACCGTCATTTTTTTTCCTAGTATCCCAAACACTTTAATAAAATAGATTGAAGACATTTTAAAGAGCGAAAAGGATCATGTGGACAAGATCTATAAATGTGTCGACTGGTCGTTCTTTTATTTGACTCCTCATTGGAATTATTGTCCTTCAATAACGATTTTTTTTTACCAATTTTTGCGTTGTGTTGACGAAAATTTATGTAAATAGTTGCAATGGGAAACCGTAAACAGAACAAATATATCAGCAAAACAAGATCTACAAATAAGTTAAAACGACGGAAATCTTCAATCAACTCCTTAATGGATTTTTTTTGTGCGTTTTTGGCAAAAACTATAGTAGATACGAGGGAAATTGTAAGGTCAAATGATCAACAAGACAATAAATACAAATGGGTGTAATCATAAAAACTAAAATATGTAGGGAGAAACTTTAAACAGTTAAAATTATCAGCTTAACAAAATTTTACAAATAAGTCATAAACGAGATCGTTATAGGTATTGCCGTTCAATGACCGTTTGTTTTCAACAACAAACAACTGACGAAAATATGTGTTAGTTGTTTTTGTACCTCGTACCGATCTTTTAAGTTAAGCCAAATGATACTGATTTTTACAGTTTATGTTGTGCTGTTACACCACCGTCCCAGATTAGGGGAGGGTTAAGCGCTCATAAACATGTTTAAGACCGCCTCATTTTTTATGCTCCTGTCCTAAGTTATGAGTCTGTAGTTCAGAGTTGTTTTTTGTAAAATGGTTTGATATAAATTAGGCCGTTAGTTTTCTCGTTTGAACCTGTTTCACTTTTGTGTCGAGGCCTTTTTATAGCCGACTATACGGTATGGGTCATGTTTGAACTTTGTAGATTTTATCTTGCATATGGCAAGCCGTTTTACTATTTATTCGAACCTCAAGATATCTCATATAATATATAAGATATCTTATATAATATATAAGATATCTCATATAATATATAAGATATTTCATATAATATAAGATATCTTATATAATCTAGTTGTTATAAGATATCTTATATATTATATAAGATATAAGATATCTTATAATTTTTATAAGATATCTTATAAAGTATATAAGATATCTTATATAGTTTATAAGATATTTCATATAGTTTATAAGATATCTCATATAATTTATAAGATATATTATAAAGAAAATTGTATGAGATATCTTATAAATTATATAAGATATCTTATAAACTATATAAGATATCTTATAACCTATATAAGATATCTTATATACTATATGAGATATTTTATAAATTTATGAGATATCTTGAAGTTAGAATAAATAGTAAAACGGTTTGCCATACTTGCAAGCAATTTAACTGCTAAAATTTCTGTGTCTACTTAATTTCATAATGATAGCTAAAAAATGGTGAAAATGGTTAAAAGTATTAATTTAATGAGTCGACTAACATATCAGTCATGAATACCAGTCTAACTGATCGTCATTGCTAAACATAACTACTCTGAACATCTATTACTATTTAAAGATAATAACAAAACAAAATAAGAAATAGGCTTATTTATGATGATAATTTTGGCTGTTTTTAGATTTTCTCTATATAAATAAGGAGATGTGGTATGATTGTCAATGAGACAACAATCATCCAATGTTCAAATGAAGTGGATGTAAGCAATTATAGGCAACCGTACGGCCTTCAACAATAAACAAAACCATAAATTATAGTCGACTACTGCCCTTTCCTGGATCTTGATATCTATATCTTTAACGGGAAGCTTAATACCAAAATTTACGATAAAAGAGATGATTTTTCAGTTCCTATTGTTAATTATCCATTTTTATATGGCGATGTTCCCTTGTCACCATCTTATGGGTCGGGTTGTTATCTCTTTGACACATTACCCATTTCCATTCTCAATTTTATAAATGCCCCGACATGAAAAATACGAACAATTCAATTGAGAAAACTAACGGCCTAATTTATAACAAAATTTACGAAAAACAAATATGGCAGACATGAACCAACTACAACCACTGAACTACAGGCTCCTGACTTGGGACAGACACATATAGACTGTGGCGGGGTTAAGCATGTTTGAAGGCGTCAATCCCTCCTCCCTTTTAGCCTATTTGACTGTTGTAAATGAAAAAACTTAATGGTATTTCGAAATTTCTTTTTGTAGCCAACTCGAATCTAAACACTTTTGACAAAAGACATCAGCTTGTATGAAAATTTGAAAGAAATTGATCAAACTGTGGAAATCAAATGATATACTTCCATAATCTAACCTAGTTATTTCTATAGGAAGGAATGTAAGGCAAATACTAAATTTTGAAAGGATCAGACCACACAATTTGAAAAGTTGCGAATAATGTCTTTCGATGTCAATGATATTCATTTTTTGTAAATTATCAATGAGTTGTTAAAAAAGAAATATTAAGATAATTTGTTATGGTTAGTAATTCCATTCTAGACCAAGTAAAAATCAGGATAAATAACAATAATGGGTGTCATCACCAGTCATAATAGAACAAAGCCGATGGCCGACTTACATTGTGTTAACTCATACTTGCTTGCATGTGACTGACAAGCTTAACAAAAATAGATATATAACATATCTCGATAATAGTAACCTATATCTTCTCGACTGAATTTATAAGAATAGGCATATTTTATAGCTACCAAGCCCATTTTGTTATTAATTTCGATTAGACAAGTTTTATCTGGAAATGAAAGTAAGGGTTTTCTTCAATACGTTTTGAATACTTGGAATTCTTTAATCCATAACGCCGAACAAAAATATGATAATCTATTTTAAACAGATCAGTGATTTTACTCTACGTATTCCTGTATTTTTTTCTGGTGTATAAGGCAACCATTGCCGCCAAAATCACGTGTAGTGGCCTTCTTTAGTGACTTGTTTAGTGGCCGTTGTTTGTGTGCATGTACTGTAGTATCAATTTTGTGATATTATGCAGCGATTTACGTCAAACTTAAACAAGAATATCCAAAAACCAACTTAGTCATCTAAAAATAAATACATAATCCCCAAAAATGAAAGAGACTTGATTGATTGTAAGTGTTTCTCTCCACCTATTGTACTTGTTGCAGTTCATTCAAAATTCTGAGCCTATTGCAATTTGTTATATAATCTCATACTGTTTAACTGGTCCAAAATTTTAGCCAAATGATGTAGAAGAACCAGAATCAAGTCATCAAAAATACAGTGATAAAATAAAGCATATCAATCTAATTATTTCAAAATAATACTACATAATACTACATTAAAATATAGAACTCTGATTTCGTTATCTCCAGTCAGAGTTCTATATTCTAATTAGATTGTAAAGCATAAGTATAATGCTATGAGACTTGAATTCCACTTCAATATTTCTACGAAAGTGTATCAACACCTATATTTATTGTATTAAGTCACTTTGCACTTTGGTGACTAACTGTAGTTCTTCTGCTACAGTTGATTAAAAGCTCTGACCAGTCGAATTGTTAATCTGATATAACAGATTGCAATTGGATCAGAATTTGAAAGGACGGCAATAGGTGGAGAGAGAAAACTTACAGTAACACAGTCAGTTAAATCGTAAGAAGGCACACAAATAACTCTTATGGTCCTTATAGGTTTAACACGTATCAGACCTGCAAACTATTTGAAAATAATACTACATTAAACATTGCTCAGTTTTCTTTTCGAAACGAGATGTTTTCCACGTTTGTGTTTTGCTTACATCTCCCCATCCCGATTGTTTGAACCAACATTGACATAATGTACATATCTAGGTCGAATCAAAATAGGGAGGACTATATAAGAATAACCTCGGCATGCACGTCAGCAGTCATTTCTCGGGTTAAAACCATACAGCAAGATTATTATTTCGTTCAGATTAAGGTAGAGAATGGCCGTCTGCCAAAAAAAGGATAGCCACAGAAGGGAGGATTTAGAGTTTGTCCACACACGGAAAGAAGGTTCAGTGGAGCTAGTCAAGACTAGGAGGGAATATTTAATAAGAATAAGCGCTCATCCATCGCTGAAGATTAATGTTCGTCGTATACCTACGACTAATTTCACCTCGTTCGTCCGTCTGTCCCGCTTCAGGTTAAAATTTTGGTCAAGGTAGTTTTTGATGAAGTTGAAGTCCAATCAACTTGAAACTTAGTACACATGTTCCCTATGATATGATCTTTCTACTTTTAATGCCAAATTAGCGTTTTGACCCCAATTTCACGGTCCACTGAACATAGAAAATGATAGTGCGAGTTGGGCATCCGTGTACTATGGACACATTCTTGTTTAAAGTTGTATTCACATTCATGCCTATTTTCATTTAGTGTTCGTGTGCATTGGTTGGTTGGACAATGGTGTCTCATTGATGTATTCACCATATCTGTTTTGACTCATAAATAAAACTAAAAAGGTAAATGCAATCACAAAGTTGAGAAATTTATCAATATTTTCTTATATTGAGTCAACAATAACATATAAATGAAGTAATTAAACATGTGTCAACAAAAAAACAAAAATTAAATACTAGTACATGAAACTTCACTCAAGTCTGAAAGTTTCAATAGATCGTAAATGGTTGTTAATAACTAACAGGGCATGTGAAAGTCCGTAATGGTTGATACTAATGGACAAATCCTGTGGTTCTCTGATACCATCATCTTCTGTCAGAATAATTTCTTGTGCCTTACCATCTTTTGAAATCTTGTGTACGTTCTTGGACCCGGCGATGAATAAATTATCATTTTCATCAAGTGCTACACCTCTCGGGTCGTTTATGTATGGACTACTGCAGTACAACCTCTGGGCTCCTTCTGGTTCAATGCAGTTGATCTCATGATTATTCGTGTTAGTCCAGAACATGCGACCTGAATGATTGTACGTCAAATATCGAGGAAAGAATCTCAATACAACTCTGATCAACTTTTTACCTTCTTTGTCAATAACAGTTATTGCTTTAATGTCATGCGCAACTGCAATACACTTTTCAAAACAGGCAACTGCAACGCATTTTTCATTTGGTACTGATATATACGGTTCTCTTTTATATAGTGTGAGGTCAATGGGTTGCACACCACGCTCGTTTGCAGCAACTACCGCGCATTTGTCGTCGAATACAGCAACATCCAATGGAATATACTGCATTTTTAGTTTACGGAGCTCGCGTCCATCAGTATTACAAATAAGTAAGTTTTCGTCATTGTAACTACAAAGCATGATCTTGTTGTCAGGAAGAAAACACCCCCTTTTGACTTCTATATCAGGTCCTAGCCGAGATGTATCAAACTTATGGGTTGGAACATTAAGTGGCGGCTGTAACTCCTGCAAACGTTGACGAAGTCTCCTAAGCTTGAACAGTCCAGTGGCATTGGTTTCCCTCACAAATAACTTACCTAGTTCGGGTAATATAGCCTTTATGTTGTCAGCAATATCGGTCGGTTGGAATTCTAGGTCGAGTTTGATGTTATCCCATTGGACATCTCGTATCTTGTTCTCTTCATTTGTATATTTTGGTTCTAAAGTTTTGACAACAGTGAACATATGGACATCTGTGGCACTATCTTTCAAGTTCTCTAAATCATTCTCCCATGTTTCTAAAGTTTTGTTGGCATGCGCTAGATCTCCCCGGCCGTGTTGAACCTTGGTTATACTTTCTGTGTGTTTTGCCTCTAAAGTACTCTTCAGTTCTTCTTCTATTCTGTTAAGGTGTGTGTTTAATTTTAATCGCATTCGTTTGATTTCATTTGAAATCAATTCTTTTTGTTCGTTTAATGTAGTAGTATTTGCATCCTTAGTTCGCAGAATTTCTATGATGATCTCTCGCAGCTCCTTTATTTTTGCCTCCAGGTCGCCCAGAGCAGACCCATATTTGACACCACTTGATGCTTTATCAATGGTTATAACGTCAACACAGTCTTTGTGGCTCTCTGGTAAACAGGCAGCGCATAACAACTGATTGTGTATTTTACAGAAAAACGTTAATTTTTGACGTTCGTGCACTTTACACGTGTCGGATATTCTTAATATGGAAGAACTGACACCCTCGACCTTCTGTAATCGGACTACTTTGTGTCTTTTTGTTAATGTAGTTTTGCAGTGGATTGTTGCGCAATCATCACATAATGATTCGGTACAATCTGAACACCAATGTTCTGCTTCCACTTTATCGTCACAACAAGCACAGAAGTACTGTTCCGACATATCTGTAAATAAATGATATAATATTGAAAATCAAGGAGATATTTTCTGCAACGAAAAGTGCCTACTTAAAAATGCTTTCCTGGATCTTAATATCTATATCTTTAACGGGAAGCTTAATACCAAAATTTATGATAAAAGAGATGATTTTTCATTTCCTATTGTTAATTATCCATTTTTAGATGGTGACGTTCCCTTGTCACCATCTTATGGTGTTTATAATATATCTCAACTTGTTCGATTCGCTCGTGTATGTAACAACGTATTTGATTTCAACGAAAGAAATCTCTGTATTAATGAAAAATTATTACACCAGGGTTTTCGATATCACAAACTAGTCAAAACATTTACTAAATTTTATCATCGGTACAAGGACATCATTCGTAAATATAAATCAACATGCAGACATCTTATACGTTCAGGTATTTCACATCCAATATTTTATGGTAATATTCTTTACAAAGCACAAAAATGTCGGCATTCACCTCAAAAGCTAACCAAACCTTTAAACAGACTTATTCGGAAGGGATATAGTTACGATACTGTTGTCAGGTCATTAAGGATTGCATATTTTGGTATTAATATTGATTCACTCATAGGGTCTTTGCATCGGAAATAAACACATTTATTCTAAAACCAGTTGTTGGCATGATACGGGTTATGTTCTTCTCATATATTTTATGATGCTATGATACTAAACCCCTAACGGGAGGGATTGTACTTGATTTTCATATGATGAAGACATAATCTTTCAATCAGTTTAATTGAGGTCTGGAGCTGGCATGTCAGTAACTGCTAGTAGTCCTTTGTTAATTTATGTATCATTGTCATTTTGCTTAGTTTCTTTTGTTACCTATTTTGACATCGGACTCGGACTTCTTTTAAACTGAGTTTTACTGTGCGTATTGCTTTGTGTTTCTGTATTCTACATTGGCTAGAGGTATAGGGGGAGGGTTGAGATCTCACAAACATGTTTAACCCCGCCGCATTTTTGCGCCTGTCCCAAGTCAGGAGCCTCTGGCCTTTGTTAGTCTTGTATGTTTTTTTAATTTTAGTTCATTTATATGTTTTGGAGTTTAGTGTGACGTCCATTTTTACTGAACTAGTACACAATATTATTTAGGGACCAGCTGAGGACCACCTCCGGGTGCGGGATTTTCTCGCTGCGTTGAAGACCCATTGGTGACCTTCGGCTGTTGTCTGCTCTTTGGTAGGGTTGTTGTCTCTTTGACATATTCCCCATTTCCATTCTCAATTTTATTATATTTTTTTTATTATTCACGAGTGGTTGATTAATGATTGCTTAACATCCAGTGGCAAATATTTCATGCATTCTCATGATGAGACGCCTCCACGAAGACTTTGGCTAAAACAGTTAGTCCTAAACATTTAGGTATATCCTACTGGCGATCAATTTTTGCAGTAATAATTTGTTTTTGTGATACATGCCCCAGTCTGCTTTGAATGTCGAATCTGATATATAGCATAAAGATTTTCGGCGTCTCGTTTCTAAATGATTCCTAAATGCAAAGACAAAAAATAGTTTACGTGGTGTCTCAGTATATCTTTTGTTTAATTCTTGTTGATGTTTTCGTTTACTTATTATAGAAGAATCGAAGAGATTTGTATCTTAAAATTAGGAGAATCGAAAAAAAAAACTTTGCGATGCCAAACATTTTATTACGTATCAATGTGTTAAATGAAAATAACTATGCCCTTAATTCAAACCCAAAAAGTCACTTCATCGTATTTTTTAGTCCTAATATACATTATATTTAAACAACCCGAGCAGATGGGATGAGATACCCCGCGAAAATAACCCGCTATACGGTATTATTTTAGTTCTGGAGAAATATTTATCGGGATTTCCTCCTGCTATCCACTTGTTTGAGATAGTATTTCATAGTTGACTGCTTCGAACCCGAAGTTACGGTTAATACGTTCTCAAAATCAATATGTATAAATATATTAATTTGTGTACAATTTTTTCAATGCGAAGCGTATTTAGTCTGATGAAAATGCCACAATACCTGACCATTGAATTTGTATGATGCACTTATATAAAAATTTCGAAATAAATTAACAATAAACTTACTTTTTCCTAATTTTTGTTTCTCCTGTCTTGAAATCACATTTCACACCCTATTAGTTCAAAATAGAGACAGTGTCAGTTTTCAATATTTTCGCCTACTATTTGTTACATTTCATTAAGAATTAACGATTTGGAAACTTTTTCTTTGTGTAACAGTCAACAATATATATACAATGTAGTCTATAATTTTGATCCAACTTCTGATAAAACAAATTATAGAATCCATTTCTATAAGTATGTAAAGGGACGTTTTCCACTTGAAACTCATTGCTTCACAAATTCATATATTAAATACAGGTCAAGCAGGTCACTACCTTCCCTTTTAAGTACAAAACTTTTGGATAGCATGATGATTTAATATAAATATTTATAATACGACGATGGAAGTTAAAGGAACCGTTGAAATAAAAACAAACAGTCATGGAAACCTTGTTTAAACTCAATTAAGATTATTCAATTGTTGTTTGATTAACGTCCAGTGACAAATATTTCACACATTTTCAGGACATGAACAAATGAAATAATATAGGATGAGGGGTATAAGAGCCATCATTTGGCAAGAGAAATTGCAATAGTAAAATTCTTCAGTTATTGCAAAAAATATGTTGGGGTTTTTTTTGTTATAGAATTTGACCACATTATCTTTACTTCTTAAATGTCGCTGTCATAAACATAAGACAAAAAATGACAAGTTTACATACTTTAGGGAATTGCATCAGCATATCGTGCATAACTTGATGTATTTTTTGCACAAAGCTGTTGCCTTTATCTAAATACAAAGAAATATCAAATACAATGTGTTTTGCCATTTTAATTTTTTTTTGGCTCAAATGGAATTAAGGACTCAAATCAAATATGCAAGACAAGGTTCAGAAGTACTGATATATGACAGGTTAATGCTTTGAAAACAAGAATAATCTGATAGGTTTACAGTACTTATAAAAAGTAAGGAGATGTGGTATGATTGCCTATGAAACAACTATCAATAAAGACCAAAGGCCAGAGATGTGAATAATAGCAGACACCATACGGTTTCAGCAATAAGTAAAACCCTCTCTGTATACAAAAGGCCCAGTATGGCAAAATGTGAAACGATTCAAAAGAGGAAACCAAATGCCTGATTTATACTACAATTGTTACAAAGAACTAAAATAAATATGGCACGAAGACAGCGACCAAAGCTAACCACTAAAACAAATAACAAAAGGCACAGAGTACCGATCTAAGAGTAGACACAGTTAGTAAACTTACTAAAAGCAGTTCAAAACCCATTTTCAACAACAAAAATCATGTTCTCCCATACTAAAATTTCAATCAGAACACCTCTAACATATTTAGTTATTTTGTTTATTTTTTTTTTAATCCAAGAGGCATAGTCATACCATCTCTTTAATAAGACATAATGTTTAGTATGAAGAGCAGGAAATTGGGACTAGAAAAATAGTTTTTTTTTTGGGGTATTGACATAAATGTTGCATGCAAAATCTCTTAGCACAAAGCATTTATTTAGATTAAGTGTTGTTATATGAACATTATATAATATACAAGTAGTCTGAGAAATTCAATCTTTTTAGGGATACTGCCACACTCCCCTAGATGCATCCTTACAAAAGTTATATGATTAAAAGTCACTTAGTATCTGAAATCTGAACTTATACTTGTACATAAAATGCAATTTATAAGTCAGCAAAGGGAAGATTCAAAGTCAGAGTGACCTTTTTTTTAAAGCAACTGTACTCAACCGTCAATATATGCTTCCAACGACTTCAGGCCAGTTGGTAGATGAGAACTAAATTGGATGTAAATTTTGTATGAGTGATGAAGCTTAAAACATGAATAAATGGCATTGAACTGTAAAATATTTGTCATTTGATTGATTGTTGTTTGCTTTACGTCCAGTGGCAAATATTTCATGCATATAAAGGATGAAAACAAACAAACAATCAATACAAAAGGTAGATCCTGCAATAGGTGGCTAGGATGAAGGAAGGGAAATTAGGAATACCACTGGAAAATATGTGTATATTGAATAGGGACAGAAATTAAACGTTACACTAGGTCACCAACCAAACCCCCCACCCCCCTCTAATTCTTAGTTCAATTTGGAGAACTGGCTTCAGATGCACACAAGCATGGGATACTGAATTGGACACTTAGGATATTTCAATAGCCCCATCACTCAACTTCATTCAGGGTACCTAAAAAAACTGCACCAAACCTCAAACAATCATTTAATCCCTAATTTGCATATGGCTGTTGAAATGATAGATAAGTGCTGCCTCATTCGTTTATTTTTATTTTAGGGATTTTACTTGCACACATCTACTGTATATTCCCTTTTTTCTCCATCCAATATAGTTGTGCACTAGGTGTTTATGTATCAAACACTATAAACTCACCCAATTTATGCTAGAAGTTTCAACATTGGTATATAAAGTTTTATGCACATTAAAATTAAATTATAGATTTAATTATTTGTTTATGTCCTCTGGTTTAGTTTAGCATGAGTGAAGGTCTATCATTTAATGTCTATCCAATGAATAATACATTGTAATTTATACAAGAGCTGACACAATAATGTGTCTTGTAGGCTGCAATATTCTAATTATTTGAATAGGAAAAAAAAACTAAATAAACTGCTTCGCTGAGCGCAGCTGGATACGCCCGCAGAGGTCCAACCCTGAACAGTTGGGGCAAAAAAAGACACAATATTCAAGCTTGATACAGGTCTCAATTTGGATTGTAATTAAATATTTGACATATTATAGGTTTTCTGAATAAATCTAGTCAAAGAACTTGAAATTGGTTATATGAATTGAATTTATATTCAATTAAAGATATCTTGCTGTTGTGTAATACACTGTGCTGTTGCGCAATACTTAGTAAATCTGTTTTCAGACTATAAACAAATAAAGTTCAATTAATTCTCAATGTCATATTAGAAATTTATGAAAATCAAAAGGGAGCTTACATCAATAGATATAAACAATTTACCAAAGTTTCATGAGAATTGCTGACAGCATTTTTGAGTTATTGTCCGAAAACTGGAAAATCCCCCCTTTTTTAATGAATAAAACCCCCATAACTCAGAAATGTAAAATGTAAATTTTATAAAATTCTAAAGTGAGCTTACATCAATAGATATAAACAATTCACCAAAGTTTCATAAGAACTGCTGAAAGCATTTTGGAGTTTTTGTCCAAAAACTGGAAAATCCCCCTTTTTTTATGAATAAAATCCTGTAACTCGGAAACGTAAAATCTAAAATTTATAAAAATCGAAAGGGAGCTCAGGTCAATAGATATAAACAATTCACTACAATTTCTTGCAAGTTGGTGAAAGCATTCTTGAGTTATTGTCCAAAAACTGGAAAATCCCCCTTTTTTTAATGAATAAAACCCAATAACTCGGAAACGTAAAATCTAAAATTTATAAAAAACGAAAGGGAGCTCACGTCAATAGATATAAACAATTCACCAAAGTTTCATGCAAATTGGTTAAAGCGTTTTTGAGTTAATGTCCGACATGTTGACGACGGACGGACAGACGGACGGACGGACAGACGGACAGACGGACGGACGGACAGACGGACAGACGGACAACGGTATACCATAATACGTCCCGTAAACGGGCGTATAAAAATTGAGGTTATGTCAAATGAAGCCTTCCAGATGCACATGTTCAAGTACATTTACACACAAAATATTTTCAATATATCGTTATACATAGAAAAGATAACAGGATTTACCAAAAAAATGGTCAGTACAAGAGACCACACCAACCACTAAAACCTGATTACTTCCCAAAAAAATGCACAAACAACAGTGAACAACGCATGGTTTAGAAGGCCTGACCTAGTACAGGCACAAAATGTAGCAGAGCTAAACTGGTTTTACATTGCACAAACCTTCCCCTTGCCAAAGACCATATGTTGTTAAAGTAAAAACCAGCGACTAACATTACCACCAACTTGTACAAGGAGACAAAAGACAGCACACAGTCTGGAAAGCAGAGCCAAAATGTGCTTGTTACTACAGAGAGCTAGTAAAGGTCAAGGTCTTATAACATATGTCAGACATATGTATTACTCAGAAGCAATCACCATACTGAATATTTTTGACCTATTAATTAAGTTATTAGGAACAGACCTCATCTGGAAAACAATCAGACAAATAAAGAATAAAAATAAAGTCTAGGCCAGGTGACAATGACTGGCTGACAAGATCTCCTCATTAACACTCTCAACACAATTTGGTGTTCTCCAAGGTGAAAGTTGGGATAAGATATTGAGGTATTTGCAAATTGTCACTGTTATATAAAGTAATTCCTTGCCAACCACAACTTTCTTCACAGGCAAGTTGATTAAAAGCACAAATTAACTTTGATGAAAATTAAAACTCATAATGCAAGTAAAAGTCATTGTAAATGTTATATTATTTTTTCAATACAAAAATGATTTCACTAAATTATAAAGTCATTTTTTTTTTATAAAAATAAGTCTAAATCATTAGTATAGTACAAGTTGAATTGAAACACAAAATATATATGTGATAATATAAGGGTGTAAAAATGGAATGATTATGAATATAAATTTACAGTAAAAAAAATCACTGCCTTTAAAGTTTGGAATGTATGTACAGAATATTTACATTTACAAAAAGTCTGATAGGAATGTACTAAAAAATATCTACATTCTAAGAAATGTAATTCAGTAGTACAATATACGAAAGTGAAAATTAAAATGTTCAACATAAATCTATTTTATAGGAATCAAATATACAACCATTATTCAAAACATGCTTGCTATGAAATAGTGTAAGGATCAAGATTTTGGTAGCATATAACATATTTTCAATTGAAAAGCTTTAATAGCTTTGCTGTTTCTTAAAAAAAGAGAATATCAATAATCTGCAATAAACAAAGAAAAAACTTTAAAAAAGAATGATATGTAAACAAGGAATTGACTCTGATAACCTGAATCTTCTGGTATTGTTTTTATTTACCATTTACAATGATTATCTCAAAGCTTTCAATCACAATTAAATTGTTCTAACCTGTCCCTATGTTAAAAAAAAGTAGAAATATATACATGTTATAAATCTGAAATAACTTACACATTTGATTGATATGTACATCACAACATCATAAAAACTTAATGAATATTATAAAATTCGAATTTAAAAATAACAAAACAAAAAGCTATCCTTTGATTTTTGTTATCATTTGCAATGAAACATGATATTTCCTTAATGCATCATAATAGCAACTAATTATGTAAAAAAAGTATTAACAAAAATACTGAACTTTAACGTAAATTCAAAAAGGGTAGAAGTCCATAAAAACTGACTAAATCCATGGAAAACAACTGTTTTATTCCTGACTTGGTACAGGCATAATAGTATGGTAATAAACCTTACCAAGTTCAATAAAATATATGCACCCAAAAATCAATATCATTAACATCAATTAAAGATTTTCTGTCTCAATTATCAATCAAAGTATGGATAACTTACAAAAGACAGCAAACTTAATAAATTGGTGGATCATAACACATATAAATAGAACTTGTCTTTTTTATTTGCTTATACATGTATTTGAAAGTGAAATCATTACTTCTAGAGTTTTCCTTTTAGAGTTGTTTGGTTTCTGTCTTCTCTTTGAGACAAACACAAAACCTTTCTGTAGTTCTTATAATTCCTTAACATATACTATACATCCACTATCTATAAAATAAACTATACATACAGAATTTCAAAGAGTACTTGCAAATGAAATTAAAACATTATGGCACTTATGGTAAATACACAAAAATGTAAATAATTGTGATATGTATTGATTTCACAACCTTTATGTACAATAGAATTCATTTTAGAATGTATCTAACAATATGATGTGGAGTTCTATTTATGGAATTGACATATAATGCATATATTATTGTTGATATGTTATGACAGGAAGGTTATATTGGTATGCACACTATTAAAATTTACAAAGATAATTACAGGAATGTTTGTAAATTGAACAAGTTATTTCCCCCCAGAAAAATCATTGTTAATTCTAAGATTATCATTATTAGCCATGGTCAAGCTAGTTAAATTTAAATTATACTTTTGGAGGAAGATATATTGTACCTGATAATTATTTAAAAAATTCCTTGTTGATTTAGAGAATAAATAAAAAAAAAAAAAACAGTCCAATGACCCCCCTCCACTTCTGTTTATAAGTTATTCACATTTTTTTACAAAAGAGTATCTTAATTTTTTCTGTTTATTATTTAGTTCAAATAAAAAAGACTAGAGGATACTGGAATTCACAACCATTAATGATGATTCCAAATGTATTTTATGATCATTGTATATCCCTGATAATTCATCCCAGTGTAAAAAGTGAATTCAAAATTCATTACAAATACATGTGTATGTAATATATAAAAAAGCTACTTCAAAATGGAATATAATAAGTATTGTCAAATATAAAAACACATTAAATGGCTTTAGTGACTATTAAAATATTTCTACATAGATCTACTAAGCTTTAAAACACAATATCTTGATTTACTAAGAATCAATAAGTCATGATAAAATTTTAGCAAACAAAAAAACTTAATTTTTTATCGGTGAACCTTGGGTTAAAAAAAAGAAAAAAAAGAATAAATGTTACTAAATATATAGAGGCAGGAAAATACTTCAACATGTAAAGTAAAATTTGAAAAGTCTGGTTAAATGTGTCTCATTCTTAATTCTTAATATAATACAAAAAATTAATAAAGTATATAAACAATTCATCTAAATCTATATGTATCTACAAATATATGGTTAGTTTAGTATAATATTCCCTTCACATATTATTTGAAAGCACAGTATTTGCACACTTGCCCTACTTGAAAACCCTGTCATTTAAAAAAACAGCATCAAAGTTTTCATTTTGCTCCATAACTTGTCAATCAAACTGTAATGGACTTTGTACAAAGCATTCATTGTGCTGGGTCACCTGTGTGATATCTAACAAATTCACAAAATCCAATTTCCAAATAGAATTTGTCATGTTATCTTAATGTCTCAAAATAAATAATAAAAAAGCACTAACAATTACTTTGAGCAAATATAAAATGTCAATCTAAGTACCTTAGTGTCATTTATTTTATTGGTGCAATCAATATAGGAATGTCTATTTTAAACTTTTTTCCAATGACAGATATATACCGGTAGTTTGATTTTAATCATCATATATTACAAGATGAGACACAACCTCTTTTAAATTTCTGTTTCTATAGACTGATGTTGCTGGGGTTGATTCTGAAGATGGAGTACACCATCATGTATATTTTCCTGGCTACCATTATACCTGGGTGCACCTCTGCCTCCTAGGTTTTCTCTGCTTCCATGTTGCAAATTATCTCGACTACCTCTATATTCCTGCAGCTGTTCTCTACTACCATGGTATTTTGGGAGACCATGGCTTTCATCATAACTTGGTGGACCATTGTTGTCATGGTAACGATCCAAATTTTCCCTACTTCCATGGAAACCACTAAGGTTTTCCCTGCTTCCATATGGAAGATTCCCTCTACTTCCGTACCTATCTTCCCTATTTCTTGGTGTTTCTGCAATATTCTCTCTACTTCTACCTAGTCGAGTTGCTGGACTGGCTAAATTCTCCCTACTGCCAGTGTATTGGTAGGACGGTGCAGAAATGTTTTCCCTGCTTCCTGTGTATGGATATCCCTTATCTGTAATATTTTCTCTGCTTCTATTTAGCCTATTAGTTGGTGTTGCAAGATCCTCCCTACTTCCACCATACTGATATCTTGGATCAGCAATATTTTCTCTCCTTCCATTGTATGGATAACCCTGGTCTGGTATATTTTCCCTGCTTCTGTTGAGATTAGTTGGAGTAGCAAGGTCTTCTCGACTGCCACCACGATAGTATCCAGGGGAAGGCAAGTTATCCCTACTATGATGATGACTACCATAGTCAATACTTGAGTAACTATCCTTCATATAGTCCATATTCTGTAGGTTATCACTGGCCAGAGATGGTGGATTAGAAGTAGTTGGCTTAGACAAGTCATTCATGGGTATTTGAATATTTAGTTGTTTCTGGTAAGGTTTTTTGGACAAATCTTCATGACTTCCAATGTATCCTTGATTATTATGACCAGATTCATACGAAGAGTTATTTATACTATCATCATCACTATCTTCACTAGCACTGGTTTCTCTTAACTTATCTGCCAACCAGTCAGGTTTCTTGTGAGCAAAATTAAGATTTTCACGGCTTAAATGGAGAGGAGCAGGGACTGTTCTATCATCTTTTGTTCCTGTATAGTCACCAACACTGCTAACATTACTGTTTCTCGTTGATCTTGGGCGTGGGACTGGTCTAGGTTTCTTTGGGGATACATCTGGTGAAGATTTATATGTGTGACCATCTAATGGAGGTGGAGGAGTAGGAGGATTATCAGGCTGAAGAAAACTTGTCAATGATTTAGACCTATCAATGCTCGGTGTGTGTTCATTTGCATATACGTTATCCATAGAGGGTAATTTTTGCATAAGGTTGATTTCATTATTAATCTGTGAAAACTTTGTTGGATGAAATTTGACTGTTTCAGCATCAGTTTCTGATGTAACGTCATCAAACTCATTGGTGGAATACCCATCAAATGTGTCATCAGTCATAGTGTCCACATGATCATCGCCATGTTTCAACAATTTCCTGTCAAGGGAGGATCCAGGAGAATCTATTGGTTTTTTCAAGTATGCATTCTTCCTATCTGCTAGCTCTGCTAATCTAGGGTTTTCCATTTTGTTTGGTAACCGTCTACCAAGTCCAGCTCTTGTTGGTCCACCAAGTCTTGGTGAATGACTGAGGCTATCTTTAGAACCATATCTATCATCCAAACGTTCTCTAGATCTTGAAACTCCACTAGGGATATCAAGCCTCTCTCTTGATCCATTAAATGTATGGCCATTTCTCATTTTGTCACGGTTGTCAATGACATCTTCCAGATATTCACGAGATCTATGAATATTTCTGTGCATTTCATCTTTTCTCTCGTCTATACCAATACCACCAAGTGTAACAGATTCGTCTGAATCGTATATTTTATGCTTTGATGATGTCATAGAGGCAGAATATTTACCAGAGGATGATCTATCATCATAATTTCGTCCACGTTTCCTTGGAGATCCATCTGTCAACATACTAATGGTTGACCTTGTATGTAATGTCATCCTACTGTTATGGAGTGATGTTTTACTATATGATGATCTTATTGAAGCAGCTCGTTCAAACCTTTCATCCTTTCTACGTTTAGACTTGACATACCACAAGATGATAAGGATGATGACAATAATGAGACCAGTACCAAACACACCAGCTGATATTCCAATAGCCATTGCCAGGATATCTGATCCAGGTGCAACTATGTAGGGATCTGCAAATATTAAGATATGTACATAATTATAAAAGGCATTTGTGCAGTGTTCATTTTTTGTTGTTGTACAAAATGATTTCTATTATGATAAGAATGACAAGCAATGACAGAAATAAAACAGAAGTTATTACATGTAATGAAAACTGAAAATGTAGTTTGCTCATGTATGTCAGTATTTACACAATCAATTTATAAAAAATAATAATTATGGTTAGGCCTTAACTGGTTTTGATATGTTCTATTTAATCTTATTGTACAACATTGATTTGTAACATATTCATAATTCCTTTTTTTACTGTAGATTCATTATTATTCTTGGGATTCTTGGGTGAACCACTAATTTCAATGTTCAATGAAAGAGAACTTTTCTATAGGAATGTGACTTTGCACGACCACGAAATCAAATATCCACGAACATACAAATTTTCCTTGATCAATGAAACTTGGTATTCTAATATGACATGCTTCTTTCGCTTTGTAAACAACACCGTAATAAAATACTCGATATATCTATACTTAGCACAGACTCAGAGATATACATAATAATGGATGTTACAAAATACCTCCTACGTAAATCCACATGTATCGGAACTTATTTGCAAACGCTATCCCGATTTTATTGTTTTAAAAATTACAATTGAAAAAAGACTATCAAATTTCTATTCTTATTCGGATGCATAACAAAAAAAATAAATGCACAATAGCTCGGAGAAATCTACAAAATCAAAAATAAATTAAAATTCCGCGAAAGTCCGTTAATGCTTTTGGCGCATTTAAGTCATTTCAAAACATGACGTCATACAAATGAAAACGCTAAAGCTGAAGGTTTTTCTGTTACGTGAACCATGGAAGTTTGTATAATATTGCATTAAAATGAATATGAGGCAGGGTTTGTTTTATTTTCTGTTCTATTGCATTATTCGCATATTTACTGATTTCAGCAAGTCAACATGACGGCTCCTTAGTTACGAAATGTCAACTCTGGATTTGACAGTAGCTTACAAGAAAAACATGTAAATTACAAATGGCAAATGTTGGGTTTGAGAGTTAAAAGAATTGAACACATTTTTTCTAGCAGTTATTTGCGAAATATTTGCTGCAAGCCACATATTTATTAGAAAGTTTAAGCTTTATCTAACAGGGAGTAAAAAAGAATAGCGACACACACGGCATACTCACCCTCGCTTCAGTTTTTAAATGACCGTATTTGTCCTATTAGAATCGAAATAATTCATGGAAGCCATAGATTTGTTGTAAATTTACACATGGCCTGGGCCGTGATATTCGTTAATTTTATCCCTCGCTAACGCTCAGGATAAAATTCGAATATCACGGCCCAGGCCATGTGTAAATTTCCAACAAATCTATGGCTTCCATGAATTATTTCTTAATCCACAAAAATAAATGAATCTACAGTTATTTATCTGATCTCATTGCATTATGATTATTAGATGGAAAGGAATAAAAATAAATTTCCCAATACCTGGCCTTCTGGTGTTACCTCTCCAATTTATTAAAACGCTGTCTATTATGTATGTCATACAATGTCAATATTGTGAATAAAATGATTGTAACAATGACTAAAACAATATAATAAAGTATGAAAACAACTTTGAAGTACAGCCACCGATAGAGTGTAGGATGAGATGATTTCATATCAGGTCAAATACATGAGCTTGTTTTCAGTAACTGTGTGTTTGTATATGTGCATGTTTGTGCTTGTGTTTCTGTTATCTATTACACTATCATTATGTTCATGTTGTCTTATGTATTTTGTTAATGTGTTTTGGTATTTGGACATTTTGATGTTAATGGCAGATAATTTGAACCTTAAAGCAAACCATAATTGACCCAATATTTCTGAGAGCTTCATTACAATAATATTATTGTTTAATATCACTTAGCTCATTACTATAACTTTGGAAGAGCCATTGCTGTGTAAAATGTAGGTCAAGGCGAAAAAATCTTTCCATGGGTCATTGTATATATTTGAGATGTTCACATTGACAAAATTCCTCTTTAACTTGCAATTGCTTAATTTGGGACCTTAAAAACCCATAACATAAAGCATGAAGTACAAAATGGGACTTAAGTAGCACTTTCTTTCCGGGACCTTTGAAAACATTCAAGTTATGTCTCTAAAAAAATATAATACCTCTTTCACAAATGAATGGGAGAAGCTTCCTGTGACATTCTTGCTGTGCAACGATATATGTGTCCTTCAATGAGCTGCAGTAACCTTTAGCAACCTCAGCATATACCCACACTGTCAGGTCATCAACATAAACATTCTCACTCAGTCTAAGTAAATATTGGAGAAAGTTCTCTTTATCTTTAGAATCTGCAAGATAGCCTCCGGCTGCCTGTAAAAAAAATTAATTTACATTAAAGTACTACAAAATATTTAATATCATTGCAAACATTTTTGAGTGACTATACATTAAAATATACCAGAAAGTAATCTTGTTAATTAAAGGGGATTGGTATGTTATATTTTTAGGCAATTTGTGTCTAAAGTCAAGAAAACTATTTTTGAATGTAGCGTCAAATTTTCTGTTTTTTTTCCGTTAGAGGAGGAGGTGTGCTATGGGTGTTATTTGCCCTAGAAATAAAGCATTGCAAAATCATGTGAGTTTTGTGTAAAAATAATTGATTGGTATTCTGTGGATTCAATATTATTTGTTGGATACCAATTTTTGTTGGTTTTGTGGGTATAGGTGAACCATGAACTTAAATGTTCATAAAATTTTGAATTTTCTATAGGCTTGTATGCAGACACTGAAAAAACCAAGAAATCAAATATCAACAAAAATGCAATTTTCCTCAATCCATGAAAATTAGTGTCCATGAAAATAAATGAATCCACAGTATATAAAATAAAAACTGTCAAGGAGACAAGATGCCTGCAATATTATGAATATTAACTGGGATTTTTAAGGGTAAAAGATGGCATGAATTAAAAAATAAGAAAAGAATGTGTCCATGTGACTTAGATGCCCCGCTTGTAAATATGCAAGAGTCAATGTACTAATTAAAACCTATTGACGTTCTGTATATTGTCATTAAGGGATTGCTCTGGGGAATGAGTGCTCTTATTGTTCAATAACAAACAGTAATGGGGTAACCCCGGAATGGTGAAAGTGATGCCACTCTAATTTGATCTTGATTTGTGTTTGGTGGTAATAAGCATTGTGTAAGTTTCATAAAATTTGGTTGAGGCACAGTAAAGTTAGAGTACAGAAACAGCAAATTCATCAATTTTTCAATTTATTAATGGGACACAACTCAAGAATGGTGAAAGTGATGCCACCATAATTCGAACTTGATCTGTGTTCGGTGGTAATTAGCATCTTGTCTAAGTTTCATGACATTTGGTTGAGGCAAAGAAGAGTTAAAATGCAGTAATGGCAAATTCACCAATTTTTCAATTTATAAAGGGACATAACAAAAGAAAATTGAACGTGGTACCACCAGAATTCGAAATTGATCTGTGTTTGGTGGTAATAAGCATTGTGTATAAGTTTCAAAACATTTGGTTGAGGCAAAGTACAGTAAGAGTGTGGAAATGGCAATTTCAGCAATTTTTCCATTTATAAAGGGACATAACTTTAGTACGGAGAAAGTGACTCCACCAAATTTCAAACTTGATCTGTGTTTGGTAGTAATAAGCATTCTGTATAAGTTTCATAACATTTTGTCAAGGCAACCTAAAGATAGAGAACGGAAACCAATTTCAAGACATACATAGGTACATACTGACAAGGGTAAACCTTAATGCCCTCCGCCACGGCATAAAGGGTTCTTGTCTGTGATTGCTGCTGTCTGTGTGAAAGTGTTAAGTTGACATATTTTGAAAGAATTACAGAATTTCACTACCTTTATAATATCAGGGGCTTACAATGGCTCTTATAAAGTTACCCTTTAGAGTTTCATCTGTAAATTTTTGACTTATTTTTCACTCAACATGCATATGCAGAACTAGACAATGTGTATAGTATGCTAAGAAAGAATCTATAATTCTTTATGACCAATCCTCTAAAAAGAGGCAACTCACTAATATAGCACCACATTCTTAGTGTAAAAGATATATCCTCTTATAAAGAGAAAAGATAGTCTACAGAAATTAACTTTGTAACTTACTTTACAAAATTCAATAGCATCATAGTAGGGCAAGGACGCTCCCATGTATCTGTAACATCTCTGGTCATTTAATCTCCAACCGGGTGGACATTTACCTAAAACATATCAACTCATAGATATAAAATTATTATTTTTTAAAATATCAGTATATGACAAAACATATCACTGTTAAGGAAATGTGTCTTCTGACCTAAAGATTTTCCTTTTGACAAAATGTTTGTATCTTTGATTGCAAGTACACGTAGAAACTTTCTTAATCATAATCTTTACTGTTTCTACACCAAAATAAAAATAGTGTTAGCCATTTATAGTTTCAGACAGTGTTAACAAACAACAATATTTTGGTATTTAATTTTGAACATATTATATTACCCAGCATGCTTAACATTCTAAACAGCAAATTCATTTTGATTTATGTAATGAGATATTGACCACCTTAATACACAAAAGGTGAAGAAATACTTTCACCAAGTTATCATTGTATCCTTTGAAATTATAAAAACAGTCCTTGTCTGGTTCATCAGTAGCAATTAATTGTGAAAGGAATACATGCATAACTTCAATCATCATTCAATAACATTAAAACATGACAGAAACATGGAAACTCGAGATATTTTTTTTTAACAACAATTTTTCAAGAATGAAATTAAATGAACCTTACCATCAATTAGTGATACATTAGTGACTTTAATTGGCAGATAATTAACAGTAATTAAAGACTGGTTGTCACGATTATCCCATATTCTACCCAATACAAAGTTAGATCTCTCTGATCCCCACCAGTTTTCTCTGGCATCTACTGGTTTACTCTGAACAGGAATACCATTGATGTATCTGTAACAATTCATACAATTCTCTTCATTTGCAACATTCAATAATATTCACTCATACCAATCATATCTAAATTGTGAATATTTCGCTAAATATGCTGAAAAGAGTTTCTCCTAAAACTTCACTTAAATAGTTCTTCTGATATTACAAATGGTTAATCTGGTCGTGTTACAAAAAAGATTTTACTGCATGTAAATGTTATCACAAATATGGGGTTTTCTAGTGGAAGTAAGGTTTCCCTTACCTGAAGTTAATAAAAAGTGAGATTTCCTATAAATATTTTTATTGTGACTTTAGCTATGAAGAAATCATCTTCAAATATTTCTTTTCGTCTATGTAGATTATTGATAAAGGTCATTATCACGCTGTTCTTGTGAAGTAAATGCATTTTGTATTTACAGGGAATTTATATCAAATCAATGATTTACTGTTTGAAACCATACATTTCTTTATTGTATATTTTTCTGCACTTTTCATGACAAGGTTAAATGAAATCTTCTCTGATGTACAGCCACAATATTGTAAGAAGACATGATTTCTACATCAGCAGATACTTTGAACTTGCATTCAGTAACTGTAGGCATTCTTTGACACAGTTTTATTAAGTCTTGTTTCAATAGTACCTGTGTTTTTCTTTTTTTACGCAATAACATGTTGATGATATTTGAATATACCCTGCTTTGTGAAGAAGCAGAGGGGTGGGGGAGGTTGTTACCTGAAACTCAGAAAATTACTACCTTTTTAGCTGCGATACATGTAAATGTATTTAAAGGGGCATTAGCTACCAGATATAAAAAAAAAAAATATAGGTTTTTTTTTGTTTAATCATTAATGAAAGTGAAATAGTGAAAAAAATGTATTTAAAGGGGCATTAGCTACGAGATATAAAAAAAAATAATATAGGATTTTTTTTTGTTCAATCATTAATGAAAGTGAAATAGCGAAATAATAATTCGCTTTTAGCACCCATTTTGGTTCAATTTTGTCAAAATAAGCTAAGAAACTTCGCTGATGAATTATTCACTTGCAAGTGTATAATTCGACCTCATTGAATCCATATTCATGTGATCTCAATTTAACCCCTTAGCTGGACATGGGTTTCGCATGTATTCAGCTATTAAAAGGAAAAGAATGTCAACATTGATAGTGAAATAAGGGTAAACCATTTGCTTGACTGATTCGATCCATCAAAAATTATTCTTATACAGGTAAAAATGATGATAAACATTCTTTAAAACCTACGATATGAAATCAAACAGACCTAGAAAAATCCAATTGCACGTGGTCACGATCTATTTCTATTTATGTTTATATTGGGTTATATGACCGTCTGCAGTCTTCAGAGGTCATTTCGATGGTTAATTAGATGGCATCTAGACAAAAATACACACAAAATGTTGATACATATTATCGAGTCCATGCATTGTTAATTGTTTATTTTAGACTTTTAGTAATTCTGATATACATTATAAATCAAATATGAGAATTTGAGTCAAATCGGTGAACATGAATGTGATCAGATAATCATGTTGCCGTTTTTCATATTTGTTTTTTGAATGTTGTTTTGTACATAAATCAGGCCGTTAGTTTTCTCATTTGAATTGTTTTGAATTTTCCATGTGAGGGCCTTTTATAGCTTGCTATGTGCCTGTAAGTGGTATGGGTTTTGCTCATTGTTGAAGGTTGCACGGTGACCTATAGTTGCTAACTTCTACATCATTTGGTCTCTGGTAGAGAGTTATCTCATTGTCAATCATACCACATCTTTTTATTTTTATATATGTACCAGTAATCAGAAATCTAAAAGGATAAGTGATAGTTACTTACTGAATAATAGGATTTGTCTCCAGTTCAAAGTCACACTCAGGATTTACAAGGTAGTTTGTGTTTATTAATGGATGTCCACTTCCAACTTTAACTGCTGATCTTTTAAGAGCAGTCACATTGTTATTGGAGAGCATATTAGCATAAAACCTCTGTAGAGCATCTGTGTCAGCTTTGTTGAAAATTCTCAGTATATAATGACCAACGTTACCTTCAATGGTGTTAAAAGTAAAGTTTGTTCCTACATTCTGCATGTGAACAACATCACGGAAATCACCAGCTGAATAGTTAAAGATATGATTTTCATACAAATAGAACTGCTGGAAATGATGACCACTTATGTTCAGTGCCTCACCATTTGTACCATACGAAAAAACATTATTGGTGATATTAGCCTGAAGATGGCTGGCATAACTGTGTGCGCTGGCATGTATATACATACCACCTTTGTTTTTATTGACAAGACTGTGCTGGAAGTTAAGTGTAATTGTGTTTTGGATATTGAAGTCAATAACAGGTGGTGAGGTCAGATTTAAAATAGCTAGACCATTTCCTTCAATCCAACAACGGTCAAAATAAATTGAAGGGTTAACTTCTCCTATATTCTGATAATGAATGGCACCATCCTCATTATTCCTCAACACAATGTCTTCAAATTTGTGAGATGTTGTACTGTCTGAAAAAAAGAGAACTTTCCTTTGAATATATATCTTTAGTCTATTGACCCCTTACAGAAATAAACTAAATAGAATAGTTTTTTATCAAAACTATCACTGATTTACAATTTGTAAAATGGCTAAAGGTTTCAGTACATATCAGTAGCATAAATCACATGCACATTCAGGACAATAATTATTCAAATGAATACGATTATACCTTACTTTGAACTAGACAACCTTGTTGGGTTAGATTTTTAAGGAAAGAAATGTTAAATTCTTGAAGACTACATTTCTTTCAAAGATCACCATCTAAAAAGATTTTTCTAAAATTCATTTTTTTCTGAATTATAAGCTAAGTAAAAATCAATAGGTAGGAAGATTTACTATAAAATTCTCAGTCAATCTAAACAGTTTTTAATGATCAAGATAATATTTAATTGATTGATTGATTGATCGGTGTTTAACACCACTTTCAACACTATTGTGCTATTTCGTGGCGGTCAGTTTTTATTGGTGGAGGAAGCCTGAGTGCCAGAGAGAAGCACGACCTTCGGTAGGAAAACTGACAATCCTAGTCAATTAAGATTGGAGTCGAGTGCAACTGCCCCGTGCGGGAATCGTAATCACAACCTCAGTGTTGACTGGCTAGTGATACAGTAGTTCGACTACTTAGACCACTTGGCCACCCAGGCCCAAAAAGATAATATTAAACACACTGCTTCCAATTTGAACTGTTAAATTTATATTTCATGTAAAATTTTTGAACCAAACTGGTTTCTGGTAAATTTTTCATTATTGTCCATATAAATTTATTGTTTTTATATCAAAATGTTGCTTCCCAAAGTATTAAAGTACTTTGATTGAATCTACAATAGTTATTGAGCTTGTGTTGAGACATGAACATGATGAAACAGAACAATAATAATTTCACATCTAAGTTTCCGCTCACCATTTCAATTTTAATTTTCTAAGAAATGAAACTTTTGATTTTATCTGAAACTCATTTTTACCAAATATTGAAATGTACCAGTATAATTGCATGGACATAAATGCAATTTTTGTCAATTAGCCAATTAGGAAACACTCTTTCGGGGAACTTATAATAACTAAAACAAACTATTGCTATGGTCAAAGACCTACCTGGATAATTTATCTGTTTCAGCGGTGATGTAACAATCTCTGCTACAAATCCATAATGTTCATGAGCTGATGATGCATGGATATGGACAGAAATTGAGTTTGATGTAGCCAGATATCGTTTGGATATTTCAGCTTCTGTACTATTAGCTGTCAACTCTGTTATCAACGAATCTGTGGTGACAGCTTTGCCATCAAATATCTCAATAACATTTCGATAAAAGTCATCTTGATATAAATTAAACTGCAAAAGTCGAAATGAAACTAAGCGTACACTTTTACTGCTTTCTATGACCTTGACACAACTGTGTTCATACTGAGAATACTTGTAATAGACTACAACTCTGTTCTCTAGATGTATTTCTTTTTCCATACGGCACATATCTATTAGTCCATTCATGTAATAAGGAACAGTATTGATTATCAATGGAGTAAATGAAGATGTCTCATCATCACTAGATTCTCCATTTAACATCAGAACGTTGATTCCATACCCCAAGTTTCCAGAAGCATTAACATTACTCACTTCTAGTTCATATCTTGGTGAGACAAGGTCAATACCATTCCACACACATCGGGTAATGTTGATGTTCTGCATGACAGGAGTGACATATGTAGACTGAATGGCCCCCACTTTTTCACCATGTAACATTCCTGCCCCATCAATGTCTACATACTCTAACTTAGACATCTGATCTTCTGGTACAACTTGAACTTCTGTGATTTCGTAAGATTTTGGTGCAAACCTTATGTTGCCCCAATAATCCTGTGTATTGTCTAAAGTCCTTTCCCCACATCTTATGAAAGTGTAATTTGAGGCTTGTATACACTTCTGTATGTCATAATTTATTCTTTTCATGCAATGACTCAGTGAGGGTTCATCTCCACGACAGTAATATGAATATGTCCAAAACTCTTTGATGAAATACATTGGTTTACCATACACAAAATAGTCGTAAAGATGAGTAAATCTAACATCTACATTAACAGTTTCAAGTCCAAGTTCACGACAAACCACTTCAGCTGTTTTCTTGTTGAATTTACTATCACACATAAGTGTCCATGTGCCTGTTGTAGTATTTTTAAGTTGTAAGAATCCCTGATTGGCTGGAATAGTCCCATTACTACCTCTAATTAACCTCACATCACTGCTAGAAGTTGTGTGTGGGGTAGATCTTTTGCCTCTACAATTATTTCCAATACCGATACTGGTTTTCATGGCAGGTTTAAACTTAATCCTCGAGTAAACAGAACCTCTGGCAATTAATTGTCCCAATACTAGTATTCCAACGTTTGGTTCAAAATGCAATTCAGTTCCAGGCGGAATAATAAGTTTTGCATCAGGCATGATAGTGAGATCAGAGACAACTCTAATTGGTGTTGATTGTGAAGGCAATGACAAATCTCTATTACTGATTCGACCCCCTAACCTTTGATAATCTAAATCAGGATTCTCCTGACTACCAGAAGCTATGGCATTGTCATTGATAATATCTGCGGCGGTCAGATGAGGGAAGTAATCTGCAATCACATAATTATTCCAGTCGTCAAAGTCAAAAATCTTTTTTCTGATATTATACTGTACCCCTGTTCCCCACCAATTCTCTTTTACATTTAATGTGTTTTCAACTAAAAGTGAGTAAATTCCTGCTACCATTTCAAACTGAAGTAAAGGATTTGTAAAAATATTTCTGTTGAAAGTGATATTCTGAACTCCTCTGATGGCTACAGCGTAGGTTACTGGGTTACTGGATGACACACATGTGTAGTCAGAACTTGGGCGATTATCTGAAATACTATTCACATAAAATTTTCCAACACCTAAATTGAAGTATTCTGAGTGACTAGTCATATCTAATTCCACAGCATATTTTCCTATGTTACGATGGAAAATATTATTGTAAACAGTTAGATCTTTTTCCATACCCCCAATGTAAACAAGTCCACGAAGACATGAGTTATCTTGGAACAGTGAATTCATAATGGTAACATTAGCATAATATCCATTGACTGTGAAAACTGACTGTTGATTGTTTTGTATGCGACAATCTTTTACAAATACAGAATGATATTTTCTTTCAACAATATCATTCACTCTGGGCAATTCAATGTCAAAACCTCCATATTTATTCCACCTGATCTCAGAATCGTTAAATATCCACTGCCAAACATTATTTGCAAAATCAACATGATTGTGATCTGCAATTATTCCTTTTCCATTTCTGTGAAATTTACATCTCTCCATTTTGTACTTTATCACACCTAGTCTTTCTGGTGTTGTCATTTCCTCAGGTGTAGGTATCAGCCTATCATGATATTTAGTTAAGCTGGGTATATACATGGCTTCCTCTACATTGTCAAAAACATTCACCATTTCAAATCTAAGCTCCTCTTCTTTGATACGATGGAAAATTTCTAATTTTTCATTTGATGGATTGTTATAGTGCTTGGTAAGAATTCCTTGCTTGTTTTCCTTTATGGTACAGTTGTACATATGGATCTGTGAGTATGGTGGATTAAATGGGTACCGTACTGGAAAAAATTTGAATAAATATTTCAATAAGACAGCGTACAGTATTTTAATACAAAAGTATAGTCAGAATTTAGTAAATTACATTTTAGATGTCATATTTGTTAATGTACTATTTTTGTTATTATGATGTTGTTACATGTATGTTTTCAGAACAGTCATCATTACTTATTCAAAACATTTATATCATCTACTCAGCTCTTTAAAAAATCTTCATACTATGTATTGCAGAGCTGTGAAGGTGTTGTTTTGGTGAGTAATTGCTGTAAATGATCTAAAAAGGTTCATATTGTGTCAAGCAGCTGATGTTTTGCAATATCTGTATATATGCTAAAAATTGATAATCTGATTATCTTATTAATAAGTTTTTTTCTTGATCAGAAACATTGTTGATATTTTACAATATATACATGTATAATGCTGTTATTCCAAGAGCAGTATAGCACTATAATGCCATAGTGCTATATTTTTTTTACCATGGTGATATCAGATTAGATTTTATTTTTTATAATAGAATGTATTACATAGTGTTGGGGTATAATTTTCATGTATTTCCAATTGTAGCTAAGTAATCAATATTATTACTAAAGCACAAATGTGTAGTTCTGAGGCATATTAAATAATTATCTCATAGAAAATAGTGTTGGTAAAAAACAAGACATAAAACAAAAATAGAATATTTTATAAATAAATAATAATCAAATAATTCCTACCTGAATGTGCTGCAAATGCTAATCTTCCTGACATTACACCTCTAACCAAGACAGTAATGGTCAGATAATTTGATGTGGATATTAAGGGAAAGTCTACAAGGTCTTTTTCTATCTCCCAACGTTTAGTGTTGGTTGTTATACCACTTTCACTTGAGTCATATATTGTCACCTTTTCTACAGTTGTCAATGGATTGTAGTCTAGTAGTTGTAGAGTTGTTCTGTAGCGATCAGAAACGAATACCTGCATCGTGTATGGAAAACTAACAGTCTGGAGTCCTGGTTTAGTAACAATAAAAGCCATAGAATTATCTCCTAAATTATAATTTCGAGTCCCTCCTAAATCAACCGTCAGACTTGGTTCAATGAAGTTTCTTACACTAAGTGCTTCATACTCAGTAAAGAATGGATCATAAACAAATCCACTTTTCTCATTATTATTCATTGTGGCATATCTAATATCAAGAAAGGGTGATCTAGTCAGAAATCCATGTCCTTGATTATTGTCAAACATACAGTGTTCAAACAAGTTCTCTGTATGTGGATGACTATACTTCACATTGACACCATCAGATACAGAGTTTCTCACAATAAGTCCAGTTATTTTTAGATAATTATAGTCAATTGTAAGTCCTGGTGTGTATTTCATGTCATCTGCATCTAACAACCCTGCATGTTCTATGATCACATGACGTATCTGTGTAGGTTCTGGCATACTTCCTTTAGGAACAGCTGGTAAAGTGATACCTACAAAACAAATAACTATGAGTCAGCTAAAATATATCATGTGTAAATTTATTCTTTGTTTCCAGCATAACTTCATAGAAGTCTTTTTTTTTTGTAAGCCCAGGTAATTACGGATATGACACATAAATGTATGAAGAAACATGATTATTCACAATTTGTGTGCTAAGGGGCAACCAAAGGGTAGGAGTCCCCCTTTTCAGCTCTACAAAAGTGTACCTTTTTTAAATGATTTTAATTCATCACATGAAACTGTTGAAAATCAGTATGGAAATCTCCATATTTCCCCATATACCAGTACTAACTTTCAAAAATTAATAGATCTGTCGCTACAAATTACTCCAAGGCTAACAGTCTTAATCATAGAAGCAAGAAATTACTTATCCTAGAGTTAATGCAAACAAATAAATAATGTTTTAATGGCATAAAAATAAGAAACATTTTCGCCTAGATTTTACAATTTTTTTTTCAAAAAAATGTGGCCATAGCATGTTTTGTGTAGCAAACTTTATTTGTCCTGCAACAAATATTGTCCATACCAGACCAGGTAGGTGGCTGACATCTCAAGTAAACAAGTTCTTCCACATTACAGTAATTGAATTCTCCATATTTCTCTGATTCACACTGTGTTAAATCTGTATCAAGAAAATTGCACTGCACTCTACTCATCATGACTGTATCAGTAGATGGTAGTTTCTGTTTAGCTGTGCCATGTGCTGGATCATAGGTCAAACCTAGTTGTAAACATACAACAGCTGAATTCTCCTCTGTCCATCCCTGTGAATAAATAATCAAATGGAAGAATTTTATTGAATTAAGCATTTAACTTTTATAAAGTTCATGAAACAATGAATGGTACATCTGTGGGGCTTTTTTTTTTTACAATAGTTGAAGCAAGCAAACTAATTATGACTGCAATATCATTTACAAGTTCTGAAATAGAATTTCATTTGTAAAAATGTGTAATATAAATCTTATCATTCACCTTTAAAAAAGTCAAACAAGTATACTAAAAGAAACTAAATACATACCCTGTTGCAAACAGTCCCCCATGTATTTAACATTTCCACTTCAAGTCGACCTTCATATTCATCTTTCCCATCTACTAATCGTACAGTTGCTGTCCTGTTTTCTATGGCAACTTCATCTGGTTCATTCTTCAATGTGAATTTTACTGGGGTACTAGCTTGGATTCCATCTGCTTTTAATCTACCATGAACAACCATGCCAATGGAATTCTCAAATTCAAGAATTGTGTTTGGCTTAAGTTCAAGAGTTGCTCCTGGTATAATAAATATGTCCTTATCCACATGGTATCGTGTGTTTGGCTGAGCAGTAAATCCAGGTGTATCTAAAACCCCACCAATTGTATTACCTCGATTAAACACCCAGCGGTATTTAGGAATGTCATGTGTTGTTTGTTGTGTATACAACCATTGTTCACGCAAGACTGGAAAATATTCTATATTAGCTAAATTGTACCTATCATCTTTATCAAATATACGTGAATGTACAAATTCATGAACTTTGTCGTCTGTTAAAGGACCCCACCAGTTGTAATTACCATCTAAGGTGATAGATGGATCAACCAAATGAGTGGCTATATCTCGGATGGAATCTGGATTGTAAATATAATTTCTCTGAACGAAAATATTACTTGATGAGACAATGATTGGAGCATTAGCTCGATTTCTTGGGTTCAAATAAATAGATGTATCGTTAATATAGTTGCCAATCACTTTGTTGAACTTAAATTCTATCTTTTGGTATGGACTATTCTGTGTAAGTCTCATATTGATTGCATATCTTCCATCATTATCGGTAAAAGTATTTTCATATATTTTATAGTCCACCACATATTTAGAATACCATTTACTAACCAACAGATCATAAGTATTATCAATTCTAACCGCTCCTAATGAATGCTTAGAGAAGGTATTGTTTGTGATCAGACCAACTGTATTTATAACTGGTGACATCAAAATCCCATGTCTTCTATTTCCACGGAAATTGTTAAATGCAAGTGTTAAATTAGTAGGCGGTCTGTTTCCTTCAATTGTCACATTACAAGACAAATACTCAACTGCCTCATCTTTATTGTAAAAGAAAAAAGTAGTATTAATAAGAAATTCACCACCACGGCAATAATTTCCTACCCTTACAGCAGTCCATTCATTTTCTGTGAACTCTGATCTAGCTATTTCAAGTTTTAGGAAATGCTCGAACCTTGTGTTATTCAATCGTATATATTCAGTTATCAATCCATAACCATCATTTGATAATATTTTGGAATTATTGACCAGCTGGTATCCACCTGCATATGATATATTAACACCACATCTAGCATTGTTTTCTATTATTGTGTTATTGATGGCGATTTCACCAGCTCCTTGATAGATCCTAATACCCGCCCCATATTGATTTCCTGAGACAACTGAGGAGTTGACAGCTACTTTACATCTCATATCTTGTATATTTAATCCATATCCTGTGTTGTTGCTGGCGCTAGAGTTTATAAATCTTAATTCTTCATCCAGTCCTATGGAATAGACAAAAAAATTTCTCTCATCAGGTCATTGTAAACATAAACACTGTGTCAAAATTCTCTCATCAGGTCATTGTTAAGATAAACACTGCGTCAAAATTCTCTCATCAGGTCATTGTAAAGATAAACACTGTGTCAAAATTCTCTCATCAGATCATTGTAAAGATAATCACTGTGTCAAAATTCTCTTATCAGGTCATTGTATAGATAAACACTTACACAGTTAATTCTTATTTTGTACATTTCAGAGGGACTGCAATAATATCTTCATTTTACCAAAAAATTAAGTTATCACATGTGAATGATTAGGATGATATTCTTTTGTCTTCATTTATTTTTTTTGTGTGTACCAATTGTCTACGATTAAGGAAAAATTGCATTTTCATAGATATTTGATTTGATGGTTTTGTCAAAGTCAGCATAAAAGCCTTTACAGATCCATGAAATCCATGAAAATTGGTTTCCAATGAATAATCATAAATCAATAGTAGTCTAAAAACTTTTTTTTAAAGTGTAGAAATGTCATTTGTCATGTCACCATGATGTCCTAAAAATGCTGAAAGTGACAAATTTGACTTTAAGGGGCCATACTTTCAATACACATATACATCTTACCTTCATCAGACCAAAACTGAAGCAGAAATCTAAGACAATATGGGAAAGTTTTACATCTTTGTTCCCTGCTATTCAATGGTTTTTGTGGTAGTTGGTACTGCATATTTATCATTATCCTGTTAGACTTAGATGTAATGGATTGTGGGAAGCTACCATTGGTCACAGCAAATGTTGCTATAAGATTGCTGTCTGATTTATAGTTATCATACACTTTCATGGTGGCTGTAACTGTAGGGTCACGTTCCATCAGTAAAAAGTGGACAGTAATTCTGTGGCCAGGTACTGTATTATATTCCTGTAAAATATAACAAGAGTGCAAATACTGAAATGTTTCTCCTGCTTCACTGATCTGATTATGATTGAATTTATGATGCAAGTCTTTAAGAGAAATATTTTACAACAAGAATCACATTAACTTAACCCTATCAATGATCCATGTAAATGAGGTCAAGGTCAGATTAGCCTTGCCAAACAAACATGTACACCTTACAATAATTTCATACACCAAATATAGTTAACCTATTTCAAACATTATCTGAGAAACAGACCTAACCACAAAAACTTAATGTTGAACAATGAATCATGAAAATGAGGTCATGGCCAAATGAACACTTCCAGAAACATATGTACACCATACAATCGTTTCATATAAAAATGTAGTTGAACTATTGCTTTAAGTATATATCTGAGAAGCAGACCTAACCATGAAAACTAGACACTGAACAATGAACCATGAAAATGAAGTCATGGTCAAATGAACCTTACTAGGCATACATGTACACCTTACAATCATTTCATACACCAAATATAGTTGACCCATTGCTTATGATATTTTATATCTTAAAAAATGTGGATAGTGTCCACATATGGACACAGATGATGCCCCTGCTTGCATATCATATAGTTATAAAGGGACATAACTGAAGAAAGGTAAAAGTGACGCTACCCAAATTTGAACTTGAACTGAGTTTTGTGGTAATAAGCATTGTGTGTAAGTCTCATAACATTTGGTTGAGGATAACTTAAGTCCAGTTAATTGCGAGCACTCGTCATTTTCTTCATTTACAAAAGGATATAGGATATCTGTATGTCATATCAAATCCAAAGGAAGCAACATCTACCATTATGTATTGTATGGTAGTCATAATTACCACCTTTATGAAAAAAGGAAAATATATCTCTATGAGTCAATTTTTACTCAAATCACACTGTTATGCTCCAATATCCATGCACACACAATATTATTTACTGGGGATCATTTTTCTTGTGCTTTATCACTTATGCAGACAAAATCTTCATTTTTTACATATGTTTAGAGTCCTTTCATATGTGTTTCAGTTTTGCAAACCTGCCTTTGTACAATCATGAAGTCTTTTATATTTCTTTCAGTTTTGTAAACCTACCCTTGTACAATCATAACTATCAAATGGTTTATTTCCACTTGGATCTATGATGTTTTCATACACAAAGAATGGGTAACTAGGCTCTGATGGAACAGCTGCTCTACAAAAGGAACCAGATGAGGGGTACTTGAGCTCCCAATCATAAATGGTATAATTTTTCATGTACATCTTGACACCATCTCCCCAGTTATTATTTGCATCTGTCTCATTAATGAGTACTCTACCAATAGCTGTCTCTAGGTATACACCATAGCCTACAAAGGAAATGGATCACTCAGACTGAAATCAGGTGTATCTAAGATCAAGCCATCAAATTAAGTTATTTCTAAAAGCTTTTCTGATTTCATCAACTATCATTTGTTTAAAAACTTCTTATTCAATCTAAACAGAATATACAATTGTCAAGAAAATTTTGGTTTTCAAATTATTTGCATTTGTGATTTTATTTTACTGATAAAATCCAAAGTATTGGGTGATACATAATCAACAAGGGATCTGCATAGCATATATATGTAAAACTATATACCTCTGTTATGTGAAACTGTGCTGTTTGCTATATGTATTGGACCAATAATTTCAGTCATATTGATGCCATCATATGCTCCATGTGTTACTGTTATGTTGTTCATTAGTGGAACATAGGGACTAGCACTAATGGATGCTCTTCCATGGTTAAAACCATCCCCTCTATAGATGTCTCTTCCAGCATAAGAGATGTCTAAGTATTCCAGCCATGTTAAAGTTTTGTTATAGTACAGATTGCCAAATTTTTGTGGTTGTACTGTTACATTATAGAATTCTAAACCTCTCCAATTAGACGTTGCTAAATCATCTCTTAGACCAGCACACTGAAAACCAATGAGTTGTTGACCGTCTGGAAAAAAACATGTATTCATTATCTATTGAATTTGTAAGTTCCTTTATTCCTCGAAGTAAGTTCAATTGGGACTGATTTATATGCTAAAAAACAGCACAAACATACTACATATATTATAATGTCAACATCTATACAATTTAGAAATAAACAAAATTCAAACTTAAAAAAATTAAATTTAACATAAAATTATGCTTAAGAGAATTCGATAATACAAATCAAAATGTTTTCATACCACATATGTGCTTTCCAAGTGTAATTTTTGGGTTCCTGGCACCAGGGCAATCAAATAAACTCTTTTCACTTCCTGTGCATCTTGGCCTTTCAAATAACATATAGTCTGTCTTATTTCGGGAAAAAGAATGATATGTAAAGTTTCCCCATACAAATCCTAAGTGTTGACAGGTTACATTAGCATCAATTTTTGTATAACTGAAAAAGAAAACATGCTCATTTTATTCTGCTTCTGTGTTTACCATTTATTCAAGTGAAATATACAGAACATTTATGAATAAATTAAGAAAACTTACTAATTATATTTATATGATACATTTTTATGCAACAGATGAAAAATCATGATGAAAGAACAATAACTCTACAGAGTTAACTGACAATTTCAGTCATGACATATTTGTAGATCTTGTCCTGCTGATCATTTATGCTTTTTAAAGATTCTATCTACATTTGTATCTATAACAGTTTTCAAGATAATAAACAAAACTTGAATTTTATCCCTATGTTCTATTATTAGCCAAGTCAGCCATCTTGGTTGGTGGGGTCATCGGAAACAATTTTTAAAGTATATACCCCAAAAATGATTGTGGCCAAGTTTGGTTAAATTTGGAACAGTAGTTTCAGAAGAGAAGATTTTTGTGTAAAAGTTAACTGACAACGACGACGACGGATGCCAAGTGATGAAAAAAGCCACTTGCCCAAGTCAGCTAAAAAGTATATGAAATTGAAATAGGAAGGCATATTTTACATGTTTCTCCAATCCGAAGAACCTTTTTTGTACTACCAACCTTCGGTGGAAACCATATGCAATTAAAGGTATGTTTAACTTTTCAGCACAAGCCAGGATAAGACATAGTTTCGACATAAAATGATTGTCACTTTATTTAAACAATAAGACAAATCAGCTATGAATGATTGAAATTAAAGAATTTAACATAGAAACCAATGGGATTATTAATTATTGGTTTTATTCCTTATAAGAGCTGTTTCTTTATATTGATTGTTGATCATAATGATGTATGATTATTTTGAATTATTTCATGAGCTTACTACTTCAACCACACAATCCATGCTAATTTCCTTGCAAAAAAATGTGTGTTGCCTAAGCAGTTTTACTGTTCTTTTTTTCATGTAGCAAAATGTTTTTAGATATGCTTTGTTGGAGATAGTTCAAGATGCATGCCTTTTTCAATAGTACATATACAATTTGAAATCTTACTTGATATATTTATTACAAACTCCTCTCCAACGTCCTTGATAAAACAATTCTAATTTTCCATCCCTGGTTGTATTACCATCCATAAGGCGAGCATCTGTTGGAAATGGATTACTTGTAACAACACTTTGACTAACTTCTGGAATTTTTGTCATTGTTATTCTTCCACCATTTTCCTCACTTCCCTTAAAATCAATGAAAAACTAACTCATTTATTTTCCAAAAAAAAGTAATAATGCAACTGTACAATGCTGTATGTAGGGGTCAATAAATAGCTGCACAAATATTTTTTTGTAAATTTGAAAATCTTATAAGGGCAATCCTGGGAATGAACATTTGAAGGGCAGTGCATTGTAAAATTGGGCAAGTATAAAATATAGCATAATACAGTGGCAGATAGTTCTGATTGCAAGAATACAAATTTGGTCATCGTTTGTCCACCTCTCATCCATGTTTAGTTAATTATTTCAATGGCAGACAAAGAAAACAAGCATTCTGAGAGTATTGCATGGCAATACATAGTCCCCTACCGGGTAAAAATTCATTAAACTGGAACAAAATGCTAACTTGTTCTATAACTTGTCATGGTGTAAACAAAAAGAAAATATCAAGTCAACATCTTCAAGCATGACTAAAAACAGTGTGGAAAACTGAATATATGAGTGAATTTTTTCAAGTCCAAGGACCATAACTCTGCACAAAATTATCAGACCGAAACAAAAATTTGAACTTGATCTGTAACTTGTCATGATAAAACTATATACCAATTGTCAATCAATATCTTCAAGCATGATGAAAAAAAGTGTGGAAACTTATAACACTCTAACATTAGATATGATTAATAGTTCTCTAAAATTAGATATGATGTAATACAATGTATAAATAAAATTGAGAATGGAAATGGGGAATGTGTCAAAGAGACAACAACCCGACCATAGAACAGACAACAGCAGAAGGTCACCAACAGGTCTTCAATGCAGCGAGAAATTCCCGCACCCGGAGGCGTCCTTCAGCTGGCCCCTAAACAAATATATACTAGTTCAGTGATAATGAACTCCATACTAAACTCCAAATTGTACACAAGAAACTAAAATTAAAAATAATACAAGACTAACAAAGGCTAGAGGCTCCTGACTTGGGACAGGCGCAAAAATGCGGCGGGGTTAAACATGTTTATGAGATCTCAACCCTCCCCTTATACCTCTAGCCAATGTAGAAAAGTAAACGCATAACAATACGCACATTAAAATTCAATTCAAGAGAAGTCCCAGTCTGATGTCAGAAGATGTAACCAAAGAAAATAAACAAAATGACAATAATACATAAATAACAACAGACTACTAGCAGTTAACTGACATGCCAGCTCCAGACTTCAATTAAACTGATTGAAAGATTATGTCTTCATCATATGAATATCAGGCATAATCCTTCCCGTTAGGGGTTTAGTATCATACCATCATAACATATATGAGAAGAACATAACCCGTGTCATGCCAACAACTGGTTTTTAAATAAATGTGTTTAGTGCCGATGCAAAGACCCTATAAGTGAATCAATATTAACGCCAAAATATGCAATCTTTAATGACCTGACAACAGTATCGTAACTATATCCCTTCTTAATAAGTCTATTTAAAGGTTTTGTTAGCTTCAGATATCTATTTTCAAATTACAATCAAATATAATTAATAGTTCCAAATATTTTTTCTTTCATTTGTCACAAACTAATATAGATTTGTAACTTATCTATAAAATGTCAACAACTTTTATCTACACAATGTAATGTAATGAAATATATACCTTAATAAAAATAGATTATTATCTAATTTAAGGATTTCACTTAATAAAAATATATATATATATATATATATATATATATATATGTAGCATTCAGAAAATTAGTTTATACAAAATAACATATAAACCTGCCACAAAATTCCTCAAACAATTTACCAAAGAACATCTTTTAAAAAATGAGTTATCTCCCTTTGTACAGATTATATGGCTTAACATAGTACTCTAACATTAGTTATGGAGTTTTTTAATGGACCATAACTCTGGACTAAATCATCAGACCGGAACAAAATTCGAACTTGATCAATAACTTGTCATGATAAAACTATATACCAAATATCAAATCAATATCTTCAAGAACGAAGAAAAAAAGTGTGGAAAGCTGAGTTGCCGGACTGACGGACAGAGTGCAAACCTAAAGTCCCCTTCGACTTCGTCGGTAGGGGACTAATAAATTATCTTTGACAGGAATTGAAAGGAATATGATGTTTTAATGCAAAAAATGGATCAAACATTAACAAAAGCCAGTTTTAATCAAGTTTTAGTTGAGTGATAAATTAATTTTACAAAATTTCAGAATCTGTACAGTGTGCTCAAGAAAGAGTGCCAGAAGTGAAAGAAAAGTTGTTTCTTTGAAATAACACACAAACATGTTTCTTTGAAAAAACATACAAACAATCTACAATTTAGGTCAATGCTTTCACAACAAGAAATAAATTATCTATATCTTTAAATTTCTTTACATGTATATGAAAAATTGCTGTTTTCATCAACTTGGTAATAATGGAAAATTAAAAATGTTGAAAGCGACTGTTATGAACAGTCGAGGTCAGGAAATGCAAAATGACAAAAGGAAAAGCCACTTCTTCACCCAGAAACATCAGCCCTGAAGTCTGCACCATTAGCCATTGGTTTTCTGACTAGTAATCTGAAAAGATTTTGGTGCAGACTGGACCTGTTAATAATGTCCAAGGACGTGACTTTGTACATGTATATTTTACTTGGCGTTGGCAAAAGGGCAACAAATTTTGCCACTCTTTCTGAACTAGGTAGATTCCCCCTGCATTTTGACATTGCAAAGTCTATGATCAGATACTGGCAGAGACTTGAAAAATTTGGTTCATCAGTCAAATTACTAAATGAGTCAAAAATTTCATCATGGTATGGGTCCTTAAACTTCTTTCTAAAGAATATTAAAGGGGTTGACAGTTTAGTTTCTGCAAGCAATTTAAATTTTTATACAAAAAAATTCTGTACCAGCATTATGATGATCAGTGGAAACTCCAAATGCACAACTGTGCTTCTCTGCACTAGGCACGAGGATGGCATGGTTGTTACTTAGACTCACCAATAATAATAATGTTCCTTTTTGTATTTATTTTATCAATTACAATCAGAATTATTCCCATATACATCATATATGAGAATTTTACCATTTGGTACCATGTATACTTGGGCATGTCATTTAGCATCGTCCCTTAGTGCTGCTTGCAGTCAGGTCATCTCACAATATGTATTAATCCCTCTGCATCATGCACGAGGATGACATGCCAGGTTTGTGCATCTGCTCATAATATTTTAACCAAATTGTCTATTTACATGTATACCATGTGTGTCTATCTCCCACCTTGTCATGCAGCACCATCCCTTGATGGCTTTTGCAGTTAAGTTACCTATCCAATAAATTGCCAATTTATCAAGAGACTTATCATTAATTACCTGGGAGGGGGGCTGGTCATTTTGAAATCAAACATATAAAATTTTCTTGACCCCCCTAAATATTTCACTATTTTTATTTTATCCCCCCCCCTTAAAAACATTTTTGAAAAATGTGATCCACCCTCTATTAAACGTGCCAAAATTTTAACATGCAAAACACTTATATAACTACCTTTGACACACATGATATGTAGGATATACTTGAAGATTCAAAAGTTCACAAATGTTTCATTAGAGATAAAATTGATCCTCCCACTTTGAATTTAAAAAATATTTGAACTCCCCTTTTCCACTTACAGCAAAATAACTTGATCCCCCCATACATTTTGACCAGCTCCCCTTCCAGGTAAAAAATGATGTCCATTAAAGCACTTTTTCATGTTCCGGTGTGCCTGAGAAGGAGGTACATGTACATGTATTACACTTGTAAATGTATATATATATATTTATTTATAAGTATGTGTAGTTCATTTATGTCAAACTTGTTTTTCTTTTCTTTGTATGTATACTTCATTATTGTTTTATGTTGTTGTTTAAATAATGTCATATTGTAATAAACTCATTGTAAGTCCATTTAATGGAAATAAAACATCTTCTTCTATATATGATCAGTCAAGGGTGTAACTTGAATAAGTTATTAGAGAAAAATGACATACATGTGTTATTCTGGATACTTTCTCTTAATCTGTAGTAACATATGTTTGTTATCAGTTAAATGTACCATAAAATTTTTTATTTTCAGTGGGCACTTGGGAATTCTTGAAACTTGCGCAGTAACTTAATACATAACCTTGAAAACTAATTTTCCAATTCAATTAATACATTTTTGACCAACCATGGTAAATCAATGAGACAAGGCTTTTAAGTGATAACTTAGCTGTAATAACAAGGCTTAGTTATTACAGGCATTTAACTTATTACATGAGACACTTGGGATGACTAGGAAGCTTGCGCAGAACCTCATTACATGCTCTTATCATTATTTATTACAATAAATTAAAATACATTGTGATATATATAGGAGAAAAGGCTTTGAAGAGATGTAGAGAAGCTGTAATAACACCCTTTAGTTATTACAGGCATATTTTTTCTGTAATAACATGGGTGTGTTATGCATGATTGGCAAACTATGTGCTGTTATATCTTTCTAAAGTTTAATATACATAAAGACAATTATAATATCAATAGAACTAGTACACAATTTAACAAAATAAAGGATGTATAATGCCCCTTTGAAACATGTAACATACATATGTTATCACAGATTTTTGATTTTTTAGCCCTCAATAACAAATGTATGTTATTTTTCTCTAATAACTTATTTAAGTTAGACCCTTGACTGATGATCAGAATATACATGTATGAGAATCTTCCCAATTGTTGAGAAGAATCCATGACAACTCGCCCCATTGCCAAATCGCCCCTTTTTCACGAACTCGCTCCACTCTTGTTACCAACTCGACCCACTTTTGAAAAAGGGTAAAATCCCTTACACCTTTTCGCTATTTATGCCAATCCGGATAAGTTCTAAAATTACACAACTTTTTAAAACCAGTTGAAGCTATCTGGGGCCTTGTACAAACAACATATTGTGCATAAAACTTTTCATAGAGAAATGTTTAAACCACCCTAAACACATCAAACAAAGCATTTTAATTGACGTTAATATATAAATTTGTCTTTTAAAAATTGCTTCATAAACTATCAAAATTTTAAAATTTCCACTTCCAAACTTTTTCCTCCCCTAGCTTATCACTGATGACCTTTGTTTTTTGTGATATTTGACCCAAACATGAAGTTGTCTAAATGACTGTCTTTTTCCGGAATGGACTAAATAGCGATAAGGTACATGTATATTGAATTTAGTCCTGACAACTCGCCCCACTAATGAAAAAGAGAAAAATCAAGATGAATAAAGGTCTGTCATCCTGCCCCACTTATGAAAAGTGGTTAAATTCATCGGGATTTTACCCTTTTTCATAAGTGGGGCGAGTTGGTGGAAAAGTGGGACTATTTGGCAGTGGGACAAGTTGTCTTGCTTCCGCTGAGAACACAATAAATTTACCCTTGCTATTAATGTTCCATTAACAATCATTCCAAATCCTGGTCCAAAATACATGGTCACACCTGGTTCTATATACAAACATGTATTTGGAGGTATTTCTATGTTTCCTTGGATTTTATATGGACTATAAATCTTCATAATTGCCCATTTCTTGTTTTCTGGTAAAACCATGCCATAGTTTATTTGTCTACTTTCTAAAACACGTGGTTCTTGGCACTCGACAGGGATGTGCCTCAGATTATACACTATCCCATTTGATATTACAGGTTTTTCACCTGGTGGCGGTGGTGTAAAAATTTGTGATGAACCAAATCGAAAGCAAATCGCTGCGAGTATACAGGTAAACAATACAGCCGCCATTTTAAATTTGATTATTATCCAGGTATATTTTGATATTTTGCTTTAAAACATTGCATCATTGTACATCTATTTGTTAATCATGAGCTATATATCCCTCTTCATTCCTGTTTTTTTTACGTTAAATGTACTTGAAAGTATATATTCATCCTAAATTATACATGGGCCAGGTAATCCGGAAGTTACTCATATCGTAAAAATGTCAACAAGCATTTTAATTTCCGGACAATGGCCGAAATGATATGAATGATTCCGGATTTAAACTAATCATTCGTTCACTTGGCGGACATTAACCTAGCCGGTGCACCGACCATTCATCTTTTGTTTGTTTCAGCAGAGAAGGGGACAAAGTTTATATCTTTGTCAAGCCGTTTTTATACTTATTCAATTTCAAGATATCTTATAAAGTATTTAAGATATCTTGTATTCTGTATGATCAAATATCTGAGATATCTTATTAAGATATGTTATAAAGTGAATTAAATATCTTTTAAAGTTAAACAACCGTTAGCTTTACATTTAGGTATCAACAAACCCAACTATCTACTAGCGGCTTTAGCAACTGCTTTTGCCATATTTGTATACAAAAATATCAAATGTTGGACTGAGAAATGTGAACACACCGTCTATAGAGTGTCTATATTGAAATAGTGATTAGATTATACCACAATGTTGACTGCTGTACCCCAATTTTTGACATTTTTATGTCTGTTTGTTTAACTCACACATTGTTGTCAATATAATGGAATTATATACGACTGTCATACAAGCGAGAGGTTTAGCTAGCTATAAAACCAGTGGTAATCCACCATTTTCTACATAGGGAAATGCCTGTACCAAGACAGGTTTATGACAGTTGTTTTCCATTCGCTTGATGTGTTTTGGCTTTTGATTTTGTCATTTAATGAAGGACTTTCCGTTTTGAATTTTCCTTGTAGTTCGGTATTTTTTTATAAGCCATATATACAAGCTAGCTTATATGATTGATTTATCAGATATTTTTATTAGTTCATGATATCTTATTTAGTTTATTTATCATAAGATACCTCTATTATTTTTAAGTTTTTAAGATATCTTATTTAATATATATGATTCTGCAATTCTTTCTTTTTTATGATACGATCATTGACAGTATATATATGTTAAAAAAACAGCAGGGATGAGAAAGTACGGTCAGCAAAAGTAGAAATAAGAACTGGAAGGAAGTGGTCGACAAAGAAGACAATAGAAGATGCTGAGTTACGATTAGAACACAGTGAGATAGTTGGCAGAGTTGCAGTTGGAAGACAGGGGCTGGATGTTACACCTACAGCAAAATGGAGAACAGCAACAGTGGAGAAAAAAGACACCTGGTACAGAAAGATGTACGATCAATGGAAGAAGAAAGTAGAATGGTAAAGGCAGTGAGTATGAAGAAACAAGGAAACTGGGAAGGAGCAAGGCAGCAGAAGTTAGGATGGAATGAGATCTGGAAGATGGAGCCACATAGGTTGCAATTCAAGCTGAAGTCAGTATATGATGTATTGCCAAGCCCAACAAATCTAGCAACATGGGGATTGATAGATGACCCAAAGTGTGTTCTTTGCAGTAAGCCAGCAAACTTGGAGCATATATTATCTTCATGCTCAAGTGCTTTGAAAGACGGGAGGTATACATGGCGACACGACAAGGTATTAGGGACACTAGCAGACACCCTAGAGAGAAACTTCAGGAAGCCAAAAAAAAACAAGGAAGGCCTTACTTTTGTCAATTTTGTTAAGGAAGGAGAGAAAGGACAGAAGAAGAGTGTGGAAGGAAGTGGCTTACTGGGAACAGCAACTGATTGGCAAATGTTGGTGGATCTGAAGCAGAAGTTACAATTCCCGCCACAGATTGCAGTAACAAACCAGAGACCTGACATCGTCATTTGGTCAGCCTCAACAAAACAGGCAATCCTGCTGGAACTAACAGTGCCATGGGAAGAAAGAATAGATGATGCCAACGAAAGAAAGAGATTGAAGTATCAAGACCTACTTGCAGAATGTAGAGATAATGGATGGAGGGTTTGGTTATTTCCAGTGGAAGTGGGAAGCAGAGGGTTTGTTGGACAGTCCATGTGGAGGGCATTAAGAGCACTTGGTATTGTTGGAGGGGAAAGAAGTAAGCTGATTGGTAACTTGTGCAAAGAGGCAGAGACATCATCAATGTGGTTGTGGAGGAAAAGGTCTGAGCAGTGGAAGCAGTAAAGTGTAGAGGAAGGGATGGATATCCATGTGGTTTCGGGCTGGGACTTGATCACCCCAGTCGGCGCACCTCTGGAGATTGTAGTGGACAGGCCAAAACAGCCGAGGAAGGAGGATTCACCTGAAGACGGAACCACGCATCTTTCCAACAGGATGTATTAAGGTAATATATAAATCCGGATATGGTGTACTAATTTTTGCACCTTTTGTTTGCGGTATACCATCTTTTCCGCAAGTTTATTGTTTTCTGTTTGGTATTAAATTAATAGTTAAGATCCATTTTGTTACATCTGGTGATCCGTCTATTTGGCAATCGGCAATGGCAGTCAGCAGGGTTTAAGAGTATCCGTTGTTCGACCTGCTAGTCAAATGCCGTTGTTAAAATATACTTTTTCACTTTTTTTGGTCTTTTGGAAAATGTTGTTTGTGCTGTATTTAGACCCCTCTACCAAGAAATTTGTTTTGCATGCACACGTATAAAAATGCGGTTTTTATCCAACGCAATCATAGGTTTGAACGTTGTTTTCAATTTAGACTTGTTTATATTTTTTTCGTTTGGGCTTGTATTATATTTGCCTTCGGGTTTATATGACCCGTTCTTCCTATTTCGACTCTTCAAATTCAAGAGTCTATCCTAAATTGAGTTACATTTTATGGCATTCCAAATACCGTTTCGATTCCAAACATCACTGAAGAGACATTAATCGTCGAAATCCGGATATGGTGTACTAATTTTTGCACCTTTTGTTTGCGGTATGCCATCTTTTCCGCAAGTTTATTGTTTTCTGTTTGGTATTAAATTAATAGTTAAGATCCATTTTGTTACATCTGGTGATCCGTTTATTTGGCAATCGCCAATGGCAGTCAGCAGGGTTTAAGAGTATTCGTTGTTCGACCTGCTAGTCAAATGCGTTTTGTTAAAATATACTTTTTCACTTTTTTTGGTCTTTTGGAAAATGTTGTTTGTGCTGTATTTAGACCCCTCTACCAAGAAATTTGTTTTGCATGCACACGTATAAAAACTGCGGGTTTTATCCAACGCAATCATAGGTTTGAACGTTGTTTTCAATTTAGACTTGTATGTTATCAGAAGCCCATTTCTAGACTAGTCTAGTGTCTAGTAATGGACTTCTGATGTTAAAGATTGACTATAATATAGATCCGTTGTTTTACCTGACCTAAACCCCATTTGTGATGAATGCTTTAACAATCGGATTGGGTCAGTTTTTATATTTTTGTGTTAACTTATGTTAGACATGCATTGCTTTTGCATTCGGTGTTTGTAGCATAGTTATTAATAATCACATGATATATTAGTATGAATGATTATAATATATGCACAGGAGGATTGTGCGAAGACAAAACATTCATTTTCAATGGTTACTAGCCTGTTTGAGTCTTATATGTAGTTCGCATAGTGATCATAAACGGAAGTGGTTGTGTAAACTATTTGTATAAAGCTTTAACATTTTAAAGCCGAACTTTTTTGCTCCGATTTTAAAAATGCTTCATTTCATATTTAATTGGTGAATTTTCCCTGAATTTTGGGCAGAAGGCATCCTTATGACAGTTCCAAACAGGTGAAGACTTATCAGACCAAAATAATTACCGGTGTATTATTCTAGTTAGCGTAATGTCTAAAATGTTTACGTCTATTTTGACAAACAGATTGATCCATTGTGCAGATGACGAAGAAAAGCTTATTGATAATCAGTTCGAATTCCGACCAGATCGGTCAACCGTTGGTGCCATATTTATTACATCAGAAGTCTAAAGTTTACTCTGCTTTGGTCGATTTCTGCAAATCCCTCTTCTTCTTTAAGTTTCTAGCGATCCTTCTAATTGAAGATTATTCTTCTCTGTACTTTTTTAATTTGTTTTTAATGTGGATCCCAAATGGTTGAGCAGTACTCTAATTTTGGTCGCACAAGAACTTTGAAAGCATGAGCTTTAACTTTAGGTGAGGCTATTTTAAGATTTCTGCGAATAAATCCAAGAGACTGGTTATCTTTGCTTTTGATGTCATGTTATCGATATGTTTATCCCATTTTAAGTTTGATTGAAGAGTTAGGCCTAATTTTTTTGTATAGTCAACTCTTTCGAGTAAGTGATTATGTAATTTGTAAATGAATTCTAAAGGTTTTCGTTTTTGTGTTACACTGAGAATGTTGCATTTATCAGGGTGAAAATGCATGAGCCAGTCCCGCTCCCATTTACCAGCCGCTTCTAAATCAAACTGTAGTCATCCGGTTTCTTAGTTTCCCTATAAATAATACTGTCATCTGCGAATAATCTTAATGTTCTATGTTTGATATATTCTGCTAATTTAAAATCAATAATAAATATTAAGAATAAAATTAGTCCAAGCACTGTGACTTGTGGTACTCCAGATGTTACAGGAATTTTATTTGATGTTTCACCTTCAATGACTACTGTTTCCATTGCAATTTATACCATATAAGCCGATTTTGTACATGGGGTGAGGTTGTGAAACTTTGTCAAATGCTTTTGCAAAATCCATTATTATGATGTCAGTTTGAATGTTTTTATTATTTTAAATTTGCAAGCTCTAGAATAAATGATATTAGCTGAGTTTTACAGGAAAGGGATGATCGAAAACCAAGTTTGACGTGACTCTGTACTTATGTATCCCGTCATACTTTGAACGACACAATTATTTTATATCTACCTGTGTGACGTCAAACGCGCGATTCTACGCCAGTACTTTTAAAAAAACCTTCCATCCTTTATGGGTGGATTTTACATAGATAAATAAAATCGTATAATAAAAAAGCAAAATGAGAATGTTAAATTTGATGTATGCCTTTTTGTGCTTCTTTGTTACATTTGTTTGTTTTTTATAGTGATTAAGATGATAACACAATGTTGACGGCTGTACCCCTATTTTTGACATTTTTACCTATTGTGTCTGTTTGTTTTGTTCACGCATCGTTGTCAATTTTATGGAATTTGACG